ATGCATGATTAACACTGACTTTGAAAACAAGAGCTTTTGTAGGTAAAATCATAAATAGAGTACTTTTACTTTAACTCAAGTCATATTTTATAAAGATAATTTCTACTTTTAATCAAGTTCATAAGTTTTGTACTTTGTTAACTCATGGCAAGAAGGCTCCTTTAGCTGCATTGTGGGGGGAGGGAGGGGGCCTAGAAGTGGAGGAAAAACACAGTCACTGAAACAGGACTTTATTTAAGTTTATACTTTAAAGTTCGGTTGTAGAAGATGGGGATCCACCATGGAAGCAGCTATATTAGTCATTAAAAACCTGAGAGGAGTGAGAAGTGAAAAAGGTGACAAGATGAGAAAACACAATCTGCTATAAGTGAGGTCAAATGCAGATACCCAACATCTCACGTCATCTTCATCCTTAAGAGTGGGCAGGCTCTGATCCACACTGTAGAATGTTACTTAGGAATGTAAGCTACCAATTTTAAATAAAGCAGGAGGCCACAGTTCTCTTATTCTTCAAATTTTCAGTTAAATCACCTTAAATCTCATTGTTTTCATTCTACAATTTGAGGATATTTAAATAGCCAGCTTCAGCTTCATTGATGACACAATATGTTTATTTTAAATAGTATGAAACTGAAATACAATGTGTGCTCTGTTAAATACACCCACCCCCTCAAAAAACTCAGTGGATCCACATGATTCATGTGAAAAGCCTGTTTTACCTTTTAAAACTGTGAATTTCACAGAGAGTGGATGAGTCTTCATGTATAAGCATGCACCACCAGGGGAAAACATTTTAAAAAGTTACAAAACTTCTTTCCCAATGGTTATTACAGTCAGTCAATGATCAATCATGAGAGAGGACATACTCATGATCACATTTTGTTAAAAAAAAAAACATGTCAATCAAAGACAGATATATTTATTTTGGGTGATTGTGATTACACTGGTAGAAAAAAATTACAAAAACAAACCAGCAACAGGCTAGAGAAAGAAATGTAAATAAAGCTGCTTCCATTTCTGAGAAATGCTGGTGGTAGATGCAGCAAATGCGGAGGTCATTACAAGAACAGTACACATTTGGCTAAGCCTTAAGGCAGTGACATAAATAGAAGAGAGAACAAAGATTTCATAAACTTTAGTCTGATACAGGATTTTAAGTCACTTAGCATCTAGTTACCAGATCACAGCTCAGTCAAAGTAATAACTTACTGTTTTAACTGTAACTCCAGCACCAGTAACTCGCTCAGACTTCTGTTTTATCTTCTAAACTCATGTGAGTAAAGCATTAAACCTGGTCTGTGGTGTGTAAAGCCATAGCCTGCTAGCCAGCAAGCTAACAACCCCACACATCACAGAACCTGGTTAGTTTCTCCTTTTCTGTCACTCCAACGCCAGTCACTTGAAGTCTCTTGCTCAGATTTGAGTCTTTATTCATTGTGAGTTAGAGCCGGTCTTCCATCAGAGCAATTAACTTAGCCTGCTAATGTTAGCTAAGCTTGCACAAACTGGAAATGGAATATAAATTCGACACCATTCCAAATTCAAACTAGTATTTTAAAGAAACTTTTCTCTCATTATTTTATTAGAGCAAACATTAATCTAAAAAAGGTGCTACCTCAGCAGATACAGCAGATAATGGCAAGCTAACTGAAAAACAATGCTCATTTTAATTTTAACATATGAAGAGTTTAACACTAATAATTCATAGGATTAGGTTTGAGTAAATTTCTGACTTCCTGCCTCTGGGGTGGAGCGTTGGTGACAGCTCAGACCTCAGTATGGGTAGAGTCAGCCTCACTACGAGTGGAATCTGCCCTTTTATTTTTTGCTGAGAATCAGTTGACGAGCCTCATCCATGTCCGCCCCGATTCCGGAGTGCCAAAACTCTTAGCCAAAACTGCTGCTCAGCCGCTGAGCTCTTAATGTAAGCTGGGTTATTAGCGCATTAGCATATTGGCTAGCGTTATCTAGCTAACAGTCAGCCTACTATAGGAAAATATACTCAGTCCAGCTACAGAGAATGTACAATACTCCTATGTGTAGTTTTGAACACTGAGTTTAATATACTCCATTACATAGCTCCGTGTTTATAGAGAATGAGTGGACGCTACAACAACCTGCCCGTGAACTAGAACTCATGGAAAAACGTTGTATCAACTTAAAATTGTCGGTTGATGCAATGTGTCTGCTATGAGACGCCATGAACTCAGTACACGTTGTTGTTGCAGTCAAATCATGAGAAAGTTGGGCCACCTGTCTTTTTTTGAATTTGCCATTTAGCGAGTTGGATTTTTACAGTGTTACTGTAAAATTACTTTGCATTTGCATTACTTTTTTTATCTATTTTACTTTCGTATAGGCTGATACTTATACTGGTACTATATATACACCTGTGTCAGCAATGGAGAGTGACAGAAGAGTGACAAAAGAGTGACAGAAAAGTGACTGCCTTAAAGAGTGACAGAAGTACAAAGAAAAATAAAAATACAAAAATGCAAACAATATCGAACCTGAAGTAAAATGTAAACAAAAAAACACATGAAAATAATTAAAATTATGTAAAATATGATGAGAACCAATGATGTACAAGTCTGGATACTGTATTACAACTACAAAACTTAAGAATATTAAAAAAAAATAAAAATATATTTTTAAAAATCCATTACATTGGATACATATTAAATTACAGGCTAATATTATATTACAAATATGATTATTATTTAATACAAATATAATAATATTAATTGCAAATATAATAAACTTTAATACATACACACATAGATATACACATGTACCTAAAGGTGTAAACAAATGATAACAAATGATATTGTTACGTGCACTTTTGGAAGTTCTGAATGTTAATGAGTGAATATTCTGGACAGCACTGAACGTTCAACTAGAGGCCATCCAGATTCAAAATGAAGCCTAAAATTTACTGCTAACAGCTAAGATTGCCTTACTTCATGTTATATATAAATGAAGCCAAGAGCATAAGTAAGCAAATCTCTCAAAAATGTTCATTCCTCTTTTTTTAAAAAAAAGAATATTTATGTGTGTCAGTGTATTTTGTACACAACCCTTGCTGCAATCTAGTGGTTTAAAAGCTTCATAGCCCACTATAGAAGAAAAAAAACAGGAAAATCAAAACAAGAAGCTTTTTTCTATATATGCACCTTATAAATACATATTGTCCTCATATATTCAAGTACTACTCATGTACTCGTTTGAGCATTGGCAAAATGCTTGTGCAAAGCTTTAGCCAAATTAATTACTCAATAAAGAATTTTAAGCTAGAGCAGGATATCATTAAGTAGTATAAATAATATATCATTTTTCAACCTTGTTTGTCCAATTTCAAAACAATAGCATAACCATAAGCACCCTAGCGCTATGGCTGGACATAGCTAACCGAGAGGGCTTCAGGATCTGTCTGATGACACCTGTCACATTTATTACATAATCAAAATTATTTGAGATGATAGCAATTATTTAAGCTGACTGCAATCATTTTCCTCAGGTATATTATGCCAAAAATCATTTCACTATCATATTGTACCAAAAAGCAGAAAGTTAGGGTTGTGTTGAGGCAAATAAGTGTAAATAACAGAATGAATAAATGCTTCATTGTTACAGATCATGGGTCTTATGAGAACAAGAAAAGTTCTAACTTCTAACGTGGTGCTCTAACAAGTTTAGAGGGCAGCATGAGTATAGTGTGTTTATTTGTTAGCTTTGTTGCTCATTTTAACAGTTTTAGCATGTATGCTAGCAGAACAAGTATTTTTTGCTTATATTTTCACTTTCAACAACAAAATAAAACTAGCTTTGCTTGCATCTTCACCTGATTCTGTGTAACTGTGGACATTAGTGTGAAAGTCATGCATTCAACAGTGTAGGGTATCGTTTTATGTGAGTACAAGAAAACATAACTAGGAAGCAAGATAGCTGATCAGCTAATTTTGCCATTTTGGGCTTGTAATTTAGCAGCTGCATACAATGAACAAGAAAAGACGATTAAATCCTTAATTACAGTTACTTATATGGCATTCACTCGTCAGCTAAGACTTCATGATTGTGACAGGCCTACATCTGATTAAATATTGTTGAAGGTAAACACAGATCCAGAAAGAACATAACCACACTATTGACTCTAATCCCAAATGGTTTGTTTAGACAGCAAACACGAGCTGCCTCACTTCCATTTTCATGTAATGAGCTGCCCTTCACAAATCCCCTCTCCTAGGCATCTGTGTGCTGACCCATAATAGTTATAAAGTTGTGAGGGACATACCATATCCTCATTGCAGGGGTGATTAGGGCCTCTAGCCCTATTTGGCAGGTCTATGCTGATGACAAGCTGTCTGTAGGTGACAAAGCTCAGGTTTCAGGGCCCTTTTTGTAGCAGCTGTAAGTTGATAGACCCACCATCATCCACTGTCCTCCCCAAGCAAACTGGTCTGCAGTCAGATACACTAGGCTCAAGTGGAATGAGCCAACCGACAAATCTGACCCCAGAACAGTAACTGGCAGAGGTAACAGCATCTGTGGCACAACCCCTCCTCCCCCACTCCCCCAACCACCTCCCACCTTCCCACACACACACACACACACTGTTGTAATATGAACCGGTCTTGTTTTTCACCTGCTTAGACAGCCAATATATAAGACAACAGACATGTGTTACACTCTTGGCAGCTGATTATTAGTTCAGTTTTGATGTTTTTCTTTCTGTGAAAGTACCAGTTAAGAGAGCACTAGTGGACCAGTTTTACTGCTAGAATGAACAGTTTCTACAAACACATAATTAACATTGTAGTGCCGCTCTAGGAAAAATGTCCTTTTGAAAAGAGGCAGTGAAAAACATCACTGTACCACTGACTAAAAAACAAAATAATTCTCTGATTCCCAACCAACTTTAAGCACAACCTCTCTGTGTGTGTGTGTGAGGCGTTGGTGGTCAGCAACAGGTGGCCTTAAATATTAAAGACCATGGACGCGCACACTATCTTCTATTCAAGAGAGTTTACTTGGAAGAAGACAGAGGCAGCCAAGGCAGACTGAATATGTCTTTGGAAAATATGTTTGTGAGCATTCATATGTGTATGTAAACAGGTGTTAAACCAGCTGGTAAAGACATGATTGGAACACTTGAAGAAAACAAGAAGAATTGGTCTATAGTGGACAGTGAATTTAGCCAGCTATCTGTGTTGATATGGATGGCTCCATGAGAGGAGTATCACTCCTGGAACTACAAAGGACTACCAGAAACCTTTATATACTGAGAGGTAAGACAAAAAACCTCATTACAAAGATTAGTAAAGGGTTTCTTCAGCAGAAACACTATTCCAGTTTCATTTTTTTCAGTTAAATAGAAAAATTCACCTAAATATAGGTGTGAAAAAATGATGGTTAAAAGGCTATTACGGAACAAAGAAAAGCTAAAAAAAATATAACCTTGGCATTTGAAATAATCTTAGATCTTGTAAAATATCTAATATTCTCATTTATTTTGAAACTGGTGTACAAATATTACAAGATTAATTCACTTATTTCTAGACATTTTTACTTGTTTTAAGTCATTTTTCTCATCTTGTTTTCTCTATTCCCTTGGCAGACAATTGTACTTTTCAAGCATTATTTCTTAAAAAGTACAAAAATCTCAAAATTAGAGACAGTAACTGTCTATTGATAAGAAACGAATAACTGTCAATAATGGTCAATTTGTCAATGAACTTCAAACAAATGCTTATGAGTGGCAAGAGTAATTATCTCATAATAAGTTAAAAAATAGTGATTCATTATTGTGTATGCATCCAGTCTTCTGAAGAAACAGCACAGGATTTGAAGTTGATTAGAGATTAATTGAACTCTTTGTAGTGCTTAGAGTGGACAGAAATGGAATATGACTGCAACATGTACGTCAACTCTTTTTTTTTCCATTACATTTAATTTGGTCATCTCTCATGGTTAAGCATAGCACATGATAAATATTTCATGAAGTTTTATAAGGATAAACAACTTAGAGTTTTTGATAATTTAATAAGCTTGTATTTTATACTACATTGCAAGATAGTTATCATTATGGACTAATAAACTACCTTATTAACATCTTAAGCCATAAACTAATAAAGATATTCTCTACTGTATCTTCATTAGACTACTAGTAAACAGACACCAAGGATTCAGCTTTCAGGCTCACTCACTAATTAAGCAAACATGAAACTGGCAACTGACAAAATAGGACAGAAGCTTTGTCCTAAAAAAAAGCTTTATGGACATATTAGGGCTTATATTTGTATATATGCATATATTTGTAAACTGATCATTTACTAATAATATTGCTCCCAAATAAGCCTTTAAAGGAATCATGTATATAGTCTCACTACGCAGTGTTTTAACTGCTTCTTTGTGAATTCATTTTTCAACTTTAGGCTGCCTTTTATCTTGCATCCCATGCGCCACTGAATATGAATGCCTCAGTCAGTGTTTACTTCTGCATTTGTTTGTGTGCTGATGTCTTTGCACTATGTATTTGTGTACATATGCGTAATCTGTTAGGTAATGTCCTGTTTTCTTTGTCCCACTATTACACTACCTATCTACACTATCTACACATGTCCAAAAGTATTCAGACACCCCTTCTAATATGTGAATTCAGCTACTGTAGGATGCACCAATTACTGGCAAAGACATTAAATTAGGCAAAAACAGCTTTGTAATCTTCATAAAAAAGCATTACCAATAGAATTGGATGCTCTGAAGCAGCTGCTCATGAGTCTAAGATCACCATCTGACCTTAAACGTCTTCTAGAGGGGTATAAAGCCCCCCAGCCAGCACTGGACTGTGGAACAGTGTAACTGTGTTCTTTGAAGTGATGGAGCTCCACTCAGCACATTTGGGATGAGTTGAAGTGGTGATCCAGAACTAATCATCCAACATCATCAAGCCTTACCAGAACAGTAAAGGCTGTTACTGCTGCAAAGGGGGGGCAAATTCCCTATTAATACTCTTGATTTCACTTCTGAACTTTTGGACATAGTGTATCTATCTAGTGTATTTATCTACCTATAGAGTATAGTGTGTATAGTGCATCTATCTACTTACCAATCCTATCGTCAATCTGTCAGTCATATTAAGCAGGGCCATGTCTAAACATCTGGGACCCCCACCACTCTTGTCATTATTTTGTATGCAACAATGAACGGAAATTAGCATTTAAATTTAATAAAAGTTGAGGGAATAATGATAATAAATACAAGTAACGAGAGGAAACAAAATGTAAACAAAAAAACCTGTCTGTAAAGTGTAAACCAAACTCAAAATAATTAAGATAATTTATTTTTTAGTTCAAGTTCATAAGACCACAAGTCAGATGTTTGTAGAGCATGCAGGTTTAGTTATTTACACACACACACACACATATATATATATATATATATATATATATATATATATATATCATTCTACTGAAACATAACAATAAGTTATTTTAACAATTACACCTGCCATATTAAAAACATGTTTTTCTGCTATTTTAACTATAATAATCTATACATGACTATGGAATATATAAATTAAATGACAAAGAAAACAAATGCCAAATAAATACTATAAAATATACAATGAAAGCTGTGGTCCCCAGGAGTCGTGTCACTGGTGTTCCCACGTGACAAAAAATCTCTTATTTTGAAATAAAGATTACACTGATGACATCACTTGACTTCCTTTTACTTATTTTCTGAGGATCTATGAAAAAGTACATGGTAAATCCACTGTCTTTCTATAACTTATAAGAAATTTTCTCATTTAGCTAATGATTTCATATGACTCCTATGGAGAGACAGAAAAGTGACGTTTCTGTAGAATGACCCATGTGTGTGTGTTTGTGTGACTCAGAATATTTGTTTCTATCATTTAACATAATTAAGTCAATGTAATGAAAACCTTAAAAGCAATTACAAGTAATTACAACTCAGAATTACATGACTGACCACGTTTGAGGCAAAAAGTCATAAATGCTATACACAGCTGCTTACTCATAACTTTTAGGCTAGGTGCACTTCTGTCTTGCTTCACCGATATTTAATGAACATTAGTTACTGATTTTTAAGCTTTAGAACAATCAGAATCACTTGTTTGAAAGCATTTCTTCGGATTTGTGCTCTTGTGCCAGTTTAATCAGGTCTTAGAGGCCACATGCTGACCTAGTTAACTTAAACACAAAACACCATGGTTAAGATAATATATAAAAACCTACAAAATACATCCATACCTACCCCTTAACATGAAGATAACGTTATAACCCAAAACCAACTTCATCTGAAGATTGATAAAACTGATACAGAAACAGAAACCATTTTTGACGTTTTTCAGTTTTTGACATAATCTGAAAATGTCTGTTCACATTGTACGTAATTGTATTGTATTGTAATTTCATGATAAATGGACTAAAAGAAACGACCCAGAATGACTTGGAAAAAAGTCTGGTTCCCTTGACTTACATTAAAAGTATGTTTTTTCGTTCTCCTGTAAAGTTATATATATATATGCGTATAGCAAGGTAGAAACGGCCCTGATATGAAGTGATTTTGGCTGAAACGGTCAGCGCTGTAATTATGTAAGTCTAAATCCATAAAGGTAAATATGTTTCATCAGCAGAATGACGGATGATGAGGTCCCAGTGTCAGAGGCTCCAGCAGAGGCTGATGAGGAAGTCCAGCCCTCTAGAGACAGTCGCAAATTGGACTGCATTATCTGTTACAGCGCCTACAACCTTGCAGAGAGGCTCCCGCGAAAGCTGTACTGCGGCCATACGTTCTGTCAGGCCTGCCTGCGGCGACTGGATACGGCCATCAACGAGCAGGTGAGAAACACAACAAAAGCAGTTCAGAGAGTTGACTGGATCTAGCACATTTTGACTGACACGTTTTGTTATCACTCTATTTGCACACGACACTCCTTTGCATAACTACACTCATGCCACTCCCGATGTTCATTGTCTGCTTGTTTTTAATGTTATAACAGATTTAAAACAACTGGAGACCCTGCTTAAGCTTTATGGGCCTATGGGTCAGGGCTCAGTAGTTAGAGAATCACGTTTTTTTTTGTCATTTCCATCCAAGTCACTTAAGTGACCTAAACCTCTTCATAAGCAAGCTCATATTTTTGAGCGCTTTTGAACTCCAGTTATAGGACTTTATAATGGTGCCTCAATGAGCTGATGGGCTCACCAACCAATCAGCACTCAGAAGCAGTAGCGCTACACCGAAAGAGCCAAAAAGAAAACAATTTTCTACATTTAACACTGTTGAAAAGTTAAAGTGCATTTGCTTTAAGTGGTTAACCAACTCTTGTCTTTCCTCTCTAGTTATGGATTCCTTGTCCACAGTGCCGGCAGAATACTCCTCTGCCTCGCGGGGGTGCCACTGGCCTGGACCTGGATCTGGCTGCTTTCTTGGGCATCAAAGCCGAGGCAGAGAACCAAAGAAGCAGCCCTCAGAAAACCCAACTGCAGACCAAGTCTTCGTTCGTTAAACAGCCAATCACAGATCAGCCTCCTTCCGCCTGGGCCAATGTTGCGCTGGCAGAGCCCCGTTTCCATAGGAGTCCTTGCTGTAGGCGGTGTCTGCTCTGCTGCTGGTGGTGGTGTTAGATCCGATAATACATATGTATTGCACACTACGGTGACATACCTTTCCCGTTTATAGAGTAGTAGAGGATTGGACAACAAAGGAAGCCACGCTTTTCATTTGGCTCTTTTAGTCAAATAAATAACACCACGTAAGGAAAACCTGCTGCTTCCACCCCCTTTCAACATGTAATCATGTATTTAAGATGAGAAAGCACAAACAAGATAGGAACAAAAGTCAAATGAAAATGTGTTCATGTGCATTTTTTAAATATGTGGCCCAACTGTAAAGATCAAATAAGGTACCAGTTTGCAAGTGCACTGAAAAACAAAATGTAGAAAGAATTATCAGTTTAATTAACAGATCAGATACTCAATAGATCTAAGTGGAACACAATGATCAGATTTTACTTATTCTAAAACATCATATGCGCAAGACAATTACAAACGTGTGTGCACCCATGCACCAACAGACAGTATAATTAATGTAACCTTATACTTTTGTCGGGTGGGTGGGGTTGGGGGGTTAAGAAGAGAATCAACAAAAAGAAAAAATATGCGAAGTTTGCATAAGAAAAATCCGAACATCTGTGTTGCTGGTCAATAAAAGTTACACAACACAAAAGGATGATGTACGCTATGTAAACATAAAAGGACTTTGAAATGTCCATCACGATCAATGCAGAGCAAAAAATACAAGCTATTTAGAGAAACTCAAACCCAATAGCGGTGGTAGGATCATGAACTTACGTATCCGTTCATGGTTTAATTAAAAACAGAAACATCAATTAGTCTCATGCATCCGCTCCAACACCCATTTTCCTCACTCAGACACCCAGAGTTTAAAGGTGCGGTCATAGGAGCAGGTGGCAATAAGCTGTCCATCAGGAGACATATCCAGCCCCATCACCTTTCCCTCATGCCCCGCCAGGGTCCTCAGTGGAGACCAGCCAGGGTGGGTCCACACTTTGGCCGTATTGTCATAAGCACCAGTCAGCAAGAAATGACCATCTATAGCTGGTAGAGATACAGTAGTTAAATGAATAACATATTCGTATACCTATATAGTAAGTGGAGCTGATATATATATATATCAGCTCCACTTACTATATAGGTGCACTTTGTAGTTTGACAATTACAGACTGTAGTCTATCTGTTTCTCTGCATACTGTTAGCCCCCTTTTACCCTGTTCTTCAGTGGTCAGGACCCCCACGGATCCTCACAGAGCAGGTACTACTTGGGTGGTGGATCATTCTCAGCACCGTAGTAACACTGACGTGGTGGTGGTGTGTTAGTGTATGTTGTGCTGGTATGAGGGGATCAGACACAGCAGTGCTGCTGGAGGTTTTAAACAGTGTCCACTCACTGTCCCTCTATTAGACACTCCTACCTTGTCAGTGCACCTTGTATCTATAAAGTCAGAGACAACAGGTCATCTGCTGCTGCACAGTTTGTGTTGGTCATCCTTTAGTCCTTCATGAGTGGTCACCGGACACTGCCCACAGGACGCTGTTGGCTGGATATTTTTGGTTGATGGACTATTCTCAGTCCAGCAGTGACACTGAGGTGTTTAAAAACTCCAGCAGCACTGCTGTGTCTGATCCACTTGTACCAGCACAACACACACTAACACACCACCACCACATCAGTGTTACTGCAGTGCTGAGAATGATCCACCACCCAAATAGTACCTGCTCTGTGAGGGTCCATGGGGATTCTGACCACTAAAGAACAGGGTAAAAGGGGGCTAACAAAGTATGCAGAGAAACAGATGGACAACAGTCTGTAACTGTAGAACTACAAAGTGCACCCATATAGTAAGTGGAGCTCTATATATATATATATATATATATATATATATATATATATATATATATATATATATATATACACACACACACACACACACACACACACACACATACATACATACATACACACACAGCCATTTTATTTGGTCCCCTCCAAAATTACTGGTAAAAAAAAAAAATGGTAAAATGAGTAAAAAGGGTTATGCTTGAAAGTTCCTAGAAACTCTTATCAGCTTAAAGTAAAATGCTTTGGATACATTTTCATTCTAAGGATTTCTAGGGGTGCCAATAATTGTGGCACATGGGGTTTGGTTAAAAATAATTATTTCTTGAGGGATTTTTTTCAAGATCAGAATAAATTTACTAATTTACTAGATTAAGCTAACCCTTTTTACTCATCATTACCAGGGATGCTAATAATTGTGGAAGGGACTGTATATCCAAAACAAGCAGTGAACTTTTGTATTTTCACTGTCCAAAAAAAAATGGCAACTTTACAAAAGAAGGCAAAACATTCTATATCTTAATTCCATATACTAAAATTTAATTACAAGCTATTTTAGAGCATTTCTATTGGTCTGTTCATCCTGAAATTTTCACACAATGTAAAGAGCAGCTGCTGTGCTCAAATGATATAAATAATAAAATAAAAATTAAAAAAAGGAGATACTTTTTTTTTGGACAGCGATATGTAATGTATGTAATTAACCAGTAATGGCCGAGTTTAATACTGAAACTTTGTAATAACTTTGTGAGGTAGCTTTTAGAGGCATTTAATGCTTTGAATGTTTAGTTCCCATCACCACCACTGTGAACAATTCTAATTCAGTATGTTTCTCGAGAATGGCGAATTTCAAATCAAACCATTTTGAACAACTTTGTATCTTAGATTTTTTTTAATAGCTCTGCATAATTAAACTGCTAAGTGGAATTCCATTTTAATCCCAAACATACTCCTCAGAACATAGCCACTATGAAGAGAGAGGGTACTGATAGGAAGAACAGAACCAGTTATTATTAATAGAAATGGAGATATGAGGTATATTAGGTATATTTTAAAAGTCTCCTTTTAATACTGCTGACAAACTTACGCTGGAATTTGACTGAAGACAACAGATTCTGGTGAGCAGGGATTGTGTATACACACTTTCTGTTCCGCAGGTCCCATACTTTACACGTGTTGTCCCCACTCCCTGTGGCCACATGAAAACTACAGACGACAAATTGTGGTATCATTACATCTTTACATGAATTATAATGCATGATAATTACAATTTATTTTGGCCAACTTAAAATCTTTATTCCCATAGTTCTGTCTTACCCATTTGGAGAGAAGTTGATCCCGTATATTTCTTTGAGATGCCCCTCCAGGAACATGACACAGCGACCAGTTCTCAAGTCCCATACGCGACCAAAGGAGTCCAGACCACTGGGCATATAAAGGATTGCCAAAGACAAAAGCTTAAATCTATGCAAACTCACTGAATAAGCAGTTTATTGTTGTGATTTACAGATTTTCTCAAATAAGAAGGATTTAATTCTTCCTGCAAACAATGTCTAGCCTATTTTTCCCACAAACAGAATGAATCAAATAATTGAAAGTGCTGAAACTCAAGTCTTTTAAAAGGAGCACAATAGAAAGCAAAATACTGTTGTTCCCCTTATGACCATGTGCACCGCCACACTAAGCTCAAAACGAGTTCTTTGCTGAACGCTGACTACAATTAGAGCGATCTGAAGCAAACCAGTGCACCTTTTATGAAAGTACTACAGCTCACCCTTTGTCTACACAAGACAACATTTTTTTATTTATGAATACCCTGAAATACAATGCCTTCAATGCACCTTCGCACCAGTGAGAATTTTTTTCTGTGCTTTGGCTAGCTGAGACGAAGCCATGGAGTGCATCAGTGTTCAATTTTAGGGACTCACCCAGTTCCTGCTAAGGAACCGTCAGGATGGAAATGCAGGTCATGAACACCTTTACTGTGGCCTTCTTGATGAAGAATCTCCTCCTGGACTTCAAGATCCCACAGTCGCCATGAGTTATCATAACTGGGGAGAAGAAAAGAAGAGGGAATAAAGGCAGGATTCCACGGTACAATTTTTCCCATGATAATCATGTCTCAAAAAAAAACAAAACAAAAAAAACTAATATATATATATATATATATATATATATATATATATATATATATATATATATATATATATATATAATAAAAAATTTTACTTACAGGTGCAGCCACAGTATCACAGATTTACCTAATCAAATGGGGATAGAATATGTATTACACTGTATTTCTGAGATGAAGAGATTTGATTTGTTTTCTATGAGCGTCGTTACTGTATTATGGCCATTAAAAATCTGCCAAGCTCAGTGTTATTTTCGAAACCCTCCAGTCACTGCTTAGCAATTGTTGCTGTCCACAATTTTTTCAGTATGTTAGCAGCACCCATCAAGTTTCTTCGGGGTTTTATGAGATTCAGTGTGGAAAAAGCGATGAAACTAAACAATCAGAAGTGAGATGTTCTCAGCTGACCTCAGAATACCTGTGGTTCGGCCCTAGACTTAACTGCCCGGTCTGTTGATCTCTGAGAGATGCTACACAGCACTGAGTACTAGAACAACTTTGACTTTTTGAGATATTCAGGTATGCAGCACACATGCTATAAGCTAACATAACATTTCTATGATAAAAATGTAAGTTTATGAACATTATTTACATATTATGCTTGTAAAATACAAACTCCATTACTTTTTCCCATTTGGAGCACTCACAACATTGCTAGCTAAATCAGCATGCTTTAGTCTAGTTCCTGTAGCTGCTCAGTTTAGGCTACTGGCTCCATAGTAGGCTATGTTAGTGATTAGGTGAGAAATTAAAGCTGTTTTTTGTACCTACACATAACATAATACTACTGGTATTAGAAAGTTTCCTGTTAACCAGCATATTAATGGTATAGTATCATGTAGCTAACATTATTAAGAAACCAGAAGGTACATTAGATTGTATTTTGTCTCATTAACTGTATGAGCAGCTGCCTTTTCCGTTAGCTGGGATTGGGTACAGAAAGCCTTTTATAACATATGTTTAATTTGTGCTTTTTCAGTAATCCAGCATGACAGAGCCCTAAGCTTAACCCCACTAAACACCTTTGGCTCAAGTTGGAACACTGATTGCGAGCTAGGACTTCTCATCCAAAATCAGTGTATGAAGTCACAAATGCTCTTTTGACTGAATGGGTACAAATTTTTATGGACACACTCCAAAATCTTGTAGAAAGCCTTCCTAAAAGAGTGGAGGCTGTTATAAAATTAAAGAGGGTGCCAACATCATATTATTGCCTAGGGTTTTGGAATAGGATGTCTAACAAGCTCATATAGGTATGATTATCAGGTGCAGGCCAACTTGGATCAGAATTTTAGTAAGGTCCATTTCGCAGAAATGTGACCTACATCTCATAGTGAATAAAATAACTGGCAAATATGAGTGTTACACCAACTGTAAGTTTCTCTTTTAAGTTTTTTAACAAGATTATTGCTCCTTTTTACCCATCCATAACTGTTATGCACCTTTTCCTTTCATTTGTTCCTTCCCCATCCCTGCATTCTTCCATGAAAAGCTATAACTGTTCCATAAACTGATTTAACTCCTACCCTGTTTAGGTTTATATAATTAATAATGTAACTATTTATTTTTACATTTATTTTCAGCTGAAGAGTCAATATTATAGTTATTGAAACCTGCACTAAATCAAATGATAGTTTAAAAATGATTTTATTTCATTTCGTTTTTGCACTATGGACACAGAACTTGTACAGTTTGCCCTGGTCCTCGCTCTACTTTTTTCTCTGCTTACGACCATGTCTAGAGATCCCGTACAGAGCCCTTTTGTGTACGGTAGGGATCAGCAAGCGAGTACCACAAGTGTACCACGTGCTGTTCACTGAGTCATGGCTAACTACGCTAACTCCGGACACGTTTATCACTTTGGACGGCTTCTAGCTCATACGGGCAGAAAGGACATCGGAGAGTGGCAAGAGGAAAGGAGGATGGCTGTCAGTATTTGTGAATGATAGATGGTGTAACTCTGGGCACATCACTATTAAGAAGCAAATCCGCTGTAAGGAAATTAAACTAGTAGCCATTAGCATGAGGCCGTTCTACCTACTGAGGGAATTCTCACACATGGGTACAAACTGCTTGCACATAGGGAGCCAGCTGTCAATCGCACAGTGAAGAAATGGTCTGGGGAGACTGAAGGGGCTTTGAAACACTGTTTTGACAACAGTGTGGGAAGAACTATGTGATCCTCATGGGGAGATCACTGACCGTTTCACACACTGTATAATTGACCATATAAACTTCTGTGTAGAGAACACTGTAAGCACCAACACTGTTCAGTGTTTTTCCAACAACAAACCTTGGATCAACCCTGATATAAAGGTTCTCCTGAAGGAGAAAAATAAGGCCTTTGGATCAGGAGACAAGAAACGTCAGGAGAAAAACACCATCAGTGGGATCTGGAAAAGCCTTAAAACAATTACTGGTCACAAGAAACCTGACCCCAAGGCTGTAGGGGACCAAAAGTGGGTGAATGATCCCAATCTGTTTTTCAATAGATTTAATCACTCACCTCCCCCCACACAGTTACCCCTGCTGCAACCCCCCTCTTTTGCACTCTCATTGTACTGCCCTGCCCCCTCTCCCACATTCACCCCCTCTTCATAACTCTCACCTCACAGCACCAGGCTCAAGTCTTGCGCAGACCAGCCGTGTGGAATAGTTGAACACAAGTTCAACATAAGCCTGAAGCTCAGGAGGATACCACAACTGTGGTAAACATCTTGTGTGGTACCAGTGCCAAAGACGCAGTACCCGAAGGACCTCAGCAGCTACAGACCACTGGCGTCGCACCTGTTGAAAACGCACCAGAGAGGCTGGTCCTTGCCCATCTCCACCCTCTGGTGAGCTCATCTATTGACCCACTTCAGTTCACCTGGCATTGGAGTGGATGATGTGGTTATCTACCTCCTACACAGAGCTGGAGAACATAGGGGTGGATCAACCTATCAAACTGTATTCTGGACTACCTCACCAGCTGACCATAGTGAGTGAGTGCACAGGACTGTGTGTCTGACATGGTGGTCAGTAGCACAGGGGCCCCACAGGGAACAGTCCTGGCACTGTTCCTCTTTACCCTGTAAACTGCAGACTTCGTGTACAGCTCATCAAACTGCCATCTACAGAAGTTCTCTGATGACTCTGCAATCATCAGACTCATTACAGATGAGGATGACAGCAAGTACAGAGAACTGACTCTGGAGGAACCACCTCCTGATCAATGCGGGGAGACCAAAGAGATGGTGGTGAACTTCCGCAGGCGCAGTCACCTTCCTCCACCAGTGAACATCCAGGGAATGGACACTGAGAGAGTGGACTCTTATAAGTAACTGAGTTTTCACCTCAACAATAGACTGGACTAGTAAATAACATTAGTGCACTCTATAGGAAAGGCCAGAGCAGACTCTACCTGCTTTGGAGACTGAGGTCGTTTGGAGTGCAGGGGGCACTCCTGAACTCCTGAGGACCTTTTTTGACACCATGGTGGTATCAGCCATCTTTTATGAAGTGGTCTGCTGGGGTAGCAGCATCTCAACTGTGGACAGGAAGAGACTTGACAGACTTATTAAAAGGGCCAGCTCTGTCTTGGGAAGCCCCATAGACCCAGTGCAGGTGGTGGGAGACTGGAGGATGTTAGCCCGACTAGCATCCATGCTGGAGAACAGCTCCCACCCCATGCATAAGACTCTGGCAGCACTGGCCAGCTCCTTCTTTCCTGCTGCTGTTAGACTGTACAACCAGCACTGCTCCCAGCAGAACCCTCCTCCACCCCCCATTAGACCTCACACACCTACAGCACATAAGCTGTGAATTCATCACCATTTCCTGTGTGCAATATAATCAATAATTCATGTGGAATACTTGTAAAATATCTCTATAGTGTAAAGATTTTTTTTTGCTTTTCTGTTTATGGGTCATTCTACAGAAACGTCCACTTTTCTATCTATCCATAGGTGTCACTGGTGTTACCAATCCTCATTGGTGTTACACATAAAGATAACACCGGTGACGTTTTTAATGAAAAATGCATTTTACAAAATGGCTACTACAAAGCATCAAACCACACGTTGTCAACCATGGAATATTCACTAAAATATGTAATTTAATCCACTAAAAGCTTCGTATGAAATCATGGGCTAAATGAGAAAATTTGAAAGAACACAGTGGACTTAGCATGTGCTTTTTTCATAGATCCTCAGAAAATAGGTTAATGGAAGTCAAGTGATGTCATCAGTGTGATTTTTATTTCAAAATAAGAGTTTTTTTTTTAAATACGCAGTAACACCAGTGACACGACTCCTGGGGACAACAATTTTCATTATATATTTTATAATAATTATTTGGCATTTGTTTTCTTTATGTCATTTAATTTATATATTCCATAGTCATGTATAGATTATTTTTTTCTTCAAAATATGGCACTTTACACATGACTGTGGGGACAAGCACTTCTGTGGTGCTTAGAATTCTAGATAATTGATTTAAAAAACAATAATGCTAAATTGATGGCTAAAGAAGGTGTAGCTGTTAAAATAACTTATTGTTTTATTTTAAAATATAAATAAACTGTAACCTTAACATGTTTTTTAAGTGTAATATCTGTAAACACTAGGGACACAAAAATCAATGTTTCTGTAGAATGACCCTACTATGTTTATACTGTTAATTCCTGACCTTTCCAATGTATAATGTAAATCAGTACTTCATGTGCAATATTCCATGTGCAATTTGGGTAAAATATCCTTGCAGTGTAAACATTTTTGCTTTTTTATTTATAATTATGTTGTTAATTTTTGTGAAGGACAGACCTTATATTTGTCATCTTCTTTTTTCACCTTTAGTATATGCATATACATACAGCAACAAGTAACAAACTGTATTTTACATTATGGTTTTAACTGTAATTTTGGTTTCTGTGATTGAACTCGTCTGATCTTTTTCAGGCCCTAATCCTCAGGTTTTCAATGTCAGCACTTAAGGAAAAAAAAAATCCCTCAGACCTCCCTCACTTATCAAAGGTAGAGTAGGGGCAGGTGTTCACAGAATGCAGGTGGGGGGGCAAATGCAGTTCAGAGAAGGTAAACAAGTCTTTCATAACTTCTGCTGTTGTCGGTCATCTGAATTTGCCAAAGGGTAAGAAGTTTGCATCACTGTCTTCAGTACGACCCATTCTACCGACAGTGTTTGTCTATGGAGATTGCATGGTTATGTGCTTGAGTTTATACACTTGGGTGTAGCTGTAACACCTGAACTCAATAATCCGGGGTCCGCATACTTTTATATAGTGTAGGTCTAGCCTAAGATTCTTCATCAGGTACTCACCATGCTGTGCCCAGAAACCGGCCAGAAGGGTGCCATGCTACTCGAGCCACCCTCATGGAGTGGCCCTCAATGTCTGCAACGGGCTCATCACTACAGAGAAAGAAGCAGTAAGAGTCAGTATTATTTTATTCAACTTCACTGATAAGAGGAACGATTCACTGCTACTGATCAAAACAATCAACTCTCAAACTGCTCCATCACAGTCTAAGAAATTCAAATATTTATTCCCACTGAAGCTTTACCTAAGAAAACTAATACATCTACAATGGCAGCCAGCCACTCCTGGGGGCAAGACAGCAAGGAGCATTGCCTGCCACTATTTACCAAGGGACAGCAAACTTTACAGTGTTACAGGCAATAAAAGCCAAAACATATGAGGCTATGCAATAAACATTTTAGTCCAGAGGACTGTGAATATGACCCGCAAGAAGAGTTAGGGTGTTCCACCAAGATGTAAACTGGAAGAAACTGCCTTCAAGTTTGGGTTTTTGGAATGTGAAGGATTTGGCGACAAAGACATTATCATCTAAAACACTTTGTGAAATACTTCAATACAGGTCAGACCTCTGCCACCTTTATCAAATTTTTGATGACTTTGTGGTGGTTGGGTGCATTAGGAACGGGTGGGAAGGAGAATATAGAAACCTTGTGGAAAGCTTTGTTGAGTGGAGTATGAGGAACCACCTGCTCCTCAATGTGACCAAGACCAGGGAGATGGTGGTGGACTTCAGAAGGAAGAGTACCACAATCAGTCCCATTACCATCATGGGTCAGAACATTGAGCTGGTAGACACCTACAAATATCTGGGTGTCCTGCTTGACAACAAATTGGACTGAAGGGCCAACACAGAGGCTGTGTACAGGAAGGGGATGAGCAGACTCTACTTTCTGAGAAGGCTCAGGTCCTTTAATGTGTGCACCAAGATGTTTGTGATCTACCAGTCTGTTGTTGCAGGTGCGGTCTTCCTTGCAGCAGACTGCTGGGGAGTCTGCAGCATCAGAGCAGGAGATGCAAAAAAGCTCAACAAATTGATCAAGAAGGCTGGCTCTGTCTTGGGTTGCTCACTGGATGGTTTTGAGGTAGTGGTTGAAAGGAGGTCACTTAATAAACTCACTGCTATCTTGAACAGTACATCACAGCCCCCCATGACCTACTGGTCAGACAGCTGAGCACCTTCAGCAACAGACTCATTCAGCTCCGCTGTAGCAAGGAGCAGTACAGGAGATCGTTTTTACCAACAGCAATTGCACTGTACAACACCTCACCGCTGTGCCACGACATTACTGTATACTGAGCCACTAACAGGCTCATTGGGCACCAGCTGGACATTATGTTGCATCTCTCCACTCATATTACTATGCACTGCCACTTTGTTTACACATCTATACATACTTCATATTGAACTGCCACTTTGTTTATATGTCCACAAATTTTGCACATTGCACTGTCACTTTGTTTATGCATCTATAAATGTCATACTGCACAACTGTTGACATAGGTTATCGTTACAGTACATAGTCACTAGTTCATTCACTGGAGGGGACATGCACTACTGCATTGTCAACTGCATAGTATTTATCCAATTTACTTCTCATTTTTGTACTGCACATTATTAGGGTTCAAGCATGCAATGCATTTAACCCTATTGTAATTGTCAAGATTTTTCTTCATATTCTTTTTCTTCCCTGAAACGGAACGCGCAGCCCAAACCGTAAGTCCTAGAGACTTAAAACTTGGTCAATAGGTAGTACTCCCTCCCGCTACTACTTTTGCAAACTAGTCCTACAATTTTTGACTGATTCTCATTTATTTGGTGTCAAAAAATTCAGAAGAGCCTGAAGGACAATAATTATCAAAAACATTGAGTTTTCTAAATAACATGGCTGTCATATGCACATGAACCCATCTAGATAAATTCAAAATAATTCAGAGTTAAAAATTTAAAATTCTGTAACTCGACAACCCTTCAGCCAAAAAATTTAAAACTTCAGACACATTTGTAAGATGATTCTGAGGTAGCCATTCGATTTTTGTACGCATGTCATTAGGGGGCGGAGTTAATGCTACATGGCTGTTTCTCAGCATCCGTACATCCGATCAGGCTGAAACTTTGCAGATACCATCTGTTGGCCAGACTATAAGTGAATCCATAAGGACAATTTGATTAACTGAAGTATGTGGTCGCCATCGGCCAATCAGCATTTAGCAGGCTTTTGACTGGCTTACCATTGACCAATCATCTTGAAACTTGAATGATCTCTACATATAGCCACTTTCTAACAACCAATCAAGTTTGAAAAAATTTGACCACTGGGGGGAGCTATTCATAAAAATTAACATATTACATATTACTGTTTTATTAAAACATTGTTTGAAAATCCTTGTGTATCATATGTAGTATGTTATTCCAAACAATATTGCAAATGCATATTTATTACAAAACTGCATAGTTTTTTTGTAATCAGTTTTTTCGAACTAGTCCCTGGATTTTGATCCAATCTTTTCGAACTTGGTCTGGAAAAATTCTTTAGCATATGTAGGTAAATAATTATCAAAAACATGTTGACTTTTCTACTCAGGGTCGTGTGGATCAATCAATTAATTACTGCGACCATGGCATTGTTAGCTTGATTAGCTATAACTCAGTCATTGGTCGCATCATGTCCAAACTTTCAGGATTGTTACATATTTGGACTGTAATGGTGTCTGCCAAGTTTGGTCCAGATTGGCCTTTAGGGGGCGCTTTAGCACTCAAAAACACTTAAAAATCAATTAAAATGCTATTACAATGTTATTACAAGGTCAACATATAAACAAATGGTGCCATACGACTCAGGTCACTCACATGAACAACTTTCTAAGTACATGTTCTGTCTCAAATTGTACTGTTTGTCTTGTATTTTGGCTTATTCATTCGAAGACTACATTATACGAAGGCTTATTATACAAAGGTCAAAAGGTCAATCTGACCAAAACTTGGTAAACATCTTTGGATATGGTCCCTGATCAAGAATCATACCATATTGTGGCCTTTTCACTAATTCTGACCCACTTTCACTGAGCTCATACTTTACTTTAGTCCTGTGTTTCTATTTTTCATCTTTTTCAACTTTACTCATATTTTTGCCTGTAACTTTCGATCAGAGTGAGATAGAGACAAAATTAACAAACCTATTCTTGCAAACTAGTCTCTAGATTTTTGGCCAATTTTCCTCAAATTAGTACCATCAGATTCAGAAGACACTGATTCTCAATAATTATCAAAAACATTTTGACTGTTCCGCTCAGTGTATTGAGGATCAATCAATTAATTACTGCAAACATGGTATTGCTAGCTTGATTTGCTATAACTCAACAGTAATTGGTCAGATAATCTCCAATCTTTAAGGATATTTACATATTTAGACTTCAATGGTGTCTGCCAAGTTTGGTCCAGATTGGCCTTTAGGGGGCGCTTTAGCACTCCAAAACACTTAAAAATCAATTAAAATGCTATTATAATGTTATTACAAGGTCGACATATAAACAATTGGTGCCATGTGACTCAGTCAACTAAGATGAACAACTTTCTAATTACATGTTATGTCAAAAATTGCACTGCTTGTCTTTTATTTTGGCTTATTCATTCAAAGATTTCACTATACAAAGGCTTATTATACAAACGTCAAATAGTCATTCTGACCAAAACTTGGTGAATGTCTTTGGATATGGTCCCTGATCAAGAATGATACCATACTGTGGCCTTTTCACTAATTCTGACCCACTTTCACTGAGCTCCTCACACCAATAGGGCCTCTTATGAGTGCACTGGGCCTCATTATGGCCTACATCAAATCAAAGGCTTAGATACAGAACCAATCCACTGTGCAAGTGCAACTTCTTGGATGTTCTACAAAACAGTGTAGATCAGTACATATGAATGCAAACCTATATTGTGTTTAAAACACCACTGCTTGTTGTTTATGGCAACTGAAGGCCTTTTGATGAACTGACTTCCTATTAGTTCTATTCACTCTGCCTATGAATAAGACCCATAGCTTGAGGCCTTTTTAGGCCTAATGGGCTAAACCTGCAGGAGGGCCCATACTGCTGTTGCATGCTTGAACAGCATCATTGCCGCTTGCGGCTATATTTTATTATTTATCTTTACTTTGTTTATGCATCTGTAATTAGCATACAGTAATACTTTGCTTCTGTTCATTTTGCTCTTGTTTTGCTCTTTACTGTGTTTTGTACTGCTGCAATATAAGAACTTCCTTCTGGGATTAATAAAGTGATCTACCTATCTATCTATCTATAAAACATGGCTGAGTCTGAGGTGAGTGCTGCTTTTCTGCTAACGGTTGCAGCTGGATAATTAACTTTATCAGCAGAAAGACAAAGTGCCCTCCACAGTGTCTGTGACAGTTTGCCTCTGTACACCACAGTTTGGTGTACACAATTTGTACTTAAACAATTCATATGTGGTTAAAGGACACCATTTCAGATTTCAAGACAGTATTTCTATACGTTTTATTTTTAACATGCTGAAACCCTAGGCTTATCAATTTTTTTGTAGCATTATTAAGAGAAAAGAGACTGGAAATAGAGCTGAGTAACCATAAAGGGACTGGTAGGTGTAGTGTGTGGTGGTGTCATGGCCTTGACCTGTAAGGCTGCAAAAGGTACTGGTTCAATCATCTTTATAGATGATGTAACTGCTGACAGCCGAATTAAAAACAATAATGAGGCGTATAGAAACATCTTATCAGCTGAGGATCTGGAAAAGGCCTTCAAACTCACCAGACAGTGCTTCATCCTACAGCAAGACAATGATCCAAAATGTACTGCTAAAGCAATCCTCGAAATTTACAAAGCTAAAAACTGTAATGTTTTTAACTGGACATGTAAGTCACCAGATCTAAATCCTACTGAGCTTACCCTTCATATGCTTAAGAAAAATGTAAGGGGTCTAGCCCCTGAAACAAGCAGGAGCTAAAGACGGCTGCAGCTGCAGTACAAGCCTGGCAGAGAATCACCAGAGAAGACACTCAATACCTAGTAATGTCGATGAGTCAAAGACTTCAAGTAGTCAAAGATATCTCAAGGATATGCAGCAAAGTACTAAACAAATTTACTGTACATACCACTACTATGTCCCAAACATTATGGTGCTTTGAAATGGGGGGCTGACATTTCTACAGGGCAAAGCTAACATGTATAAAAAAAATTATTAAAATCTGAGAATGTGCACTTTAATCACGTGAACTGTCTCATTACAAATTTAAAACTAGAGTACAGAAGCAAATACAAAAAACGTTCCTTGTCACAAACATTATTGAGAGCACTGTATTTTTCTTATATTTACACACACTATATTGCCAAAAGTATTTGCTCATCTGCCTTCACACGCATATGAACTTGAGTGACATACCATTCTTAATCCATAGGGTTTAATATGATGTCGGCCCACCCTTTGCAGCTAACAGCTTCAACTATTCTGGGAAAGCTTTCCACAAGGTTTAGGAGTGTGTTTGTGAGGTCAGACACTGATGTTGGACGAGAAGGCCTCGCTCGCAGTCTCCGCTCTAATTCATCCCATAGGTGTTCTACCGGGTTGAGGTCAGGACTCTGTGCAGGCCAGTCAAGTTCTTCCACACCAAACTCGCTCATCCATGTTTTTATGGACCTTGCTTTGTGCACTGGTGCGCAGTCATGTTGGAACAGGAAGGGGCCATCCCCAAACTGTTCCCACAAAGTTGGGAGCATGAAATTGTCCAAAATCTCTTGGTATGCTGAAGCATTAAGAGTTCCTTTCACTGGAACTAAGGGGCTGAGCCCAACTCCTGAAAAACAACCCCACACCATAATCCCCCCTCCACCAACTTTACACTTGGCACAATGCAGTCAGACAAGTACCGTTGGCAACCGCCAAACTCAGACTCGTCCATCAGATTGCCAGGTGGAGAAGCGTGAATCGTCACTCCAAAGAACAGGTCTTCACTGCTTTAGAGTTCAGTAGCGGCGTGCTTTACACCACTGCTTTCGATGCTTTGCACTGCACTTGATGATGTAAGGCTTGGATGCAGCGGCTCAGCCATGAAAACCCATTCCATGAAGCTCTCTACGCACTGTTCTTGAGCTAATCTGAAGGCCACATGAAGTTTGGAGGTCTGTAGTGATTGACTCTGCAGAACGTTGGCAACCTCTGCGCACTATGCGCCTCAGCATCTGCTGACCCCACTCTGTAATTTTACGTGGCCTACCACTTCGTGGCTGAGTTGCTGTCGTTCCCAATCACTTCCACTTTGTTATAATACTACTGGCAGTTGACTGTGGAATATTTAGTAGCGAGGAAATTTCACGACTGGACTTGCTGCACAGGTGGCATCCTATCACGGTACCACGCTGGAATTCACTGAGCTCCTGAGAGTGACCCATTCTTTCACAAATGTTTGTAGAAGCAGTCTGCATGCCTAGGTGCTTCATTTATACACCTGTGGCCATGGAAATGATCAGAACACCTGAATTCAACGATTTGGATGGGTGAGTGAATACTTCTGGCAATATAGTGTATTCCCTTTACTTTTATATTTCCTTAGGTACATGATCCTCCATCATTGTATGTGCATTGGATGCTTCAGAAAAACAGTCTGCATTTCATGGATGACTAAAGTTGAGCAGTAAGTATTTGTTTGACCCCTGATGTCAAGAGCTGCTAAAGGATACAAGAATAAATCCTGCCTGGTTACATTTGCAGATTGCTTCCTTGTCTTGAATGAAGTTTTGGAGCTCTGTATTTTGGTTCCAATATTTAGTTAGACTTCTGTATGGACCCAGAAAGCTGTTGTGGTCTAGAAATCATTTATCAGGAGTTCTGTATGGGGCTGCCGTCCAGGTGGTAGTTAATTTGTTTGCAATCTGTGAGTATGTGTGTGTCTCTCTGCGAGTTACCCTGAAAGATCATTTGACATTTGGGATGCAAGTTACTATTTTTTGAAAATCCTCCACTGAGTGAAAACTGGACAAAACATATTGACATACTGCTCTGCCTCTTGCAGTTTAAAGCTGAACTGTGGGGACTAGTGCTAGCTGTGCACAAACAAAAGGATTTTAAAATCATTCTTCTTCTGTCATAAATGTTCTCCTGGAGACATAGATATGTAAAATTGGTGTCTCTTTAAAAACTGTCTCTTTAATCTTAAGAGCCCAATCTAAACAAGTTTTAGCCCAGCTCCAGTTCTGGAACCCCACTTCCACTGAACAATATAAGTCTCAAACTAATCCTAACTGCAAACAAAGAAACAAATATGTATTCACTCACAAACCTGTCCAAACTCCACAATTTAACAGATCCATCTGCAGCACAGGAAGCCATGTTGACATCTGACTTCTTGAGAGTGAGTGTGGCCTGTGGATGGAAGCTAATGGCTCCAACATTTGTATTGTGACCTACAACGAACAATACTAACACTCAGCATTTCTATATACATTTGCCATCTAAATGCCAAGCTCCGGCATACTGGTGTAATGAGATTTTTTATTTATTTTTTTTTAAATGTATTCACTTACCCCTTAATGTACGAACGAGGCTGCAGTCTGGGACATTCCAGAGCTTGCATAGACCGCTCCTAAATTTGACAAAGAAATAATTATATATATATATATATATATATATATATATATATATATATATATATATATATATATATATATATATATATATATCTATTAAACTCAAAGAAAAGTACTTTTTGCTCTCATTCAGACACCTATCGTGACTCATTCAACGGAATGTACACGTATGCAATGTTATTAAAATACATATTGAAAAACACACCAAGATGCAGTCACCAGCAGTTTGGAGTTAGGGCTGAACTGGCAATAGGATATTGGGCGATCATCTCCAATCTGACTGCAGAAGTTGTTCAGGTTCTGATGAAAAAAAAGAAGTAATTGCCATGTTTTAAGTGTTACATTGTTAATTAGGTACTACACTACACCAGAACAGTAATACTACCCTACCCTGAGAGCCTTGTGAAGCTCTTGCTGCCGTACTGTGCGTGTAGATTCCGGAATATCTTTTAGAGCACGTGCAGTGTCTAACCTCTTTACAGCTCTGAAAACATACAACACCAAATCTTTATCTTTATCTTAGCATATAATAAACAACGTATGGGACTTCTGGAGCAAATGTGTGCTTGTTATCACTTTGAAGAAAACAAAATGTTAAACAAATTGGTTTCTTTTGAGCATATTTTTATATACATTCACTTCCGAGTTGTGCTTACCTGGGTAATGAGTATTTTGCTAGCCAGAGCCGTGCGTCCTTCAGAGTCTCGGGGCCCTCATGGTACCATGTCTGCTGAGACTAAACAAAAAATAAAAAGAGGCTGCAGTATCCTGGAGGTTTGGCAACAGTACATTTTCCATTGCAGTAATAGCTTACGAGGGTCACCCCTGATATATGTGATGACTGAGAAATAAGTTTCCATACGTCCTCCTGGGAACGCTTTGCTTTCTCTTCATCCTTCTTAGATTTCTTCAGGGCATCAGGACCTACTACTGATAAGATATTTCGCAATCTGTGAAAAGAAATATTTGATTAATTGATGGGTTTAAAAATCATACACTCAAGGGAGACAACAAATACACAAGTAAGCATGATTCAGGCTTTAGTGATAATTACGGTTGCACTACAAGCTCACCTCTCTCGTCTCTCAGCAGGGCCCTCGCCAAACAGTGTAATTGGCTCTCCAAGAGCACGCAGACAAGCTTTGACTTCAGTGTCATCAGTAGAGACTGTAATTTGTCGGGCTCTTTTCCTGCGCTCAAATTCAGCCAACACCTCTGCCTGCCGCTCATTCACACGATCCTCTATCTCCAGTGACTCACCTGAAAAGTAATCAAGTTACTACAAATAAATCGCACGGCTAAGAAAAAAGAAAAAGTTACATTAAATATCACCAAGTTATATCACTAACTGCCAAGATAAGGAAAAGTAGTCATTACTGACTTCACAAGACATCTGAAATACTTCCCTAATATTTTAGCTATTAGAAAGATAATATGTTAACAAATCAATTCTTAATCATTTCTCTGATTTCATCAGCAGCACCACCAAGGCTATTTCTTTACATACAAGGTAGCTCAGACGTCTTCTTACCAGAGGAGATGTTAATATTGCCAGCCTCAATACCAGCCTTAATGGCGTCTTTGCCTGAGGCAGTGGCTCCCTCTCTTCCAAGACGCTCCTTCTCCTTTTCTTCAATACTTCCATAAAAGATCCGCGACTTTTTCACCACTGGAGCTTCATCCTCATCCGACATCTTTAATGGACTATTTTTCTACTGAGGTCAGCACAACCTGCTGAAAAAAAAAAAAATACATGGTTATAAAAACAGCACTGCAGGTTTGTCGAGTAAATTAACTCAGGAGGTAAGACTTCCAAGACAAACTAAACCCGGAAACTACGGTACACCATTTAAACCAAGTACTTCTCAAACATTTTGTAAAACCAAGTGCAGAGAGTTGATGACCGCATAAATGGCTAACGAAAGAAAACCTTAAACTACGAAAACGGCTCCAGCAGCAACCTGGCCTGAGCTGCAGAGCAAGTTAACTAATTGAACTAAAGTTTTAATGTGCGTTACAAAACTAATAATTCAGTTTCCTACCCCACGCCACCTCCAGTCAGTTGAAACAATATTAACAATATGTTTTCATTAAGTTTGCACTGTAATGTTAGTTAATACATATTGCTAGCTAAACGTAGCTCTCCACGACAAATGCTCCGCGATATGTGTGGCGCACAGGAACTTGTCATAGACCATAGAAGAAAGCTTGTATCTCGTAGTGACATCTAGTGGAGACAAACCTTAGAATTCATGTAAAGTTTGGTTTCTGTGAGGCAAAAGTGTGTGTGTGTGGCTCTAAGGGACATTTTTGCAACTTTCTTCACGTATTTTCCACATACAAAAAGTGCAATGTATATTGTTATATTTCAACATATAGGCTCATCAAAAATTAAACACTACATTTCCCAGAAACCCACAAGCAACTTCCGGCCCGAGCCCGAGTCACCGACCGATGTTTTAAGTTAAGACAACGCTTTTTTCCTTAAGGTTCGTTTGAAAATACTAATATTATATTAATACATACATATTATACAACTCTTAGATTAACAAGCCTGTCGAGATATATTTATAATAACCTTACTGAGTTCTACGCAGAGATGGCGTTAATAATTTAGCTAACTTGCTGTTACATGCATTTAACAAAATGTTCATGTTAGAGCTGTTGCCATGACCAAATATTTGTTGGCTATCATTCAATCTGCCAACGTTATATTGTTTTGCGGACATTTACCAAGCTAATTTGCGGGCTCGGTTGCACTTTATCGCCAGTGCTGTGCTGCACTATTATTTTCTAGCGAAAACTGTTGTATGGTAACAATACATTGTGTATTTTTAGTTGACTTACATCCAACCAAGTCACCTACCAGGATGCTTCGCCGAAAGCCAACACGTCTGGAACTGAAGCTGGATGACATGGAAGAGTTCGAGTGTGTGAAGAAAGAGCTTGAGGTAGGTTAGTAATATCGCCGACCTATAAACAAATAAGTCTCAGATACGTAAAACCTCATTTTATATTGCTTTTTACAGAGTCGAAAGAAACAGCGAGATGAGGTGGATGTGGTTGGCGTTCCAACGTCCAGCGAGATGAGCGGTGCTTCAGGGGGTGGAGAGGGGAAAACCAGAGAACAGATGATCCACGAGCGAATTGGATACAAACCTCACCCAAAGCCAAACACCCTACCATCGTTATTTGGAAACCTTCAGTTTTGAACTACTAACTAAATTAAGTATGCAGTCGTGCCATTTTTCATCACACAGACTTTAAACTAGCCTGCTTTACTATGAGAACCATACAACTCCATTTTGTACAGATTCACTTGCAAAGTGCAAATGCACATTTTTTTCTTGCTTCTCTTATTTGTTACTGATAAAGAGCATTTCCTTCCAAATATGAGTAAACACGGAGCAGTACTTTTTGGTTCTGAAACCAGTTGCAATTTCAGTCACTAATAATACTGATCTGTCAGTCTTTTTCTATACAAAACAAGGTCTTCGGAAGTCACATCAATTATGCTTTTAATTACATTCCATTTTCATTTTCTTAATCGATTACAGCACTGTATGTCAAACTACACAAATATGACAGGATTGTAAACAGTTAACACTGATGCTGCACTTGATTTAAAGCCATATTCCTACTGATACTTGATCAGCATATTTCAGCACTTACTTGGTTACCAAAATCTAATTCCAGTTATTCTCTAATTAATTAAACCTAGTATTAAGGAGGATGACTTGCAAATCCAGCTTGTACAAAACACAATATCTTAAATTATAAAATAACTATTAAAACTAAAACAAAATCAACATAACAGAATTATCAGTTGAGCATTTTCTAGTGAACACACTTCCATGTCGAAGTACTTAATGCCTGTAAAAATGTTTCTGACTGTGCCTTTTTTCTGACTGATAAGGCAGATATCTAGTTGAGGACTTGCATTAGTTAGCTAATCCAACAGGAAAAAGGCACACTTCAGCGATTAGGAAGAAGAACCACAAAACAAATTGTTGAAAATAGGTGAGGCCCATTTCTTGCAATAAGGAATGCACGAGTTACATATTAATACCATCGATTTTCAGAGAATTTTACACCTTTTGTCATTATAATTTTTTGGCTAGTTACATAAAACCTAATGATGTGGAAAAAATAAAAATTAAATTGCAAAAAATTGTGAGATATATGTCTTATAGTTTACAGTAGCAGAATGTTATAAAAAGGAATCTTAAAGGAAACACTGGCATCAGAGATATAGTCTACATTTCACCATTCTGTTTTTACTTAATATACTCCATAGGGAGCAAATTTTAGATGCTGCTCTGTAAAGCCAACCAGATGGGATCACCTCTTTCTCTCAAGAGGCCTCATTTCACCGACCACTCTTAAGAAGAATTTTCTTCTTAAAAACACACTTATGCAGTTTTCTGAAGTTTCTGACTTTCATCCATGTTTTCTTATTTAGGATTTGTTCTTAGCTAAGAACAGAATCTACACACACTCAAAAGCACAAAGGTGTGAACAATTCTGCGATTTAACATGTCAAGGATCTGAGAGAGACTTTTTCCAAGGGGCCCGTCTCAAGAACACATTTAAGAAAAAAACTTAAATGAAGATATTGGTGAATGAGGCCCAATGTATGTGTGCACACAAAGAGTTGATGGTCATAAGCCAAGTTTAAAAGTATTATTCAGCCCTGCAGTGTTCTGTCTTAGCAACACTCTTTGTCGTTGATTAACCTCAAAAGACATTTCAGCAATTCCACAAATACAAAGCAGACTTACAACTCTAATCAGGTGTTACTAATGCACAGACCCATCCTAATCTCATGCATGCTTTGTTTTGAAGTTCACTGATATTCTCCAGACCTCTTAGGAGCTCTGCCTATTTACCGTTGACACTTTTCAGTGTATTCTCTCATTTTAAGGCAAAAGGTTTAATAAGGCGCTCTCTCTTCATATCCCTTTATGGACAAGGGCCTGTAATTTGTGTGGAGTGGATTATGTAGTGCAGAACAAATGACAGTCATAGCCTTTCAAATAGTGTGTGTAACATAAACTAGGAGGTAGACTGTAAAGCTGTGCACACACTTCTCATGGCACCCACAGAGAGGAATGGTGTATAAATGAAGGAGTAACCAAAGATACAATGATTGAAAGGGAACGATACTGAGAGCAAAATGATGCCAGCCTGAGTGGACTTTAGGGGGGCTATGACATGTTGGCTTTTGAATAAAACTAACAAAGAAGAAGAAAAAAGTTTGTAAAATGACATTTGCCACTAAGGGGCCTATCACCAATCTTGAGCATGATAAATAATATCGCTCTAACACTGCTGACTCTGGCAGAGATCACACAATGTTGGTTCTGAATTAAATATAGGGTGTGTTTCTGTTTTTCATATTTTCAAATGGCATGTATATGTGTTTGTGTGGGGGAAAAAAGAGGACATAGCCAACTGGAAGGTTAATGACAGTGTTCTGTAATGTCTACCACTACTGCTTTCTTCCAGCTGAACAAAAAGTAGCCCACTCCAGCTCCCGCTGCCACAGCGATGCAGAGGTAGCCATTGTAGGTCATGAACACCAGCATTAGGAAGTAGCTGACCACCACCTGGATGACATGTAGTATTGTCTGGAACATGTGTGCCAAGCTCAGCATTCGTTGGCTAAAAGAAAGGGGAAACACGGAGGGTGTTTAATAGGGCAGCAAGGCAGGTAAGAGAGCAAGTCACACTACGGAAGAATCCACATTTGCAAAAAGCTAATCTTTACCGACCATTATGCCTAGTGTATTTTGAAGCCATTTACTGGGAAAGCGCTGATTTAACAGAACAAAGTTAGGTTTAATAATAACTTGAGTATTAGGGATGACAAAGGCAAACCTTGAGTTAATGAGTAGAGTAATATAATGAATAGGAAAAGTGACTAAAGTAACATCTGCATTTAGATGTATGTGAAAGGCATTGGTAAACAGGGTTGGAAAATGTGGTAGAAAGTCCATATTTAATGATTGATGCTGCTGCAATAGCGTAATATGTAAGGAAAAACAGACACGCAATTGTTTCTCAGATGACTAAAAAACGTCATTTTGCATTAACATGCGTTTATGGTTATCAGATCACGTCTGGATTACACTTGACCACTTGAAAAGCCAGGTGTAAACACCCCCAGGTTGTATTGTAAGCAATCAGATTACTTAAACCACATTTAGAGGTGAACAGAAACGCATTTAATATAAGTGTAAATGAGTGGAATGAGTCATCCATTTACAATTACGATTTGCAGGTGAGAAAACAAACAACGAAACATTGAGGATATGCAAGTTAGCCCCAAAAGAAGTGCCTTCATGCACTCTGGGCCGATGAAAGCATCCAGGCCAAGCTTGTCCACTTGTAACAAAAAAAAAACAAGCAAAAAAAAAAAAAAGTAAGCAAAAGTAAAACAAATGATGTATATGTTGACATGCCTTTATGTGGGAAAGTACAATCGAATCTCATCTGGTCAAAGTTCAGATGCATTTTAATGAGGTATAAATATAATCTGACAAAAGTTTATCCAGATATGATTCGAACAGGAACAGCATATTAATGCAAGCTGTAAACTCATAGAGAGAAATACTATAGTAGGGTTGCAGTGCATAAACCCCTCATTAGAAAGAAGAATACTCATCTGATAGACCTGTGGTGCAAAAAAACAAAAAAAACAAACAGACTATGATCAACAGAGATGTTTAAAAAAAAATAAATAAATAAAAAGTGTGATATCATAACCCCTTCACCATATTCATGAAAAGTGGTTAAGTGCATGTGTGGCACAATCTAAGAGAAGAGTACAGGCCTAAAGGCTTGTCGTCTACAATGAGGAGGAATGCTGACTGCTATGCTGTGGGGGGGCATTTTCCTCGCATGGATTGGGTCATCTTATCCCTTTAGGTGGAGGGATCACTCACTACAAATTAATGTTCTGATTAATGTTCTTGATGGGAGTGGACATTTCTAGGATGACAATGGCCCCATCCACAGGGTGTATTACAAATACGTAACTCAACTGCTCTGGCCTTCAAAGTCACCGGATCTCAACCCAAATGAAGATCTTTGGGAGAGTTTGAACCTGTAAAACAACACTATCCACCACCATCAAAACAGCTGTTGGAATATGTTTGGAAGATTGGAAGAATGGCTCGGAAGCTGTTCTGGCCCAAAGACTTGCTAAGACACTCTTTTTTGTTTTTCCTTTAATTTTTCACCTGTCTGTATCATTAACTAGTGTGTTTTAGTGTGTGATGCCTCTCTCTAGCCACTCACCCAACTGTTTTGTGAGTCTCCATGAGTACAGTGCCATCAGCACCTGGCACTGGCATGGAGTTATAGCGCACATTGACTTGGTTGCGCCTCAGCAGGACCTCCCGACCAATCTTCAGTCCCTCATAGAACGCAGCCAACAAAAACACCCCAACACAGGCTCCTACCATCTCTGAAAGAAAGGTCAGAAGAAAGTGTATGAAAGTCGGTTTCCAGAATTAAGTATCAGTATCTTCATGGAGACCACAACTCAATACCTTGCTCAAGCATGCTGCTCTGTGGTAAGCCTTCCACCTATTCAAGATTTGTTTCCTTGTAATCTTGGTAACAGCTCAAACTAATCCTTACAAATGGTTAATGCTCCACCTAAGAATTTAATCCCCACTGTCACAGCCTCTCTCCTCACTATACTTAGTACAAATGGATGGATGCATGTAAATACTAATCATATGACAAAAACAATTACTACTAGGGCTGGGTGATTAATTACATTTTATTTTCAATTACAATTTTGGCTTCCAACTATTAAGAAAACAAGATAATCAAGATATCACAATTGTGTTGTTCACAATGATGCTCTTGTTTTGTCTTGTGTTATAAATCCAGCGCACCCCTTTCCTTTACAGCAGTGTGCTTTCACTCCTCCCTAAAAGCCCAAATTCACTCTCAGCCCAGCTGTGGCACGTTTAGTTCAGCTCAAGCCAAGATGACAGAAAGAGAGCCTTTGGCCAACTAGAAAGGTAAAACCAATTCAGCTGTTTGGAAAAACTTAGTTTTAAGGACACTGTTTACACCTGGTCACTTCATGCATCTTGAGTACTAGGATTATATCTAGATAAGGCCAAGCCACATAAAAATGCAAGTGGTAAAGCATCCAAGACATATTCAAAACAGATACAAATCTGATTGCTCAAACCACTTTAGGAGGTGGTCTGAGATGCATTTGAGCCACTTGTTAAAGCAGTGTAAATGCATTGGTCTCTCCAAGACACATTTAACAACCAAAACTCCTCCGAGTACTACTCCTCCCCATGCAATACGTCACTGGGCATGGGATCCATGTCTATAAGGAAGATAATCATGGAGGACGCACATGGTGGGGGACTGGATGAAATAAAATGCTTAACAGTAATATGGACAGACAATGGTATTTGGTTGTGGCGTAATGAGCGGATTTGCATATTCCGTCCCACACAGCATTCGGATTTCAGACGCATTTGACTACCAAGTGAAATGCATGTGGCTAAAATCTTATCAGGATATAATCCAGATACTAGTCACATGAAGTGAACAGGTGTAAACAAGGTCAAGAAGTCGGATGAGCAACAAATACTGTGCAAGATTTGTTGCACAGTGGTGTCTGCACCACAAGACAATTCATCTTAATCATCTGAAATTCAATCTGTTAAGAAATTACTTTAAAATATTTCCAAAGTCAGTGAGTAATCATGTTAAATAATCCTGATCTCAATACTGACTAAAATAATTGTGTATATGATTTCTGCCATAATCAAGCAGCCCTAATTACTAGTGCACAACTCTGGTCCTGGTGGGTCAGTGTCCAGTACAGTTTACTAGTTTCCCTACTCAAAACCACCCAAAAAATCTGGTAGTTAACAAAGGAGTTAATGTGCACCCCTGCATCACAACAAATCTTGCTTACACATGTGCTGATAGAAAAAATACTGACGGCATCAGCAGATCATGTGGGCAATGGCAAAATAATACGAGAAAAAGTGGTGAAAATATTCCATAAATTCATTCATCAATGAGGATTTTAACATTAAAAATATATTTGAAATCTTTCAATAATATATATTTTTTACTAACAACATTTACTTGGAAAATTGCGTTACCAATTTTTTGACTAATGCTAAACTACTATGCACTACCCATGCCCAAGCCAGTTAAGAGAGTGCGAGAGAGACAGAAGTGAGGTTCACAAGGTCCTTCTAAACAGTTAACTCTCTTAAGACACCAAGCAGTTTGAAAACACTTTTTATCTTTTTCAGATAAAGAGGCTGCAATGGGCTTCATTTTCCTACCAAATTTTTCTCCAACAGCCCTAAGTAAACTTCCGTGTTCTTTTAACCATACAATAATATATAATGATTCAGACTCACCTCCAGGTGTGTTGATGACTAGCCCAGCAAACAGCAGCTGTACATGTTTGTAACCAAAGTAAAATGTCATATGCTACAAGAAAAGACATGAATATTAGTAACAATGTAGGTGACTTCTAAATGTTAAGAAAAAATCAATAGAAAATAAATGTTTTGACTGTCTTAATGCTTTCCAGTAGACCCTTCAGCTGCTACTATAAAACAAAAGCTATACTGTTCCAGACTGTTAAACAGTTTACCAATATGTTTTCATAGTAACATTTCTTTTAGTAAAGACTAGTTGTTTTTATGGTATCTATTATTGATGAAATAACATAACATATAGGCAAATCTATAGCAGTTCACTCTGATGATACTTCCTATATCACCATGACTGCAACGCAGCATCTACTGACCATCATGCCTTCATGGCCTCCAGAGCCTGAGCCATGGTCCACTGTGTGGTCTGCGTGAGGGTCAGTGACTGCGGAAGGCATGGTGCCTTGGTCATGGTGAGCATGTAACCCTTCCATCTTCCTACACATGAAACGATAAAGATGAAGATATTAAACCAATATGACATTACTCTGTAGACTTTCATACAAATTTTATGTGTAAGAAGTACAACAGTGAAAATAAAAAGAACTAAGAGGGTGAGTACTTTAAGCTTATTATGAAATCGTTTGGAGTCCCATACTGAGACTACGTAAGTTTGATATTCCACAGCAAATCCTGGAAAATTTTGAAATATCCATGTGCTGCTTCTGCTAAACTGAACAATGTTTATTTAGCTCAACTGCTTTCCTTTATAGTTAAGCGCACCTGGTGGACTGTCTGCTTAACAGTGACATAAGCCTGTGAAGGAGGCAAACTAATCGCCACGGTCTGCCCTCAGCACCATACTGATGTCCTACATGGTTGACTGCCAGAGCCTGACATGGCCCTTTGGTCTTTAGTTTTTAGACGAACACAAGCTGATGCCAGTTTGACTTATTTACATTATTATTGGCTGATGCAACATAGGTAAACACAGTACACATAAGATGCTTATGAGCAAAAAGTGTTGAAGCAAAACATTTTAAAGAAGAAATTCTGCAAAAACACTTCCTTCAATTTTCAGTGCAGAAGGCCCCTCACTAATTGAATCCACCTGTAACCCCAGGCGACAGACTCAGAGACCATTGTCTCTATAATCTAATACATGGCTATGTATAAAACAATTAAAGTCCTAATGTGGCAATAAAATACATTTTGCGAAAGGCCTGATATAGCCTGGGGGACAGACTGCATGGCAGAGACGACCAGCCTTGACAGAGCGGCAATGTAAAGATCCAGAATCAATCCTACATCAACCTAACGTTGCCTGGCTCTGAGAAACTCCGCTGTTAGTCAATCTCAAGCATTGTTCAAATACACATTTAATTTTAAAAAGACTGTGAAAACAGAATGTTCTTGTGCAAAAATAGTAATCTTTAAAAGTGAAACTGAGCTATAAACAATTCAAAAGTAGATAGGATGCAGCCAGGTGACTGATGAATTTTGATCACTGACAGCGGTTTCCACAAAAGACAGGGACAGAGACCCTTGAAAGAAAATAAGGAGTCTCTTATTACAGATAAGTTGTACATTTCAATGCTGTTTCAAGTGTTCATTTTTTAAATATAATATTTTGAAATCATTTCAACCTTATACACTTCTGAATCCATGACTTTGGCATCACACTGCACTGTAAAACATAATTTATTTAATTACTTAATATGTAACAAGCAATTTAACTGGTTTTATTCAATTCAGATAAATACTTTAAATGAAACAATGCAAAGCAACATCTTAGTTTAGATGAACAAAGGTAATATTTTACATCAATTCCAGCCTCAAGTAAACATGTCAAAACAACTTCTGCAATGTTGCACTTTTAGTTTTTACAGTGTACTGAAGCAAACTACCTTAAATCGGCTCTCCTTTAAATTTTTAAAAGGAAACTGACTTTACAAGACTTCCTGTCAATATAACTATATAATAATAATAATAATAATAATAACAATAATAACAATAATAATAGTAATAATACTACTACTAATAATAACAACAGCTCTCCTCAGTGTCTTACACACTCAAATTAAGTTCAGTGAGGGCATGAAAAGGTAATTTAGATAATGGCTCTCAGAAGTAGAGTAAATGTAGCGAATATGGCTGAATACACTAAGCTGATCTCTCATGACTGAGCTCCTCATGTGATCTTTCTCCTGGCTTTAAATTTCTACAGCAGATAATGAGCCAATTACAAGGCTTTATCCACTCCCAGTCCACAACTTGTCATGGCATCTAATAAATCTCTTCCTCTTTTAGATCACACTTAGCTATGTTACACTGCCAAAAACAATAGAACGATGTTAATCAAGCCTGAAGATCTCTTCTGTCCCATAACTTAACTTTCTTAGTCCTTTCTGGGGTCTGTGCTCATTTATTTATTTTCTTCTCAGACAAAGCCTCTAAACTGGCTGCTGATTCTGATCTTCTTTTTATAAAACAGCGTTTCCCAAACGTGGTAATGATAGTCTATTCGAGGTGGATTCACTTCCTTAAATCCAATAGGTCTTTCTGCAATGTTGAACTGAATGTTCAATATTACATTACTCTATGGAGGATATTTAACAATAATCTGAAAAATATTATTACTAAAATAATATTAATAATAATAATTTTATTGAAGAAAAAACAAAAGATTACACCTGCCCATAAATAACACCACCCACAAAATATAATGGCATTAACAATTTTATCTTAAACTTTGACTTTATTATGGGCTATTATATTTCTAAAATACCCCACTGTTCTGGGGAATGTGTCAAACATTACTCTTTATGATCACATGCAGAGACCTTTGTGCTCATAAGTAATTAAATAGGGCCTCATTGTAAGACCTGGATTGTGCTACGTGCAGCAGTTGGAGTAGCACTGATCTGATCTCAGTTAACATATAACTGCAATTGACAATTTAATATCATTCATACAATTTAATATCATTCTCAATTTAACAATTTAATATCATTCTCTGTGATACTATGCCTAAAAATGGGTCCTGAGCTGAACAGTTTCTAGTACAGCATTAAAACACTTTTTGATTATTTGCTGTTTGAATGTGCATATCTGTTTCATCTTTCATGGCAGTTGAAAAGAAAACATGGAAAAAGTTTAACATGATGCAATGGGACACTCCACATTCCAAAAATAACTGATTTTGCAGAACACAAACAAGAACACACAGTTTCACTGACGCAAAACACCTCTCTTATGAAGCACCAAAACTTGTAAAGTACAAATAGCATTCCATTGTGTGGAATCTTCAGCCTGCTAAACTTTTATTCGCAAACCAGGTCCATGAGGTGATTCGCATATGAAAAAAATGTTTAAAAAATGATTAGTTAAAATAAGTCACTATATTCACTGCTCACAGTACAGAATTCATTATGATTTGTACAATCATTTGATACATAGTGCTGCATAGACAACTAGAAAATTTAAAAATCTCTGTGGATGCAGATTATTAATTATGAAATTGTGGACAGAACACATCAGGGCAAACACGCCATGGCTTCACCATTAAACATTTAGTTTAGACCAGTGCTGGGTAAAATGTCAGGTTCTGGATATTATGTGTACCGACATTATATATACACGTGTTTTTGTGTGTGTAAAGTAGGCAATTTACTAGGTGCTTCAGATTGTTCAAAATTCACAAAAACTAATACGTACCAATTTTCCTTTTGGAAATGTGCAAGATTTCTTTTGGTGCAATTTTAGAGCAGAAAAGATCAAAACCGTCCAATCAAAATAAGCCAGGCTTGTTTTTTCAGGCTTGCATAGAGTACCAGTACCCAGGACTAATGGTCTCACTAACTTTATTAACACAAATTAAATATAATCTAATACCATAATACATTTACAAAATATCATGACAGTAAATTTTATGCATTTCACCCACCACTACTCTAGAGAGTGAACTAATCTGCTGCTCCCCCCCCTTTCAGTTTTCAGTCAGTATTTCTACCCTGGGTTAACTAGACTGTTTTAATGTAGCAGAGTTAAAAATGAAGTACAAAGAGAGTTTGAGATGAGGTACAAAGAGCAACATTTTAAACCCGAAGTAAAGACTCAAACAACTCAGTCAAATCTGGAATTTCACAATCTCAAACAATTCTAGCATCGAGTTAGAATGCCCTTCTGTTTTGCATTTAGCTAAGGTCAAAATTTAGAGTCTATTCATTACATGTCCCACTTATTAATCTGAGTTGGCAGGAGGTTGTTTTTGGATCCTCATACAGAAAATCTAGAACAAGTATTTTTATTTGCCGAGCTTCAATGTAATCCAACTGGTAAGTGCCATGGAGCTTAAACTTCATGGCCGTTAATCTAGTCTTCCAAAATAAGCTCAGGGATTTAATAACACAGCTACAAAACACTTCAACAGCCTTAAATTTAATCCTAATTTACTAATCAGGTTGGACCAATGACCACAACAACTCAAAAAACAGTTTGATTTGCAGAAATGGTCTGATTTACTTACTTATGCATCAGACACAGGCTACCTGAGCAAAGTATACACTTGCAGTTATTTTGTCTGTTTCTTTACTTTGCTGAATTATTCTGGTTAGGGTTTAAGTACAGTGCAAAGCAAAACAAGTATAAGCAAATATACCTCTAATAGTTTTCAAAAGCATCCTTTATTGAAGTGGACTGTAATGTTAACATAGCCAAAAGCCGAAAGAACACAGTACAGATGGTTAAAATCTATCACTGGACCTCAAAGAGACAAGTACTGTTGCTCTAATCCGCATTCTTCCCACACAAAGCCAAATAAAAGCAACTTCAGGACAATTTCTTAATTGGTGTGTTAGAAGTGAAACAAAAACACCCTTTATGTATATAACATGCATGATATACAGCACATGAAGCTGCACAACTGTACACTGACCACAGACAAGTAAACTGAACCATGTGACAGCGCTGAACATTTAACAGTTTTCTTTCTCTATATCCTTCTTATTTAGAACATCTGTGGTTTTGAAAAAGCAAACATTTAACACGTGTTTGTATTCTAGGACAAGCAAACTGGGCAACTCTGTTAATGAACTTTTAAAGTGACTCTTACATCTCGTTAAAAAAATCAATTACAAAAATGACTCCTCCTTACAATTTAAAACTCTTATCTTTTTGTATTGACGTTATTCCCAAAGCATCAGTGGTAAACAGTAATTCACTAGAAGTAGTGGTGGGACATATGGCAAACATTTAATATTGTGATGCTTCAAGAAATTTTCACAATACATGGATATGTCACAATATTTATTTTTTCAGGCATCTGATCAGTTGGAACAGAGAAAAAAAGAACCTGTGGAGCTGCATATAAAAAAAATATATGAAAATCTGCAAATACATTGATTTTTATTCCATATTTGGCACACTGTGTTGCACTAAATATAGTTAAATGGGACTAATTTTGCTCTCTTTATAATGAAACATGCAGTTGGTCAGTTTTCTACAAGTACTGACTACATCCACAATATGTTCAGAAAAGCATACTGTATTGTATTGTGACATAATTTATCACAATTACAATATATATTGTTATATTGCCCAGCCCTTAATACAACCTACTGCACATTTAGGCCGATTTGTTTTATGAGTATTTCTTAGATGTAAGTACTTTCATGAGAGCACATTCCGAACATATTATGTTTTGCTTCCTCTATTTTTCAGTGGCTGTAGCACATTAGGCATTGATCTGACTGCCTACATTGTAACAATGTACAATTTTCCTCAAATTATTTTAGGAAACCAAAATGCTCTCTATTTGTGCAGCTTCTGTGTAGTTCAAGACACATAAATAAAATATAGCGTGTTATAGCTCACTTAAAGGGACACTACGGCCAATATTAAAAAATGTAACCATTGCTAACCCTGCTGTAAATATGTCTACCAGCCTCTAAAGTGAGGTTTTCTAGTTTAAAGACTAGAAAAACCCTGCTTATGATGTATCTTAAAGGTGGAAATAAATTCTGAAACACTGGGCGAGGGGTTGACTAATTGAGATTAGTGTTATTCTAGCTAGCACCAAAGGTGTATTTATTAGCCTCTAGATCAAAGGCTAGCAGTTAGAATTTGTTGAACGCCATAGTGATTACCAACGATTGTGTGATATTGTGTGGTATTTGAGAAAATATTAATGGTCGAAAATGATTTTTAAAAATTCGTTCTTAAAAATTGTTAAAAACCCCACAAACCAATGAGACTGAGGCATGCAATGCAGAATATTACATAGCATAAGTAATTTATATGTGTACATATGTATGTGTGTGACTGTCAGGTCGCCTGAACTGCGAGCAAATGAGCCCTGACTAACTTTTACAAAGAGAAATAACCAATATTACAATTATGCCTTCAAGACAATTATGCTAACTGACTAGTCAAAGCTGGAGGCTGTTACCTCAATCTCTGCCAGATTGCACAGCGGAGTTTGATTAAACATGATGTTAGCTAAGCTTCTTGAACTTTAAAGTGCTGTCAAAATGTGAGTGCTCCTGCCAGTTTTCTATGACAAATTATACATCATAGCTGTCACTGAAAAACGATGTCACACATTACTTACCCTTACCTAAATTGCCAGGTAGCAAGTCAACGTCAGAAATCGTTTGTTGAGCTGTGCTCTTCCAAACAGCAATGTAACTTACAGAGGTCAAACAACGGAAGCATTGCTCCAAAAAAAAACGTTCCTTAGATTTGATAGGTAACTAATCGATATCAGTTCAACAGTCACTTACCGTACGTCCCCCGCCGTATCCTTCGTCAGGCTGTTAGTATTTATTTATTTCAAATTCAAATCATATATTTTGAAGAATCAGTAGCGTACTCCCTGCGATGTGGCAAACAGCGCCGCAAAGTGCTAAAAAATGTCACGTAACATGGCGTAAAAGAAGCCAGCTACAAAATGTGTCCTTAACTGAGAAAAACTTCTTCAATAAAAGTCCTGCTCTTGTAATAGTCGTCTGTTTACTAAAAAACAAACAATGGAAAAAAAATAGAAATGTCAAAATTTCAGCACAGCACCTTCCTATTATTGATATTTAATGCTAATTCTGTTGTCCCAAACAACCTTAACATTACCGCTGTAGAATTAGTGAAGGAAACTACGTTACGTTATAGCAAAAGTTTGTTTGGGTGATGTGTAGAAATATTTAGACCCCCTACCAAATAATAATAAAAAAAAATCATTTTTTTCTCTCAGTGTCTCTCTCACAATATTACGCTACTCTACTACAAGGCTTTAATTGTTGGTTCGTTCAATGTGCAATAAAATGAAACATTTATCAGTAGTTCTGCATTGCCTGCTCTACTGTGGCGAAATGCATGACATCAAAAAAAAGTGTTTTTAATTTACCAGCTGCTAAAAGAACGTTTGATACCTAATATGCATATTTGTCTGTAGACATGTACTATTAGTCAAAACAGAAATTATGAATACTCTGAATGCTGTTTTACAAAATTTCTAAAGTCGATGAGGTTCCGCATTACCTAGTGACTCAAATTTCTTTCTGTTCTTCAACAGTAATTTTTCATAGGCAATTCTGGACATAATATCCACTTGATATTTTAATACAACAATAAGGCAAAATATACAAAATTAACGACTTAATTTTTTATTCCACACTTATTCTTCAAGAAGTACACGTAAAAACTCAATAGTCTCACAATTCACTCACTTACGTTTGAAGTCGCGTGATGCAATCCTATAAAGTTCACTCCAGTGCCACATCAGAGCCGGTTTTTGGCCACATGGCAGTTGTGTCGTAGCTGCAGTTTCCTCCTGTTAGTGTGCAATACAAAGTGGAACTCAAAAACAAAACTAAATTTGATTTACTTGATTTCACACCATAAACTATAGAGAACATCAAACACGTGCATTCCGTGTGTTTTACTGAAGAAATTCGAGATTCCTTATTAGAAATATTATATTATTATTATTATTATTATAAGCTATAGAAAAAATGTTTTTTTGAATTTGAAATTGGCCACCTCATTAGCTGCAAACCACCCTTCAATGACCATACCCTTCAATAGATCAACGGAAGCTGGTTCCATCTCCTTTTCTGGTGTTTTGAACTGAACTAGTTTTTAAGTAGAAAATAAAAGTGTTGATGTGTTTTGGGATAGACAGATGTGCTTCACTGTAAAGCAAAGAAAGGCAAAAGTGTGCTGCTTAGAAGTGGTGAAAAGTAATAAAAGACAACCTTAATAAGTCCTTGTATACACAACAATTTAATACAATTTCATGTATTTTCACAGCTGGTGCAAACATCAGAATATCAGCTACACATCAAGATCAGAACACAAAGCCACAGAGGAAAACCGACAAAAATTATACTCCTCGACAATATAGATTTGTCACACAAAATGGGCCACAGAAAAAAAGCAATCAGATGTCCAGTTTTATGCAGTGGTCAAACAAAACAATTGCATTTTGATTATTTATAAATAAACAACACTTTGTATAGCAAGATGCAGAGATACACACACAAGTATCATTCACAAAGGGAATCAACGAGTGTGCACTGGTTCAGCTCTAATACATGTATGGCTCTGTTAATGGGGCTGTAACATCTTAATGGCTGTACAATGCCAGTTTTTATCTCAGTGTTACTTGTGTTTTCAATGTTATGCTGAAAATGGCAGAGACATATTTATCCAGCAACACGGTAATTGGCGTGGATCTCTGGCTTGATGTCACACACCATCTTCAATAGGTTGTTCAGCACAGCTTCCCGATTTTGCTGGTAACTTTTCTGGATGCGGCTCATCTTGTCCAGAGTCTCTTTGTCAACCTCCACAGCAGAGTTACCATGAGAACCCAGGGCCTAAAAACACACCTCCTTATTAATATATTAAACAACATTGACTGACACCCACAACAGGATTGGACACCTGTTCACTCAACTTAAATGGCTGTGGATAAACAAACATACCACTTTAGTAAAGTCACAGCTAGAAAATTAAGCTTACAGTTGATGTCTGACCACTCATACATACAGTGTTTCACTCTGACAGGAAATTTCCACTATACATTTGATAACAGTGGATGAAATGCCTCTACATGCTGAGTGTGAAACAGCTCAGAATAGTTATATAGATTATGATAATGATGAATCCTCCTAAAGTATATACATTTACCTTAACCTGTCCTGACTTTATTCTTCCTTTCGGAATATGACACATATTGTATTGGTGTCTGCTGTGGTCCACTTTGGGAGAGTCACTTCAACGGAAATAATACTGAAGGTCATAAATTCCTTTATTCCTAGTTAAAAACACTTTTTCAAGCATTCGTGTAATAGCTGAAAAAATGTTGTTCAGAATTATGCTAAAAAGGTCTGAATTCTGGAAGGCTGAATGGTTTTAATAAAATTCTTAATTTTAGTCTCTAACTAGGTCTCACCGCAGCCTCCTTGGTCTTGAACTCTTTTTCCCTCTGCAGACGGTACTGTTCAATCTCTGCTTGAGCCTCCTCCTTGGCTTGCTTTAGGCGTCTGTTCTTACCTGAAGATGAAAAAAAAGTGTCATATTACATATAAAGCAGATGAGGAAAGAAGAAAATGACAGTCTTATCTAAAATAATGTGGCTTGCTTATGGAATTTCTTCTCTTGCATGTAAGAAAAGTCTGAAGGCAAAAGCAGAAATAGAGGAATGTAAACGGAACTGAGTCAATGCCACCTATGAGTCAATGCCTTCAGTACGGAAAACCTTACTCTGTTTTGTGAAGATCCTTTTGTAAATAAAACTAATGATTCAAATATATCAAGTACATTACAATAAATACAATGAGAAACTGATGATCAGCCAGTCTGCAGAAAAAGTGTAACAATCATTTAGCATCTCACTACTGTGCAACCGATCACACAAGAGTGAAACATTCTAAAGTGAATATTTAAATTCCAGCCTACATTTCTTTCCCCCCCAAAAAACAAATAAACAAATAATTCACAAAGGAGAACCCAACTGAAATCCAAATAATATTTGGTAATGCAGTACTGCTTCAATCTGGTTCAGCGAGATGAAAGACTTCATTCAGTTTCATCTTTCTCCCTCTCGAGGCTTTCGTAGAATGAACCTTCACATTTCCTATTCACATGTACACTAGCTAATAATTTAACAAAATGTCTTGTCGCGTCTTTGTTTGTATGCAGGACGAACGACCGGTGGTTGACAAGCGATCTGCACTAACTTACTGCTGGGATATTGTTACAACTAGCTCGCTAGCTATACGTTTAGCTAACGAAATGCTATGCTTGTTTGTTATTTCAGAGAAATACTGCACAGCCGGGACTGCGGTATTTCATCTCGATTACAACCATTCATTTGTTACATGTCTGTTTAATATTAAGTGTCTACCTCAACTCGTTATCAAAGTAAGAGCAGTAGATATCGTTGTGACTTGCTATTTTAATGGCCAGGCAGACAGCCAGCTAGCCATGTTCCCTCGTCTATTCAACTCCAATGTATGACATCAATAGCAAAAACACAACTTACGTTTACGGGCTTCGGCGACCTTTTCCGCAGCCCGTTTTTCAGCTTGTAACAACTGCTGAATGCCCTGAGACTGGCTTGCCATAGTTAAAAAATATCTGCTTCGCGAATAAAGACAAATGCACAAATTTCAGCGCTGTATTCCGCAGCGAAGGTCAACTGCCAGAATTAGAGCCAGAGATCAGCTGACGGTGCGTCACGTTACTGCGCTTGTGTAAAACCACGTGATGGGTCCTATTCTTCCCTTGGTTATATTTTAGAGAGTTTACCAAATAATACCAAGACTAGTATCCATATACCAGTATTAATACCCATTCTTCTAAAAGTCTTTTTGATTTTTTTTTTATTTCTACAGCAAAAAATAAATAAATAAATAAAATAAATAATAATAATAATACAATAAACATTTTTCAAAGTACCAACCATCATTCAGTCCAGGTATCTCAAAGCAGCATTAAGGAAGTAAGGGAGGGGGGAGGCACAGCAGCTGGAATTTTGTTTGTAGTCTTTGAGAAATTGAGGAAGACTATCCACATCCTTGTGCATTCCAAGTCTAGCAACACAATAAGACAGAAAACCATGTACGTAAAAGACCCTACACTACATAGATGTCAGAACCTAATTTTCTCAGTTATTGTGTTAATGCCTAAACATGTCACCTACAATCCACCTTTCCAAACAGTTGGCCCTACATTGAGGGTAATCTGACTCAATCAAACCCATTTTTTGTATACAAATGGTTTGATTTGAACGTAGCCTCATACTAAGCACTCTACCTATTTGTGAGACGAATTCTATCCCACAGTATAAAATATACAATGTGTTGTAATTGTTATCATGCAGCCATGACGTTATTCAATCCATGAGCAGCAGTGTCTTCGCACATCACACTCTCAGAAACAGAAGCAGACGCAGTCAGGGGCCTTGGGTAAGTGCTGTAAACGTCATGATCCAGGCTGGGGAGCTCAGCAATCCTGAGCGGAAACCCCTCCCGAATCCCAACTCCGGCAACCGAGCAAAAGAAAAGAGGAATATCAAGGAATCAGGAAACACGGAGAAACAGCACAATACATAAATTAAGTAAGTCGGTTAAGTATTTTACTGAATAACTATTTAATCATACGACAATGTATTTGTGTTGGTGTAAATCTAGCGTACCTGTACTTTTGCCACCGTTTGACTGTTTTTCCAAATGGAAAGGCCACACAACACAAGGAGGAGTGCTACATAGTTAGTCAGCTAGCTAGCTAGCTAATGTTAGCGAAGTACTGAAAGAACCGAGTAACGTCATATTTTTTAGTAAAAGCAACCAATTAATTTGCACTATAGTGTATATGAACTATTGGCAAAGCTCGTGGAAATACTTTACGCACCATGTCAAAGGTGATTGTTACTTAAACTGGAATTCACATTCATTTTAAGCGAAGCAGAGCTTTTGGAGGCTGTCCGTCCGACAGTCACTTTTGTCACCTTTCTTAGAAAACTTCGCTTAGATTATTAATCTTTTTTAATTAATCAGTTCATTCCTGGGCAATGCTTCGTAAATCGCACGAAGTTTTGCATGACCAAAACGCCAGTTATTTTCATCGCATCATGCGTTTAATCTTTTACACTATGAAGTCAAGAGGGTTTTTACTGTTTTCTACCCCTGTGGTAGGATAAGTATACAAGAGGCTGCGTGCCCATAGTACCTACAGTGCGGGTTTATTCTGTTAATTGGCCACGAATGTACTGAAAGGTATACTAACTAAACATTGCTTTATTACAATGAAGAGTAATGGTCATCACATTTGGCTTGTGTGCTACTACCCTGCTGACGTAAATGTATAAACACATAAAAATGCCCACATAAGATGCATCAAAAGCAAACTGCGTGAAAATATAATTAATATAATGCTGTTTTAGCGATATAATTTCAGTAATTAATGAAACTTGCACTTATATGCCTGAAAGATGCAGCTTGTTTAACATAAAACTGTGACAGGTTTGTCCTCAGATACATACGTTTGATAATAGTCACTACTACTACTCCAAAAACCCCCCCCCACAAAAACTATATATATATATATATATATGTGTGTGTGTATATGTGTGTGTATATATATATATATATATATATATATGTATATGTATACATATGTATATGTATATATATATATATATATATATATATATATATATATATATATATATATATATATATAAAACAGTAGATGTTCCACTTTAGTTTACTCATCACAATAAATCTTGGCTTTTGTTTTTCAGTCTGCATTGCAGAGAAAAGCCTAAAATATCAGCACATTTTTGTTCAGGTCTGTACATGCTAGGAAATGTCAAAGAGCTTGAAACAAAAGAGCTCTGGAGGAGCCTTTCTTTACATAAGTTATTGTTGTCCATGAGTCCAGCCTCAGAGTCTAATACAGAGTAAGGACATTCCATACCCAGTCCTGCTCAGAAGTGCCATTTGAGCAGCGGTTCCTTCCACAGAGCTGTTCTGTAGCACACAGCAAATCCTTGTTGAGGTAATTTCCTACTGATGTATGCCTAACCACTCTAATTGTGTTATGGGTGAGGGAGGATTATAAAACTGAAATTGAGAAGCTGTGCAGTGTACACAATGTGCAGTAAAGCCTTTATGTATTGAATTCAATGTGGTCTAAGATTGCAGGTGTGCTGTGTCGTTTGAGAGTCTGATATTTGCGAGCATACATTAGGTCAAAGCTGGAAAATTGTGTCCCAAGAGTTTTGTTCTGTTGTGCTTTTGTTTTGGTGGCACTGTGTGTTTGTTTTGTTTGTTTTATTATATTATTACTGTAGCGTTTCCATTAGATTGTACTCTGGATAACCACTGCATACGTTTCACCTGTGTTTTTACACAACCGATATATTTCTGTAGTTAGCTGCTTTTTTGTTAGAATTTAAGCTATTTTAAGTGAGCCTACTTTTGTACCTCTCTAATATTTTACCAGTGTAATTATTTAGGCATAGGCCCAAATTGTCATATTTACCAATTTAAATGTGTAAGCCAAAATTGTCCTCTTTAAGCTGAAAAGAAGGGAGAGGTCATGTTCTTAAAGCACAGTGGCTACCACAAACAGATATCAGGTTTCTTTTCTAATTCTGTAGGTGCTTTGTCTTGTCAACTTCTTTAGCGTTCAGTGCTTTGTCTGCTTAGACATCTACGATTGAACCAGTTTGCTCAGTCAGGTCTCGTTATTGTGATAAAGTATGTCACAATAGGCTTTCTTAGCACACAGTTGGTCCTTAAAGAACACTGGCAATCTGCGTGTTTCATTACAAAGTGAGCTTATTTAGGCTGTTTATTTGGTTATAGTGCAGCACTCTGTGTGAGACGTATTGTATTCATAATCATTGTATTGATTGTATTTTATTCTTTAAATGTGACTCCCCCGGTTATTTTTGGCTGTTCCAACTTATCAAACCTGAGAAAATAAACCATTGTGATACCTATCGTGTGTTCGCCCACCCCTGCTCTGATGTCAGCTCTCCCTCTCATTTCACTGTTTTAGGTGGCTTGTTAGGCACAAGTTTTAATATGCCGATTCATGCAAGGGAAAGGGAAACAGGCAAGACTTCACAGTAGTCAGTAAGGGTAGTATAAAAAATCAATGCAAAAAATGAGTGATATTTTGGGTTGACTCAAAGAGGCCCAAGTATTGTTTTTGCCTTGTGATGCTATATCTTTTTGTCATTGTTAGTGTGTCTGACTTCCAATGAGTGTCCTTTTGGTTCGATTCTTTGTCCAGGCAGGAATCAGGACCAAACTACACTAATGTTAAAGAGTCCTTAGGCAAGGCTTCTAATGCTACATTCGCCAACCACTGTGAATCAAATTAGCAAATACAAAATCTGCAAAATTTGATAAAGGTTTTTTAATATTGCTTTAATATTGTACTTCACAGTTCTATTTTGCTTCAAAAAAGACTGAAGTGTGATAAAAAATGAGATTAAAAAAGTGTAAGTCTCATTGGATAGAGTAAAGTTTTCTTTTGGAGGCATAATTTGAAAGCAAAAGTATAAATTTTATAATACTGCAATACTTGGCATATCACAGATTTTTAAAAATCACAGTATTGTGATAGTCTTTTACTGTGTGGTCACTAGTAATTCTACCCTTTGTAGCTATCAGTCTTTGTTTGCTGATCCGGTAAATTGATTGTAAATGGAAATGAGTTTATGGCTAACACTGGTGGTTCAAAGATTGGTCAGCAAATGGATTTTTTGAAAGGGTCTGTCTTTCTTGTTCTCTGTGACACTACTGTTACCTGTCTGTTTTTTGCATGAGACAGAGGAGCAGAAGACAGTTAATGAGCTTTTTGGGGCTTTATTGATAATAATGATTTTTTAAATTGACCTTAGAAAATGTAGTAGTCTTGATTTTATGTTTCATATTAGGGCTTTTTAAAATAGTCACTGAGAGCATGACATCTTTGCTAAATACAATACATATGGGGCTAATACTAGGTAAATACTTCATACTAGGCTACCGAGTACTTTTCCCCCCCGCAGGTGGCTGTTAGTGACATCGTTCTTTAAGCCTTCAGCCTGCACACTGCTTCCTAGCACAGAAGATGCACATCTTTCTTTTGACCTAGCTGTGAAGACCACATGCTCACTTTATGTTTATGAAGGCTTTATTGGTATTTTCCTTGCTGATTTGTATGGGGCCTACTTGCAAATAGGACTGTGGTAGAAATAGACCATATTTGGTGCATTGCCCTGATGGCCACTTCATGAGTGGAGTCTGTTTGTCACTCTTCACATTGCCTTCTCCCCTCAACTCGTTTTCTGTTTCCTCTCCAGATAGCCATTGATAAATATACTACGATAGAAGCGCAAAAAATAAATTTTGCACAACTGTACAGATGTTAAAGTTCTGCAAATATTCATATCATTCTGTCATCACACCTTCATATGTATAGGTATTTTCAAACACGAATGTACAGATATTCAGACTTCTCTTTATCTTCTCTTTATTATTCATTATTCTTTATTCTATTTATTGTATTCTTAATTTTATGTAATTCCTTGTATATGTAACATACTTGGTGAAATGAAGTGATGCTGATTCTGAATTTTGGTTCTGAAGTATGCTACTGGTCATCTGGTGAAAAATGCAACCTTTCCTGCATGATATATACTTGGTACTGGTTACCAAGTATATACTGGTTACTTTATTAGGTACCCCTACACTATATGGACAAAAGTATTGGAACACCTACACATTACACCTACAGGAGCTTTTATGACATCCCATTCTAAAACCATAGGCATTAATATGCAGTTGGTCACCTTTGCAGGGATAACAGCTTCCACTCTTCTGGGAAGGCTTTCTACAAGACTGTGGAGTATGTCTGTGGAAATTTTTACCCATTCATGCAGAAGAGAATTTGTGAGGTCAGACACTTATGTTGGACAAGAGGGCCTGGCTTGCGACCTCCTTTCTAGTTCATCCCAAAGGTGTTTGATGGGGTTAAGGTCAGGGCTCTGTGCGGACCAGTCAAGTTCTTCCATACCAAACTCACCCAACAATGCCTTTATGGACCTTGCTTTGTGCACTGGGGCAGAGTCATGCTAGAACAGAAAAGGACCTTCCCCAAACTTTTCCCCAAGTTAGAAGCATACAGTTGTCCAGAGTCTTTGTATCCTGAATTATTACGATTTCTCTTTACTAGAAGTAAGGGACCTAGGCCAATCCTTGAAAAACAACAGTTGGCACAGTGCAGTTCTCCTGGGATTACCAAACCCAGATTCATCCATCACACTGATCAAGTGTGATATGTCACTCCACAGAATACATTTCCACTGCTTCAGTGGCGGAGTGCTTTACACCACTCCATCCAAAGCTTGGCATTGTACTAGGTGAAGTAAGGCTTGCATGCAGCTGCTTGGCCATGGAAACCCATGACTTGAAGCTCCTGGTGCGTGGTTTTTGTTCTGATGTTAATGCTAGAGGAGTTTTGGAACTCTACAGTTATTGAATCAACAGAGCGTAGGTGACTTTTATGCACTATGCGCCTCAGCACTCGGTGACCCTGCTCTGGTCTGCCACTTTGTGGCCGAGTTGCTGTGGTTCCTAAATGCATGGTCTGCCACTTTGTGGCCGAGTTGCTGTGGTTCCTAAATGCTTTCACTTTTCAGTAATACCACTCACAGTTGTGTTAGTCATTAAATTATACCTGCTCAGTGGTGGTCCCATTGATGAATGGAGTAAAGAGAGGCTGAAAATTATGAGAGCAAAAGATGGACTTACAAGATTCATTCTGAAACCTGTAGATTTACAGGTTATTGTTTCTTCGAATTTTTGGCTAAATAATCTGTAATAATTAATTATTAGAGATAAGCACAAAGGTATAATACAAATAAAAAAGCTAATATGGCTAGCAGTAGTAGGGGAAAAATCAACAGAGCCTGAAAGTTAGTGGTGCATGGTCTCCTTTAAAGTTTGTAACGGATCTGCAAATGTCAGTTATTTTTATCCATGTTGGCATTTTGGGTGAAACTGCCTCTTCAGTATTTGATATTGTGCTAACTGCCAAGATCAACTTTTATTCATTGTTTAAATGGAGTATCCTTTCAACTTCTATCTCTTTTAACCCCAAACCTTGCAGCACGAGAAATGCAGACCTGAGGGTTGCACCCTGGTGAGTGACAGACAAACTGTTCGCCTTGCAACCGAAATGGGGTTCGGCCAGGACTTGCGGAACTCCCACGAGGGCCTGATCAAGCTGCAGGACTGGGAGCTGAAGCTGCTGGAGACAGTAAAGCGGTTCATGACACTTCGTGTGAAGAGTGACAAGGAGTACGCCTCGCTCCTGCTCAACATTTGCCAGCAGGTGGACAAGCATGACAACTCCTCCCAGATCCACTACATCAGCACCGTCTCCAAGGTAACTACGGTGTTTCCTTGGGACTGCCTAATTGACGTATCAGTGCTCTGCCAACAAATGCATTCTTTCGCAGGTACTGCTGCAAGATTGAACAAGAACACAACTATGGCAAAAATGATAAATTACTAAAGGTTGGCAACTGTTGTTAAAATGATATTTATTTTGAGTTTGCTACCATTTATGATAAAGCTGAATAAGATTTCTGCCAGCTTTTTCAACTTTGGTAGTTTGGTTTCAATGGTAGCCACAAAAGAATGCATTTATGGGCAGGGCATAGATACATAAATATGGTTTTATGTGAGCATGGATAATATACAGAATGTATATTTTATTTGTTAATCTGTGAATGTTTGGTTTGATGTTTAGCAGTTCTAAAATTAGGGCAACCAACTAAGGCACTGTTTTTTTCATCAAGAGAAAGGTTGGGTTATACTGCTGAGACTCATTAAGGGCATCTTCTTAAAAAGAACTGTTAACCCTCTTCCTCAAGCCCACCTAGCATAACACACTCAGAAGCAGAGTGGTGTGGGAAAGGACTTTAGTTGAGACACATCATTGCTACTTAGCCTTGTTTTCAGTCTGCTCCTGTGTTTGTCAGTATTAAAGTGTTAAATTAGAAGCATAGTTTTGATCATATCTGTTTATATTCTATGGAAGGCTAAAATGAACTAAAGTTGTACACACAACATTGGGCATCCCTGGGCAAATGACACATTTTGGTGTTTTGTAAAGTGAGAAAATTAAACACAATATCTGCAGCTAACTATTGACCATTTGACCTGCATATTCTGTCCTTATGAGTCAATTATGGCTTAACGAGTTTAAGTTCTGACTTTACAGTTGGAAGTGTGTCCAAGATTTGGATACACCACGATTACTATTTTATTTTTATAATCACATATAAAGATTTGTAGAAATCTTTTGTTTGTTTTTAATAGTTTTGCATAAAACTGTACTTGAATCTCTGATCCTGCCTCTCAGACTAATACAGAAAGCAAAAAATGCAGTGATCAGAAAATGTTTGTGACAGGTTGTCTGAAAATTATTATAAAGTAAACAGTTCAGTGTTTCCTTGTTGCTCTCAGTCGTGGGCTCACATGGTACAGCAGACAGAGCAGCTGAGTAAGATCATGAAGTCTCATGCTGAGGAACTGAACTCTGGCCCGCTGCACCGCCTCACCATGATGATCAAAGACAAGCAGCAGGTGAAGCGGAGCTATCAGAGCGTCCATCAGCAGATCGAGTTTGAATTAAATAAGGCAAGTCTAGCACCAACCTTAACATTGAGCTAGTAGTCTTTGAAACCATTGATTAGTGCAGCTTGATTTTATTGTTTCTAGGTTACAAAAACTGATCTTGAGAAGCTGAAGGGTACCTACAGACAATTAAGTAAGGATGCTCATAGTGCCAAAGAGAAATACAAGGAAGCAGTTGTTAAAGGTAAGGTCTCCCTTTATCTACCTCTGTAAACTCTTGTACTCGAGCCCTAGAACTATTGTATTTCTTTTATCCACTTGTTAATGGAATACTCCATTCTCCTTCAGTGCATTTTGCTGTACTTAGAAAAGAACAGAAAACTTGTTGATTCAAAACCCATTTATAATAGAAGCCAATGGACACTTACTGAAATGCATCAATAAATATTAAATGCAATACATGTTTTTGTAGAACACTTTCATGAATTCTTCTGTCTGTTCTTCAGGAATTTTTAAATGAGGAAATCTGTATGATTTGTTCTTTCAGGGATATAATTAGTTTTACTGAGGGAAGCATTTGTGGTAAAACATTACCGGTGTGGAGGTGTGGGTGTAGTTTTCACAGGCACAAACTGGTTGCACATAAATACCATTCACTGAAGTAATTGAAGTATTTTTTCAAGCAGCTATGTCTTTATTACAGAATTACCTCTGTTCCCAGCAGTTCCACAGGTAGCTGGTTAGGTTACTGATGCTTAGATTTAAACATTTAGTGTTTCACTTTAAAGAGAGCAAATGAGAGCTCACTGGAAGAGACATAGTGGCACGAGCAGCACCCTTATCTGTCTGCTTTAAAAATAACAGCCCTTGCCATGGTATCTCTAGCAGGGCAGTAATTTGATGAATTGACTTGGATTGGTGGCACCCTATTACTGTGTCATGTTAAAAAGTCACTGAGTCCTTTAGTAAGACCCATTCTACTGTCAGTGTTTATCTATGTAGAGTGTGTAGCTGAATATTTTATTTTATGCAACTGATAGCAAAGGGTGTAGTTGAAAGAGCTAAACCACTAATTTAGATGGGGGGGGGTCCATGTAGGTTTGGCCATGTAAAGTGGTTTAAAGCTTTTTTCACAGAATTCAGCAACTGCCCAATGGCTTCTGTTATAAGTACATTTTGTTCAAGACACTGTTTTCTGTTCTTTTCTAAGTACAGGAAAACACATGAAACTTTCTGTGAAAATCAACTATAAATATGCAGCAGATTTGGAGTTGAATGATGCTAGTGTGTTCCTGTAACCTAGGAAAGCATCTGCCACTAAAATTTTGTCAGCCTGACTGTCCTCAGGTTTGAGGATAAATAGACATTAACCAGACATCACAGTATCTCCCCACCATTTTGAATCCATCAAACAAGAGAGTGTGCTTTTCAACAGGTGGGGTGACTGGTATACTAGTGGTAGGAGAGATAAGCTATTATCCGGAAGGTACTCACGACTGACTAACTATACCTGGTTGTGCCCTTGGGCAAGGCACTTAACGCCCTCCTGCTCTGGCAGCGCTGCTCTGCTGGTGAAGCTGTGTTGCTCCCAGATTGAGAGTGACTTTGTCACTGTGCTAGGTCATTATTGTCTACTGAGCCACTGACAGAACAGGCTCATTGGGCACCAGCTGGACATTACATTACATCTCTCCACTCATATTACTATGCACTGCCACTTTGATTATATATTTATACATATTTCGTATTGCACTTTGTTTATTTGTCCACGGATATTGTACATTGCACTGTCACTTTGTTTATGCATCCATAAATGTCATATTGCACAACTGTGAACGTAGGTTATCATTACAGTACATAGTCACTAGTTCATGCGCTGGAGAGGACATGCACCACTGCATTGTCAACTTCATAGTATTTATGCAATTTACTTCTCATTATTGTACTGCACATTATTTTTATTGTTTTAGTATATTTTATTATTTATCTTTACTTTCTGCTTATGCGCCTATAACTAGTGTATGGCAATACTTTACTTTGCTCTTGTTTTGCTCTTTACTGTGCTTTGTACTGCTGCAATAGAAGAATTTAATAAATTTAATAAAATCTATCCATCTAGTTAGGAAGCAAAATGACGAATTTCTCTTGGAGGGTACAGTAAATACTAGCCTTAAAATGCGGTCATTACCTTGCCTGGTCCCTTCCTTAGGCAGGGAGCCAGAGAAGGCACGCGAGCGCTATGACAAAGCCACCATGAAGCTGCACAACCTGCACAACCAGTATGTGCTGGCGGTGCGCAGCGCACAGCTGCACCAGGAGCATTACCACGAGAGTGCACTGCCCCTGCTGCTTGACTCGCTCCAGAAGATGCAGGAGGAGATGGTCAGCGCTCTGTAAGTCAATTATCTAGCTAAAAGTGACGACTTTGCATGGTGTACTATAAATTATGCTAGTTTGGTGCTGCTGGGTTTTATTAATTTTTAGTCAATTTTTTAATTTAATGGAATAGAAAATTGCTGGAAAGCAGCAGAGTTTAAGAAATATCTATCTAGGGTAACTGACACATCAGGACTGTTTAACAAATCAGTATTTTTTTCAGTTATCTGAAACATTTAAGACAAAAGTGTATATTGTCCAACAGGGTGTCTACCATTGGACAGCCTTGAACTTTGGAGGGCAGTGTACCTTGTTGCTGTACTTTGATTGACTTCTATAAACATGTTGGATGGCTAATCTCTTTTCCTGTACTCACTGGTACAGTACTAAGACCCTGTTTTAAACTAGTCCAGTATGTGTTAGCTGTCATGGGATTACTAGAGAACAACAGACACTTTTGTGGGTGTTTTTTTTCTTAAGCTGTTGTTTTAAATCACTGAGCTTCCAGTAATCTCAATTTAATCTGTAAGAGCAGAACAGTGGGAAGACTTTTAAAGCAGCAGATGTCCCTGAATTGACCCAAAGCCCAAGTGCCTTGAATATGAGAATATTTCATCAATGATGAAACTCATGCTCAAGATTGATTTAGTTTTCAGAAACCTGAACGTATTGTTATACATATCAGTTATATTTATTGTTTATTTGGGTAAGAACTAGTTCAGTTTCATTAAGTAAACAATCCGAAGTTAAAACTTAAACACATTACATTATTCAAAGGCAGGATTCTTTTTGTTGTTCTAATTTAAAGAAGAACCCAGCAAACAGTTCAACTGAGGTTTTCTTGCTCTCTGTTCTAGGAAAGGCATTCTGGAAGAGTACAGTGAAATCACCAGTCTCTTAACTGATGAAATAGTAAAGGTCCACAAAGAAATACACACATCCATTGACCAAATTGATCCAGCATCAGAGTATGATAACTTCATTGAAATGTATGGGTAAGTAAAAGAATCTGCAGATGCAATTCTGACAAACATTTCCTTCTTCTTCGTTGTCTTCTTCTTTATTATTATTTATTATTATTTTCTAGGTCACCTGAAACCAAAGAACCAAACGTAGAATTTGATGTTTCACTGTTAGAGGAAACGGAGAATCTTCAAGCCAATGAGATCCTATGGAATAATTTGACTGCGGACAGTTTACAAGCATTGTGAGTTTGGAATCCTCATATAACAGTAATAATAATCAGATAGTAATAGTAAATAGTAAAAGTACTCATAGTAATAACAATCATTTAATTTAATTTATATATACATATATATTTTATTTTTAAAATAATTAATACAAGGCATAAAATCAATAAAATAATTTTTGATGGAGCAATCAAAAAATTCCATTATTCAAGTAAAAAGATTAAAAAGAAAATATAAATAAAAATATTTATGCAAGTACAGTACAGTATGCTAAGATAAGGAATTGAAGTATCTAAATGTTTCTTCCAGATGTTTGCGATACAGAAACAAATGGCCCCTTCGTCGCTTTTTTTAATCAGTGTATCTTTATTTCAGAAATAAGACATTCCGAGATGTATGAAGGTGTTAAAACATTAACAGCTTCAAAAAATTGCTAAAAAAAAATTGAAATCAATTCAGTGCAGCTTGAGCAATGAGATTAATTTATTCAATCAAGATTCATCCTGTCTTTTATGTTTTAGAGATAGAAAGCACTGAAATCACTGAATTATTTCAATTATAATATTTATAATATATTTAAAATATAAATAATAATGTTTGATTATACATAAAATACATATAACATTATACTGTAGCCATTATACACATTAAAAAAGTTTGTAATCTCATATTAAAATAGCTTATTTCTATTGCAGTTGTCCAAGCTAGAATATATTAAAGCCCATGTCAAAATCTTCGCATTGTGAAGTAGAGACTCTAATTTATGCTGTGTTCCTTAAGCAAGGAAGGCAGATATATTTATCAGTATGAAATAATTCATAAAAAATAAAAAAAAAACAGATGCAAAGCTGCACATCTGTCCATTTCTGCTAACAGATATTTTGAGCTTTTAGTTTGCAGGATCAAAATCCACCCCCTTTCCCCTTTATTAGCCTCCTTTTTATCTTTAAGCTCAAAGCTCAGAAGTGCAGCTGTCTGCCATCTAAAATGTTGGACTGGTTAGCTGTGGTCTAACAGCTTTTCGTATTTATTACTCTATTGGACAATAACAACTCATTGTTTATTAATGATTTCTGGTCGGCTTTAAACTTGCATTTAGAGCCTTGTGTAAATGCAGATGTGCATCTGATTTGTCCTCAGGTTAAAGTGTACAACTGAGGAGCTGCTGCTAACCCAGCAGAGTCTGCGCAGTAAAGAGGACCTCATGCTAGACCTGCAGAGCAAAATTGAGGAGTCTGCTAAAACCTGTGAGAAGAAGTCTGAGTATGTAGAACCCTAATCTCACACCGGTTTGGGCCATTTTGCTTGTACCTCTTTTATTTTTTGCAAATTGTGCAGTGCAGTGCCTTTTCTTATCAAATGTAACAAAACAAAAAGGATGCTGTTGTGAAGGAGTCCATGTCTCTCACTTCGAGTATAGGCTGGCCTTGATTATGACTCGTGAGTATACACTCTTGTATACACACTTTTGGTTCCCTAAAAACCTTTCAATAGTTATTTGGAGAACCATTTATGTAAATAAAACATGTGAGCGTAAAGAAACCTTTTTACAGTTTAAACCTGCACATAATGCGAAGGTTCTAGGAAGAACCCTTAAATTTATATAAAACCTTTCCGTTATGCAAAGGTTCTTTAAATGTTTTAAAGGTTGTTCACGCTGACAGACCTCTTCTTTAAACTTGGTTCTTCTACATCATCACTCCAAGAACTGTTTGAGGCACTTGTACAACTTTGCCTCAGAATATTTTTTTAGACTTTCTGTGTAACCCTGCAAACGTTATTGAGAGTTTATCACTCCAATCACGCAAATCCTCTGAAACTACTGGGCCCAAATGCACAGTACCCACCGTCTGCTAAGGCTTACATGTATCTCTCTTTCAGCACGGTTTTGTTACTGAGTCAGAAGCAGTCTCTGGAGGAGCTGAGGCAGACAGTGCAGCTTCTGCGTTGCTCTCAGGCCAAACTGAGCTGCCAGAAGGAGCTGCTAGAGCATAAGATGCAGGAGAATGAGGGCAAGGAGCCTCCGCCTGTGGTCAACTATGAGGAGGATGCACGCTCTGTCAACTCAGTGGTAAGGCTTTTTGATTTTACTTTCTTCCAGAAGACACAACTTATTTTTTCCCTTAGACATAGTGTTAAGCATTTATGCAGTTTGTTCTCAGTAGGCTGTTCATTTCAGCAATAAGTTACACATGTTTGTGATGTACTCTGCATACCTTTGCTCACAGGTGAGTGAAAGATGATGCTCATTATAAGTAACCTTAAATTCCCTGTGGGATGTTTGTTTATGTCACATTTATAATGTATAGTGGAAACAGAACTTTCGCTTTATTTTAGAATGATATCCATTGGAATTGGAAGACTTGCCCATAAATCTAGCTCACAAAATTAATGTCGGAAAGGTAAAATCAGCACAGTATGTATAATCCAACTAAAGTCTGCCCTTTTTTACATTTGGATTTTTTTCCAGACATGAGCCATATGGATATACAGCCATACAAATTTTTCTCTATAGTTGCACAATGCAAGAAAAAGAAATGCTTGTTTTTTCTTCATTAAATACATAGTGTCCAGGGGCAGAACTACATCCCACTTGCCATCCCAATTCTGCAGCTCTTAAATATGATGCAAAATTGTATTATGTACACCATGTCTATACTCCAAAAACTCAAGAAGTGGACAAGATGTTGTAAAAAAAATTTATTATTTTATTTATTATTAATTTATTAGTAAAATCACCTAGGATCTATTATTTTCTGGAACCGTCCATTCTTTTATAGAAACAATGGGATCCATCCAAGCAAGTTTGGCTTGCAGATTTAAAGTCACAATGTATTTTACTCTGTTCTTAACCTGAAATGACTACCTAAAACTAGAAATAAGTACTTAGCTATCCCTGTAATCACTAGCAATTAACCCAGGGTCAGACATGGGAATACAGCAGAAATGTAATTTTAACTTTTTTTTTTATTAATCCAGCTCATTTTTTTGCATTATACCATCCCAGTCATCCCTCTGCACCCAAACTGTCTCACAGACCCCAGAACCTATGCTTGCTACAAAACTGTTAACAGATCCTATCTGTTTCAGACACTGAAAAAAGCATAAGTATAATTCATTTAAACATTAGGAGCCTGCTTCAGCATGATAGACTGGATAATCTGAAAATTTTGATTTTACAAGACAATCCAGATATTGTAGTTCTAAGTGAATCCTGGTTAAAAAAAACTAACTGAGAAATCTGGGACTGATTTGGAAATGCTGATTCTCAGGGATTTTGATTTGAATTGTGTAACCAATGCATTTGTTCACTCCATGGAAGTAATTACAGAAGCACCACAACCAAACTTGTGTGTCCTCACCAAGTCAACAGTAATACATTAAATTTTATACAACAGATCTGACAAAATTACTTCTGTACATGTATTTGACCCTGGTTTACTGACCTCTGCCCTATCAAATGCAGAAAGCTTATCAAATGCATTTAAGATAGAAACACTATCTTAAAAAGTTTAGGCTCTTGGATTATGGTTAAAAGAAATTTTAAACATTTCAATACCTGTACCCCTTATGAAAATGTTAGAAAATAAAACCCTGGTTCAACTCTAAAATATCTTTCTTGCACAGTGCAAGAAATAAAGCATGGGCCCACTCACAAAGAAATGGTGACAGAGACCAATGGCTTACTTTCAAGCAGCTAAAGAATAAATGTACTTCCTAAATTAGGAAAGCTAAAGCAGAATTTTACCTTCAGTTATTTTCAAATTCATCTTCAAACTCCGGAAGACAGTTAATTCACTCAAAGACAAATTGGTGCCTATTCAGTCCCATATCTTAATTAATGATCATCAGATTTCTGATATGAAGTTTAATACTCACTTTTCAGCTGCTGGACATTTATTTGATAATACTAATATGTAAGAACATCTCAATGAAGTAGTTGCACGCCCTGCTGTAAAACATTGTCTCTTTACAAGTGTTTTCTGGATTAATCATCTGAAGCATCTGAACATGGCATGTTAAGGCCATTACACACCGAATGCAGCACGGAAAAATGACATGAAAAATATTTGGACGCAATTTTCTGTATGTAAACTATACACATGGGACACAGCCCTTGTTTTTTAGGAGTCCAAGTAGTAGTCCCTCCCTCCCGCTACTTAGACACTCGAGCTCAGCCCAATCGGCCTGATGGTGGCACTATAGCAAAACTTTGTACGTTTAGGGCCTGCGATTCTGTACCGTATGTCATAGAGACATAAGATAAGATAAGATAAGATAAGATAATCCTTTATTAATCCCACAACGGGGAAATATGCGGTTTTACAGCAGCACAGAAGACAGAGCAGCAGGAAATATACAAACAATATATAAAATAGAATAAACAATAAAAATATAAAGATACATGTATATGTACAAAAATTGCAAGAAAAATATACAAAGTATTAAATTTAAATTTAGAAATGTAGAAATGTATGTATTGTAGTGAGTATTGCACAGTGAATAAAATAGCAAATAAATAAACAGTAATAAATGGAGAAATATTGCACTTGACATAATTGCACATAATGGTGGTAAACATATTGACAGTGATCCGCAGTGAATATACTACGCATGGTGGATTGAGATATTGCACACAGTAAAGTGCTATGGCAGTGATGCTGAGAGTTCTTGCACATGGAAAGTAATTGTAAACTACTGTCTACTGAGTGCCGTGACTGTTATAGAGTCTGACAGCGGCTGGGAGGAAGGACCTGCGGTATCTCTCGTTCACGCACCGCGGGTGCCGCAGCCGGGCACTGAAGGAGCTGCTCAGTGCTGTCAGAGAGCGGTGCATGGGGTGGGACAGGTTCTTCAGCATGTTTGTTAGTTTAGTCCTCATTCTCCTGTCCCCCACCACCTCCACTGGGCCAAGAGGACATCCCAGGGCAGAGCTGGACTTCCTGATGATCTTATTCAGTCTCTTCCTGTCAGCAATGGAGATGCTGCTACCCCAGCACACCACTCCATAAAAAATGGCTGATGCCACCACAGCGTCGAAGAAGGTCCTGAGAAGTGCCCCCTGCACGCCAAAGGACCTGAGTCTCCTCAGGAGATGTAGCCTGCTCTGGCCTTTCCTGTAGAGGGCAGCTGTGTTGTCAGTCCAGTCCAGCTTGTTGTTGAGGTGAACACCCAGGTACTTATAGGACTTCACAATCTCAATGTCCATTCCCTGGATGTTCACAGGCACTGGAGGAGAATGTTTGGACTTGCGGAAGTCCACCACCAGCTCCTTGGTTTTTCCTGGGTTGATCTGCAGGCAGTTCCTCTGACATACGGTACAGATAGGGCTGGGCGATAAAACGATAACGATAAGTATCGCGATATAACTTTTCCTCGATAGAGCGATAAGACAGGTTCGATAAATGTTCGATATAATACACCATTCTCACACTTCCACGTTTTAGCGATGGCCCTGGTGGCGTTTTCTACTGCAAGGAAAGCGACACTACTCTGCTGTCGCCAGGAGAGGGCGCACTTCCGAGTTTTTGGACTTGATTAGAGAGGGAGGGAGCCACGAGTAAAAAAGAGTCGCCAAATATACTTTAGCAACAGCTGAAACGCGGAGTTATACATTCCCTGTCTGAGTGGATGTTATCGGCGATCTGTTCTCCTGTGACCGAGTGTGAGTGACGAGGTCAGTGGTGTAACTGTACTGTCCTACAGCGAACTCACCTCTTTCTGTGCATCCTAACAACTTTAGCGGTGTTAAATCACGTCTACAGCGCCGTGTTACAGCGCCAAACCGTCATATTTTAGTATTAGTGCATTCTCCCGCAACGAAAGTGAAAGAAAGAAGTGGGTTCATGTTCGAAAGTAAACTGAGGAAGCTGCGAGGCATTGGAGAGCGGGAGAGCGCTATCTTTCCAGGCTAGCTGTTTTTAGCTGCTGGCTAACTTGAAGCAGCGCTCCGGCAAAACACGGTGAACTGATGATACGGTAAATCAAACAAGACACAAAATCACCGCTTTCAGTTTAAACATACCTAAAAGGAGGACTCTGTGACTGGTGTGAGAGATTCACACTGCAGATAATGCTTTTACACAGCGAACGTCAGATATACTGCGGTTCACCCCTTAAACTACTACGGTAGCATAGAGAAACCCAGCCGTCGCTAGCTGGTGTCTGAATACTGTGATATGCTCTGACATGGACGTGGTAGGAGTGACAGCAGTGACCTACCGAACCGAATCGACGTTGTTGAGAAACTAAAGAGTTTAGCACTGTTGCTGGCAGCTTGTTTAGCATTTGTAACGGGGTAGCCGAGCGCTCGTCACCAGACAGCTAAAAATAATCTGTTTTCTTTCTTAAATCATGACTATTACAAAAATTGCAGCTGTGCTTTTCAAGCTGATAAAAACAGCTCAGAAACTTTCTCCCACGACAGATTTGTGAAATGTTCCACTGTTTGCCGAGTGTTTGTCATGATTGGACCATAAGTGATAGTTTAAAACCACAGTTAACCACCCAGGAGCAAAATCAGCCTTCAAACGTGAAAGAAATCATGATTTGACATTTATCGCGATATGTATCGATATCGAACGATATGAATGGTGATATCGTTTTTGGCCATATCGCCCAGCTCTAGGTACAGAAGAAAATTCTTTCTTCTCCTGATTACTTATGTCATGGCCCACAAAACAGCTATTTTGCCTTTATTAAAAATCTCTATAGATTTTAAGATAATTTGCATTTAATGCAAATTTGCACACATTTTTTTGCGAACTAGTCCCTGAGTTTTTGCAAAATGTGCACAAATCTGTTATCAATGGAATCCTAAGCAGCTGCTCTTTAATAATTATCCAAAAGATCTTCGAATTTCATCAATGTGTGTCTTCCAGGCCCCACCTGAAAATGAGGGTAGAGCTCAAATTTCAAAAAACATGCATATACAGCTGTAACTCAGAAACACATTGACTGATTGTTACGAAACTTTCTAGGCATGTACACTATGGCAGTCGTAAACGATCTTCAGAGTTTGGTGCAACTGCATCGCTATGTGGCGCTATAACAAGCAAAAAAGTGTTACGCAACCAAAGGTTGTCCAATTGACATGAAAATTGGCATGGTGCTACATTGTGCTGTCCTGGGTCAGGATCTGTGACACTGATGTCATATTTGAAAAAACATGGCCGCCATCGGCCAATCAGATTTCAGCAGGTATTTGACAACCTTAGAATTGGCCAATCACCACGAAACTTGATAGGTATATCTAGGTATGGACTCTCTGCTACCCTTTGAAGCATGACAGGTGTTGGCCACTGGGGGCGCTTCTCATGTTTTAAAACACTAAAATGAGTAAAAATCTTATACCGTACAGATTATAAACATGCAGTTAGTATCAGTTAATGCTCTAAAGTGAACGTGACAACTCGGCCAATGCAAGTCATTTATTTTTTGAATTTGACCTATATTGAACTAATCCTGAAGTTTACACCTTATCTTCTTGAATCTGGTCACAAACTAAAGATTGGAGTCTGACAGTAAACAATTACCAAAGACTTTTTCACAAAGCATATCTGCAACATCAATGAATCCATCTGGGCAGAGTCTTACGACTCTTATCTGTATTTCACACAAATATTGTCTGATTGAGACCAAAGTTGGTACAGACATACAGAATAATACTCTGAGGAAGCACACCAATTGTGGTCTACACTGACCTCCAGGGGGCGCTACAACATATAATCATATATAAATTATGTAAAAATGAACATATCTCTTGGTTGGTTTACATTAAAGAAATGCAAATGTTGACAAAATATTCCACTCTTCAGACTAAACCACTTTGCCCTTAGATATGTTTAAATTGTACCATTAATCGAACATTGTTATTTATATATATATTTTCATGAGAGTAGTGCTCTGACAACAAGGCATTGTCCAATTGACACCAAACTTGGCACACCTGCTCAATGCCTAACATTGAAACAAGGTGCCAAGTTTAGTGGGCATGTGTTAATAGGGGGAGCTAAAACAATCATTCCACATGGTGAGCATAGATGCAAATTCATCACATTATAAAACAATAATTTCATACATGTATTCAAAAAAACACAACAGATATTGCTTCAGTGTCTGTCATACTATGCACAACACAAACCAAAGATGAAGTTATTCTACTGCAGCATTTTAAAGTAATTGGCAGCTAGTTACCAAGTTACCAAATCAGCTCATTTCTCCCCCGTCTGATTGTCTCATGAGTCAAATTCAACACATTTAAAATGACCACTTCAAATCAGTAGACAAAAAAAAAAAAACCACACATTTTGGTGTAAAGTCTGTCATACTATGAACATATGAAAGATAATGTCTGTTTACCACAGCATTTTACACAAAAGGCAGCATTTGAAAGTCTTAACATTTTTCAGTGACGATTAAAGTTCACATATGTATGGATCTTTACTGACATATATCCGAGGAGGGTCATTGCCAAAATAGCAATTTTCAGCGAACTAGCAAATCACCACTTGCAGCTATATATATATATATATATATATATATATATATATATATATATATATGTATATATATTATATATGTAATATGTGTGTAATTTAATTTTTTCACTTTGTTCGTGCTGCGAAAAAAAGACAGGCAGAATATCTATGGGCAAACTGAAATTGTGCAGGATGCTTTCCACTTTGGAAGAGCGAGAGGACAAAAGAGTGTTTCTTCACCTCGTTTCAGGAGTTAACACTTTATGAACTCTTTCGCACACAGCTCATATCCGTGCCCAGCAAACACAGTTAATTTGTAACAAAGTTGTGACAACATTGTGAAAACCTATAGTTTTGGTGTCCACATTGTTGTCACAACGTTGAAAATGTAATTCCTCAGAAAGTTGTGACAATGTTAGATGACATAGTGCCAGCATTCTCAGTACGTTGTCACAACCTCACAAGGTCCATCATGTTGTACATGAACTCATGGAATTTTGCTTACTTTACTATAGGTAGTCATAATACCATATGACAACATGAATTAATAATGAGGTTGTGACACTGTTGACACTTTTCCAGACAACAAAACAGTACCACTAGCTCCTACTCTGAATACTGCCTACCCCAAACTGTAAGCACAGCTCTACTTTATTTACAACTCACTTCTTGAAGCTTGCCACAACAATGCCTAGTTAGTACTAGCTGCCAGTCTTTGATGTCCTTGATGAGAAACACACATGAGGTTCCTAATAAACTAAATTAACCTAAAACTAGCATTAGACTCTTTTTAGAACTGGATCTAATGAATTTAAATACTGAACTAAACCCAGGCATGCACTGACGCCACAAGATTTAATAAGTAAACAAAAGTAAAATGAAACAAACTTGTTCTTGTGTGCTCATGTTTAAAAGTATATAACCTTTTTAGAAAAAGCTGTTGAGGTAATACCGACTGTTTCTTAGCCTTTCAGTGCACAAAAGATGTTTTTTGCCATTTTGATGAAAAGTGCTGGTAGGTAGTATTTTATTTATTTTTGTTTTGCAGAATAGTGAAGGTTGCTTTTGTAGTTTTGTCTTCTGCTATTTGCGTAAAGGAGCATTTTGTGTTTTAGTTAATTAGGGAATATGTACTACTCTTATATATAACTCGTAAACATTTTAATTCAATCCAGTTTCTTAAACCAAGTATGAATAAGACAGTATGGTTATTATGTGCATGTATCATAGGAAGTGAGGCATATAAATTGACCTTCCTGCAAGTACCTTCCAGTTGTGTGTCAGATACGTTAGGTGTCTTTCTACTAAGACAATTCAAGATGGCAGTGTTTGCTCACTTCTCCACAGGTCTTCAAGGGAAAAATGTGCTCTGTAGTTTTCTATATACTATTGTAAAATATAGACTCATTTTTGGAAAATTTTTGTAATTTGTCTCCAGTTGCCATTTTATAAATCTTCTTTCTGTGCATTTTCGTAAGGCACAGATATGACCTGGGTTAATTTAATCATTTGTTTAAATTAAATAAATAACTACTCTATGAGAATGTCAACTATAGTGAATATGTATTTTGTTCTACTGTTTTCTCATTTTTACTTTTCTTCATGTTCCAGGATAAAAACAAAGACAGGATATCAAAATTTGACACCCTCCGTCACTCCATCGCTGGCATAATTCGTTCACCGAAGTCTGTACTGGGCTCATCCTCCGTAAGGACTGTTACTTAGGCTTTAGCAGGTTTAGGTACCCAGTGAATTACAGTGAAGTTAATATTTGATCACGGTCTTTCCCCAGTTTTTTGATGTTATCCCCACCAGTGAGAAGCCACTGGGGGAGCAGGAGTGGTACCATGGGGCAATACCCCGTACAGAAGCTCAGGAGCTGCTCAAGCAACAGGGAGATTTCCTGGTGCGCGAAAGCCATGGCAAGCCTGGCGAGTATGTGCTTTCTGTGTTCTCAGATGGCCAACGCAGACACTTCATCATTCAGTTTGCTGATGTGAGTACTACTGCCCAGTTAGTGCAAAACACATGTATATTTATCACTAAGTATGAAGGATGGGTCATTTTTTTTCTTAGATCAGACAAGTAAAATTATTAGAATTGCTGTAGGTCTGATATACTTCAAATTCAAGAATTAACAAATATCTCTTTTAACTCCTCTATGAAGACATATATTGTACTGAATTACTTTTCTTGCTTCTTAGTGAATGTCTGTTTCACATCATAATATATGATCTACTTTCATCAAACCAGTTATGACACATTTTGGGTTCACAATGGCAGGATTTTTCATGTACTGATCAGTAGCATAGGCAGAAATACATTTTTGGGTAGGTGTGTGAAAAAGTGCTTAGGCCAACTTGAGAGATGCAATTTCCAAACATGGTACGTCTTCCAATGTCATAACCTCAGGCTAAAGCCAATTGCTGACAGCTGCGCAGTACTCACCCTACCTATTAAAGTGTTTCCACCCTAAACAAAACAATAGCAAGACTGTTTATGCATCAATGAAAATGCAGAATTTACATGAACTCAACCAACACTGCAACAACCTTCATTGCCAAGCATGCTTCTATGCACCACAGACAGAACTTTTGCTTAATAAAGAGGACATAACTGAGTTAAAATTAGACAGCTGAGATGTACGTTAAACGTTATGAAAAACAACAGAGCAAAATTAAAGACCTAAACTGAAGTGTCCTAGGCTAAAGTGTACCGCCACAACAGGCATTAAATGTTTATGGAACATTTATGTCTTACCTGTGATGACTCCATGCATTGAAATCAGGGTTTTTCCTGGCCCAAAATGAAGCGGAGGTGGTACCATCTGGATCTTGTGCACAAACATGTGCCTGTGCATCATGCCTTCAACTGGCTCAATCATTTTTTACAAGCAATGTATTTTAGGAGTTCTAATATTTAAATAACAACAGAGTAATTATTTTTTAAAACAAATACTTTATATTAGTTTTTGTAACTTACAGAGTATAGCTTTTATAAATGTGCCACCCATGGCCATAACTAGGATAAACATTTTTGCGAGGTCCATTTTGCCAAAAAGTGACCTACATCAAACAGCAACTAAACTAACTGCTGAATATGTTTATTACAAAAAATAAATTTATCTTTATTAATATCAAATAAATCTTAAATCCACTGGTAACTTAAATCTGTTGCTACTTTATATACACTGCCACCTTAAATCTCTAGCTACCTTAAATTAATTGCTTTGTTAAATCCAATGCTTCCTTAAATCCGATGCCTCATTTAATCCATGTAAACCTTAAATCCAATTCTACCTTGGATCTCCTGCAACCTTAAATCCATTGCCACCTTAAATCCACCGATACCCTAATTCCATTGCTAATTTAAATCAAATGCCACCTCAAATCCACTTAAACTTGAGTCCACTGCTACCCTAAATCTCCTGCAGCCTTAAATATATTTGTCTTAAATCCAGTGCTACTTTAAATGCCACCTTAAATCCATTGATACCCTGAATCCACTGATGCCTTAAGTTCACTGCTCCCCTAACTCCACTTAAACCCTATTTCCACTGCTACCCTAAATCTCCTGCGGTCTTAAATCTATTTTTTTTTCATAAATTTAGTGCTACCTTAAATCCACTGCTACCTTAAATACACCGCCACTTTTAATCTACTGGTACCTTAAATCATGTGATACCTTAAAATCCATTGCTACCAAAATCCACTACTGCCTTAAATTCACTGCTACCTTAAATCTCTGTCTGCCTTAAATTTAATGCTACCTGAAATCCTGCTTAATGAAGCTTAATGAAGTGCCTGCTTAATACCACTTAAACCTTAAATCCACTGCTACCTTAAAACTCCTGCAGCCGTAAATGTACTTCTACTTTAAATCCAATACCACCTTAAATCCACTAATACTGTAAAGTCATTGTTACCTTAAATAAACTGGCACATTAAATCTCCTGCTTCCTTAAGTCCACTGCTACCATTGATAGGCTGCCACATTTAATCCATTGATACCTTACATTAAGGTACATTTAAATTCACCGGTACCGTAAAAGTTCTTCTACCTTAAACATCTTGCTACCTTCAATCACTTGAACTTTAAATCCACTGATACTTTAAATCTACAGATACATTCAATTCACTGCTACCTTAAATCTACTGCCACCTTAAATTCCCTGGTAACTTAAATCTGTTGATACCTTAAATCCTCCGATGCTTTAAAGACACTGCTATCTTATGGTGTGTTTGTATGTAGTGTGTAGAGTGTGTGTGGTGTGTAGAATGTGTATGTGTGTTGTGGTGTGTGTATGGTCTCATTTGTATGTTTGTGTGTGGTGTAGTGTGTGGTGTATGTGTGTTGTGTTGAGTTTGTGGTCTGTATATTTGTGGTGGATGTGTTGCGTTGAGTGTGGTGTGTGTTTGTGATGTGTGTGCAATAAGTGTTGCAAGCTTTATGCATGTGTGTATACTGTGTATGAGTGTCTGTGTGAGAGATGTGCATTGTGACATCACTTGTGGCAGTTAGTTTAAATGTTCTTAAAATTCCACCATTTGTTTCCAAAGGGAAAATGTTCATTTTTGAACATGGATTTTTCCGAAACCGTATGTCAGTTTGGTCCACAAAGCACAAGCACACTTCCTGTTTTAGAGTAACATTTGGGCAAAGATTTGGTGGTTGTATGTCAATAACTGAGTGAAAAGTTTACAAAATATGAGCATAGAGTAATAATAATAACTAGAAAAGGAAAGTTTGTGAGTTTAAATTGAAAAAGGCTAGCTCAAAAAGCCAGCTAATTACATTAAAACATGAACATTTTAAAGTGTTGCTTTGATGTTGCTAGGCTGATGCTATAGTGTCCAATGTTGTTGCTGAGGTGTTGGTAGGTGGTTGCTATGCTATTAAATACACTGGTACCTTAAATCCACTCTATCCTTATGTTTACTGCTACGTTCCACTGGCATCTTAAATCTATTGCTACTTTCCAGCCAATGTTACCTTAAATCCACTTTAATGCTACCTTAAAACTATTGCTACCTCATATCCACTACCACCTTAAATCCCTGGGACATTAAATTCACCTGTATCTTAAAAACACTGATAGTTTAAATCTTCTGCTATCTTAAATCCAATTATGTTCGCTCCACTGCTACCTTAAATGTTCTTGTACCTTGACAATCTTGCTACTTTAAATCACTTGAACTTCTAATCTACTGATACCTTAAATCTACAGATACATTAAAGCCACTGCTACCTTAAATCACTGGTACTTTAAATCTACTGCTACCTTAAATCTGCTAAAACCTTAATTCTACTGCTACCTTAAATTCACTCGTGCCTTAAGTCCACTGCTAACTTAAATGCACTGGTACCTTAAATTTCCTTTTACTCTAAATCCAATGCTATATTAAATCTTCAGCTGAATTAAATTAATTGCTACCTTAAATCGACTTCTCTGTTAAATTCAATACCTTCTTAAATCCACTTAAACCTTAAATACACTGCTACCTTAAATCCACTGCTTTCTTAAATCCAGATATCTTAAACCCACTGCTACCTTAAATATTATGCTACCTTAAATCCACTGCCAGCCTAAATCATTAATACCTTAAATCCGTTGTTTGTGCTTTTATTACTGTACATTAGCTTCTAAGCATATGTATATGTATGAACTGTATATGAGTGTCGGTGTGAGAGACATGCTTTGTTGTGACAGATTTGAATGTTCTAAACATTCTACCGTTCATTTGGTAAGTAATGAAAAATGTGTGTCGGATCGGTCCAAAAAGCAGAAAAACACTTCAGGTGTAGGACCTACAATCCTGAAATGTTTTTACGGTTCTGCCTCAAAAACTGTTGGAGAAGAAACTGTTTAAATTTTGAGTGCAGAATAATAACTAGAAAGGGAATGTTCATGAACAAACTTTTGGGTTGAATGAGCCAGCTAATGTCATTTAAACGTTAAAATTTTGAAAGATTTGATGGTTGCATACATACTTAAATATTGCAAGGTGGTTGCTATGGTATCCAAGGTGTTTTCTAAGGTGTTGCTAGATGCTTGCAATTTTGTCATAGGTTGTTACTAAGATGTTGCAAGGTGGTTGCTATGCTATTAAATACACTGGTACCTTAAATCTACTGCTTCCTTAAATTCGCTGCCACCTTAAATCTTCTGCTAGCCTAATTCTATTCCTACCTTAGATCTATTCATACTTTAAATCCCAAGCCACTATAAATCTGCTCCTGCCATAATCCACAGCCACCTTAAATTCACTGCCACCATTTAATCTCATACTACCTTAAATTCACTGCTTCCTTAAATCCAAAGCCTCCTTAAATCCACTGCTACCTTAAAACCACTGCTCCTTCAAATACAACGCCTCCATAATTGCACTACCTTAAATTCACTCCTACCTTAAATTTACTGATACTTTAAATCCACTGCCACCTTAAATCTCAGTGTACCTTAAATCAGTTGCTACCCTAAGTCTACAGCTCCCCTAAGTCCAATGCCACCTTAAATTTTCTGACACCTTAAATCCACTGCCACCTTATATTCACTTCCATCTTAAATCTCAAACTACCTTAAATTAATCTCCACCTTAAATTCACTGAAACCTTAAATGCAATGCCTCCTTAATTCCACTGACACAAATCCATTACTACCTTAAATTCATCACCACCTTAAGTTTACTAATACCTTAAATCCACTGCAACCTTGTATTCACTGCCGTCTTAAATTTTTTGATACCTTAAATCTGCTGCCACCTTAAATTCCCTGGTACGTTAAATTCACTGCCACCTTAAATCCACTTCTACCTTAAATCCGCTGCCACGTTAAATTCAATGCTACCTTAAATTCAATGGTACCATAAATTTACTGATACCTAAAATCCAGTGCCACCTTAATTTCACTGCCACCTAAAATGTACTGCTACCTTAAATGCACTACCCCTGTAATCCAATGCCATTTTAAATCCACTGCCACCTTAAATTTATTAATACGTTAAATCCATTGCCACCTCAAATTCACTGCTGTCTTTAATTAACTGATACATTAAATCCACTGTTACCTTAAATTTACTGCCACTTTAAATCTTCTGCTACCTTAATTCCATTGTCTACCACCTTAATTTTACTTATACCTCAAATTGACTGCCACCTAAAATTTCCCTATATTTTAAATCCATGACCATCTTAAATACACTGCCACCCTAAATGAACTGATACCTTCAGTCCACTGCCACCTGAAATTTCCATAAACCTTAAATCCACTGCCGCAGAAAATGCACTGCCATCTTAAATTTACATAAACCTTAAGTCCACTGCCACAGAAAATGCACTGCCACCTTCATTTTAACGATACCTTAAATCCACTGCCACCTTAAATTTTCTCATACCTTAAATCCACTGCCACCTGAAAATCACTGCCACCTTAAATACCCTGCTCCCTTAAATTCACTGGTGCTTTAAATACATTGCTATCTTATAGTGTGTGATGTGTGTTGAGTGTGTGGTGTGTGATTGTAGTGTGTGTTTGTGGTGTGTCGATGTTACTGTTGGTACTGTTTTACTTCTGTTATAACTATTTTATTACTGTTTTATTATTTTTTATTGCTATTTTAGTTTTATTATTTCTGTTAATAAGTTGGCTTGCAAAAGCCAACTTAATGTTCTTTGTAATCTTCTGCTTCTTCTTATTATTAAATTGGCTTGAAAAATACACAGTACACACAGACTTACATGCTTACAGGCTAATGCACAAGATTTACGGTGGCAGTGAATTTAAGGTAGCAGTGGAATCACGGTATCAGTAGGTGACAAAGGATTTAGGGTATCAGTAAATTTAAGGTGGCAGTGAATTTTATGAAGCAGTGGATTTAACGTACCAGTATGTTTAATAGCATAGTAACCACCTAACAGCACCATAGCAACCACTTAGCAACACCTTACCCAACCACCTTGTATACCATAGCAACTGCCAAGCAACACCTTACCAACCACCTTGTATACCATAGCAAATGCCAAGCAACATCTAAACAACACTTTAGCATCCATCACCAGTCCTCCACATTTTATCGTTTTAACGTAATTAGCTGGCTTTTTCAAGCCAACTGAAAGTTCATTTACAGACTTTTCCTTTCTTGTTATTGCTGTGCATTAGGCTGTATGCGTGTGAGTCTGTGTGTACTGTGTATGAGTGTCTGTGTGAGAAATGTGCATTTTGAAATCACTTGTGGCACTCACATTGAATGTTTTAAACATTCCACCGTTCATTTTCTGTGGGAAAAATTTCATCTTTGAACGATCGTTTTACAAAAACTGTACGTCGGATCGGTCCAAAAAGTGCACAATTCAGGTATATGAGGAACGTTTGTGCAAAATTTGGTGTTTGGTTGTACGTCAAAATCTGTGGACTGTGAAAAGTTTACAAAATTTGAGCTTAAAATAATAATAATAAAAAGAAGACTACAAAGAACTGGTTTTTCCAAGATAACTTAATAAGAATACAAAGAACCATACGTTGACTTCTCCAAGGCAACTTAATAAGAATATGAAGAACAGTAAGTTGGCTTTTCCAGGCCAGCTTAATAAGAAGAAGATTTCAAAGAACAGTAAGTTGGCTTTTCCAAGCCAATTTAATAATAAAAATAATAAGAAGAAAATTATGAAGAACAGAAAGTTTGCTTTTCAAAGGCTTTCCCACTTTTTCCATTTCACTTGATAAAATAAGGCAGAGCTTGACAGAGCATAATGATTTTGACTGGCCACAATACAAAGACAGTGCCCACAGCAAACAATTTAAATGTCTGTAAATACATCTTAACAAATATCCTGTCCCTGTTTGATTGGATTGGATGAGCTCCTCACACTGGCATCTTCCACCTTTGTTTCACAGAATCAGTACCGATTTGAAGGCACTGGATTCCCCACCATTCCACAATTGATCGAACACCACTACACTACGAAGCAAGTCATTACCAAAAAGTCTGGAGTTGTGCTCTTAAATCCTGTCATAAAGGTATTACATTCTTCTGCTCCCTACACTCTTTTTTTATTATTGTGTTTCAGCGAGTTGGTAACTGCTTCTCTAATCTCTTTTTGTCATCATCTGTCAGTTGTTTGGGCTGTTACAAGCTACAATGAAGTGGTATGGATTTCATCTCCTCAGAGTATATTTTAATTTTAGTACTTTTCTGAAATGTGTCAGGCATCCAGTATTTATCATTGTATGCAAAAGTTTGGGCACCTCTGGTCATATTACATGTTGATTTTCTAAGTGAAAATAAGTATACATTCTCTTGTTGAGAACACACTTTGCACATTTTAATGCACAATTATTGTTTATTAGCTGTATAGCTAGGGAATTTATACAACTAACTTACATACACCAAAAATAAAGAAACAAAAGTACATAGTATTCCCTAACCCAACCAAAAACAAGAGAAGAAACATTGGGTCAAAGGAAATGGCACCCACTCCTACACCCTGGTTGGCATAAGAAAGTGAGTTACAGAGATGGTTCATGAGTTTATTGCTAAACAGTAGATGTAAACTGGGTAGAAGACATATTTAGAGCTAAGCTAATACATTGAGAAAGAGACGATACACCAGCCATAAAACTCCATCTATCTGAGCTGCGGTTCTAAACTACAACTTTCGCCCCAAGCCGCTATGGAGGTAAGCCTCGAGGACGTCAGAACCACCTGCGGAAGAAATACGTGATACACATGCAGCCAGCCGATGGTCACGGGACTCCAGCCAATCACAAACACGGGTGGGCGAGTTCCTAATCAGTGAGAAAGAGAAAGGGACAAAGAGCGAAAAAAACAAACAAAACAAAAACATTGTTGCTACCAGATGGGCTGGTGATTTCCTGGGATTTTCACACACAAGAGTCTCTAGAGTTTACTCAGAATGGTGCAATAAAGAAAAAAGTCAGCAGCAGTTCTGCAGACACAACACCTTGTTAGTGAGTGAGGTCAATGAAGAATTGCCAGGCTGGTTCGAGCCATTGACAGTATATATAAACAGAATATATATATCATATATATAAACAGAAAACATTTATTTTGAAGCTATAAAGTGATTGAGAGGCATGTGGATAAAATGACAGACTGTCCCTTCTCTGTAGAAGAGGACAGGGCCATGAGGTGATCTAAAATTGCTCATGTGCCATTATTATTGGACTGAAATCAGCCTAAAATAATTGCCAGTGAACAGATAGCTTCTCTCAAACGGTCCTCTTGTGCCCAAGCAGCCTACTTCCAGTGGCAGCTGGGGGCCTGGTTCGAGCTGACAAAAAGGCTACAGTAACTCTGATAACCACTCTGTACAACGCATCTCAGAATGCACAACACACCGAACCTTGAGGCAGATGGACTATAACAGCAGAAGACCACATTGGGTTCCACTTCTGTCAGCCAGGAACAGAAAGTTGAGACTGCAGTAGGCACAAACTCATCAAAACCAGACAGTTGAAGATTGGAAAAATGTTGTCTGATTTGATAAATCTCAGGTTCTGCTGAGACACACAGATGGTAAGGTCAGAATTTGGTGCTAACAGCATGAATCTGTGGTTCCAACCTGCCTTTTGTCAGCAGTCCAGGTTGGTGGAGATGGTGCAAAGGTGTAGGGAATGTTTTCTTGGCACACTTTGAACCCATTAATACCAATAAATTATTGCTTGAATGCTGCAGCCTACTTGAGTATTGTCGCTGACCATGTGCCAGCTACAGCCACAATTTACCCATCTTCTAACATGATGATAATGCACTATGTCACAAAGCAAAAAATCATCTCAAACTGGTTTCATGAACATAATGAGTTTAGTGTTCAGTGGCCTTCCAGTCACCAAATCTGAATCCAGTTGAACACCTGTGGAATGTAGTAGAACAAGAGATTCGCAACATGAAAGTGCATCTGAAAAATCTGTAGGAATTACATAATGCAAATATGTCAACATGGACCAGAATCTCAAAAGAATGTTTTCAACATCTTGTGGAATCCATGCCACAAAGAATCGAGGCTGCTTTGAGAGCAAAGGGAGGCCCTACCCAGTATTAGTATAGTGTTCTTAATAAAGTGCTCAGTGAATGTAGTTTATAAGTAGTTAAGTGACAAATGCGCACATGACTAAACAAATGAATAAAATAAATAGCAATACTTATACTGAAGCTCCATTCATTCATCTGTTAGCGTTCAGTGTTTTATTCAAATTAAATTCATCTCGAAGCATGATTAGGAAAAAGTATGTGCAGTCAATTATTGACTATCAATTTGTATTGCAAATTGCAGCAACTTTGTAGCTTTTGGCTAGCCTATATTATTTTTTTTTTTGATGTATTATAGCCTAGTAATGAATACATACATACATACATCAAACCCCAAGTGCCACATGAGCATGCTACCCTTCCAAAACTCCCAGCCACAAAATTTCAAGATCCACCACTGCTGCTTATTTATGTTTTTCCTTGAAGTAACACGTTTTTTTAATCATTGCATAATTAGTCATTAGTCATTAATGAAGGTGTTTTTAAAGCAGGAAATAAGAACTAAAAATATGTAATAAACAGCATGCATAAAATTGGATTTCAGAACCATTTCTGTATATTCTCTAATATGTAAAGTGTGATAGCTACTGCCTTTCCACAGACTAATTTCTAATGCTGTGTCACTAAAGATAATACTAAACACTATAGTTTAAAATATAATTTACAGCAAAGTAAACAGTGCTTGCAGTAACCATTAAAAACCCTCTTTGGCAGTTGTGGCTGTTATCACAACATACACATATCACAAACGTCATTTGTTTTCATTGTCAGATGTGATGAGATTATGTAAATTACAAAGGGACAAAAAGAGACCGTGGGTCACTCATATCAAGTCTGCATATTTGCCTTTTAATGGAGGCTATTTTCAGTGTTTATGCCTGTTTGCACTCTCTCAATAGATTTTTGCTGAGAGATCAGAAAGATAGTGTTTTTTTTCATGGCTACTGTATAACAGATGCTAAGATGTCACAATACTCTTTGAGGCTTTTGGCTTTTCATGTGCACGTATGTAGATGAGAGAGATGGTGATCCTGAAGCTAACCTGGGTTACACAATGTTTAGAGATTGCATATTGGTATCAGTGGGCAATACAATTGGGCCATTATTAGCAGAAAATGCTAGATTGGTTATTAGAGGGTGAAAAAAAAGAATGAATGCTATCCAATCCTGTTACAAATCTGGCCTGAAGTAGCACACACTCACATTCTATGATGTGATGTTAGCTGTGTATTTTATGTGGTACCATTTTTGGTGATAGAGTGTTTAAGTAGTATGAGCACGATAGCCTACGTTTACGTTTAATATGATATGTTTAGATCATCTTGAGTAATAAGAGACAATGGTAAAAAGAAAAAGCACACAAAACACACACGTGTGTGTATATATATATATATATATATATATATATACACACACACTTTATATGTACAGTGCCTCCAAGTAGTATTCAACCCCCTGCAGATTTTGCAGGTTTACTCATTTGGAGTTAACTTAGCATTGTGAAATTTGGACTGTAGATGGGCCTGGACATGTGAAATGCACTGCGGCAAAAAAGAATGTAATTCATCTGTTTATTCATTTTTTACAATTTTGCAAAGTTTACCAGAGGGTCAATTATTATTCAACCCCTCAAACCACCAGAATTCTGTTTGGTTCCCTCAAGTATTAAGAAGTAGTTGAGGTATTAAGAACATTGAGCTTCACATGCTTGGATTAATTATCTGTTTTTTCCCACCTCTTCTGACTATAAAAGCCCCTCCCAAATCAAGTGAACAGCACTCATACATGGTCAACATGGGAAAGACTAAGGAGCATTCCAAGGCCATCAGAGACAAAAAGGGTCACAAGGCTGGCAAGGGGTGCAAAACCCTTTCCAAGGAGTTGGGCCTACTTGTCTCCACCGTTAGGAGCATCATCCGGAAGTGGAAGGTTTATGGAACTACTGTTAACCTTCCACGGCCTGGACAGCCTTTCAAAGTTTTCTTCCCGTGCTGAGGCCAGGCTTGTCCGAACGGTCAAGGCTGACCCAAGGACAACAAGGAGGGAGCTGCGGGAAGATGTCGTGGCGGTGGGGACATTGGTTTCAATAAATACCATAAGTAACGTACTCCACCTCAATGGTCTCCGTTCCAGGCGAGCCCGTAAGGTATCTTTACTTTCAAAGCGTCATGTCAAGACCCGTCTAAAGTTTGCTCATGATCACTTGGAGGACTCTGAGGCAGACTGGTTCAAGTTTCTCTGGTCTGATGAGACCAAGATCCAGGTCTTTGGTGCCAAACACACCTGGGGCGTTTGGCGAGAGGATGGCACTGCATACGACCCCAAGAATACCATCCCTACAGTCAAGCATGGTGGTGGCAGCATCATGCTGTGGGGCTGCTTCTCAGCCAAGGGGCCTGGCCATCTGGTCCGCATCCACAGGAAGATGGATAGCACAGCACACCTGGAGATTTTGGCCAAAAAACCTCCGCTCCTCCATACAAGGATCTTAAGATGGGTCGTCATTTCATCTTCCTACAGGACAACGACCCCAAGCACACGGCCAAGAAAACCAAGGCCTGGTTTCAGAGGGAAAAGATCAAGGTGTTGCAGTGGCCTAGTCAGTCTCCTGACCTTAACCCAATTGAAAACTTGTGGAAGGAGCTCAAGATCAAAGTCCAGAAGAGATGCCCAAAGAACCTAGAAAACTTGGAGAAGATCTGCATGGAGGAGTGGGCCAAGATTACTCCAGAGACCTGTGCCGGCCTCATCTGGTCTTAGAAAAAAACGATTAATAGCTGTAATTGCAAACAAGGGTTATTCCACAAAATATTAAACCATTTTTATGTTTAAAATGTATTATAATTTAATTGAGCAGCTTATATTTTTTTATACTCTTGAATTTGCAAAATCTGCAGGGGGTTGAATACTACTTGGAGGCACAGTATGTGTGTGTGTGTGTGTGTGTGTGTGTGTGTGTGTGTGTGTATGTGTGTGTGTATATGTATATATATATATATATATATATATATATATATATATATATATATATATATATATACACACACACACACACACTGATCAGGCATTACATTATGACCACCTCCTTGTTTTTATGTTCATTGTCCATTTTATCAGCTCCATATACTATATAGGTGTACTTTGTAGTTCTACAATTACAGACTGCTGTCAATCTGTTTCTCTGCATACTTTATTAGCCCCCTTTTACCCTGTTCTTCAGTTGTCAGGACTCCCATGGACCCTCACAGAGCAGGTACTATTTGGGTGGTGGATCATTCTCAGCACTTCAGTAACACTGACGTGGTGGTGGTGTGTTAGTGTGTGTTGTGCTGGTATGAGTGGATTAGACACAGCAGTGCTGCTGGAGTTTTTAAACACTGTGTCCACTCACTGTCCACTCTATTAGACACTAGATAGCTCATCTGCTGCTGCACAGTTTGTGTTGGTCATCCTGTAGTATTTCATTAGTGGTCACAGGAGGCTGCCCACAGGACGCTGTTGGCTGGATATTTTTGGTTGGTGGACTATTTTTAGTCCAGCAGTGACACTGCGGTGTTTAAAAACTCCAGCAGCACTTCTGTGTCTGATCCACTCAGACCAGCGCAATACACACTAACACACTACCACCACATCAGTGTTACTGCAGTGCTGAGAATGATCCACCACCCAAATAGTACCTGCTCTGTGAGGGTCCATGGGGGTCCTGACCACTGAAGAACAGGGTAAAAGGGGGCTAACAAGGTATGCAGAGAAACAGATGGACTACAGTCTGTAATTGTAGAACTACAAAGTGCACCTATATAGTAAGTGGAGCTGATAAAATGGACAATGAGCGTAGGAACAAGGAGGTGGTCATAATGGTCATAATGTTATGCCTGATCAGTGTGTGTATATATATCATAGGCATTGATTTAGGGGCAGTCATGGGCTGGAGGTTAGGGAACCAGCCTTGTGACTGGAAGGTTGCCGGCTTGATCCCCTGAGCTAACAGGACATGACTGAAGTGCCATTGAGCAAGGCACTTAACCCCCAACTGCTCCCTGGGCGGCGTGTATAGGGCTGCCCACCGCTCCAGGCAGGTGTGCTCACTGCCCCCTGGTGTGTGTGTTCATTAGTGTGCATGTATGTGGGAGTTTCACTGCATAGATGGGTTAAATGCGGAAGTCTAATTCCTCTGTGTGCAACCACAGTTGGCCAATGGTTCTAAATTCAAATTCCTCTCTGGAGCCGTCTGTGACATCATGCAAGTTTCTATTACAGATTAAAGTGACTTGCTTTTAGAATACTTGACAAACATTTAAAACATTGATGTGATTTCTATGCTACATAAACAAATGAACTCAATAAATAAATGTACTTATTATAAGGAGACTAATCAGTATGTCTTGTCTTTTAGGATAAAAAATGGATTCTTAATCATGAGGATGTCATTCTAGGAGAACTTCTAGGCAAAGTAGGTCCTGACATTGTCTTTAAACATTTTTTTCAATTATGTTTTGCCTTTGAACTCTTTAAAGCAATTTATATGAAATATTAACAAGAAGTTTGAATACAAAGAAATGGCCAAATGACAAAGTGTGAGCTATGTTTAGGGCAATTTTGGTGAAGTATTCAAAGGAACATTAAAGGATAAAACTCCTGTGGCTGTGAAGACTTGTAAAGAAGATCTTCCACAAGACCTCAAGATCAAGTTCCTCTCAGAGGCCAGGTGAACACAACTTATTGAGAAGCTGCACTGAAAAAAAGCTAACGTTGCTAATAATTAAGTTAAATAAATAAGTTAAATCTAATGTCCTGCAGGTCATACTAACTGATTTTTTCTACCTTTTATTGATTGTTTGCCACATTAGCATTTGTAGGTGGAACATTTCTTTAAACATTGAAGTTTCTCAAAATTCAATATACAGTCACTGAAAGTGGAATAAATTGTTATGTTCTTAATGGTCTTTCCTCTTTTATAAGGATTCTTAAGCAGTATGACCATCCCAACATTGTGAAGTTAATAGGCGTCTGTACACAAAGACAGCCCATTTATATTGTGATGGAACTTGTGCCAGGTATGTTTGTTAAAGCTTACTACTGACCGATGGTATTTTGAAGCTCAACCTTAAATGTAGTATACATAGTAGAGAATAATACAGCTTCGCTCATAGTACTGTTCTTCATTGCTTCCCTGGACAGGAGGGGACTTTCTGTCCTTTTTGAGGAAAAAGAAGGAAGACCTCAAACCAAAGCAGCTGGTGAAGTTTGCTCTAGATGCCGCTGCAGGAATGGCCTATCTGGAGCTAAAGAACTGTATACATAGGTAGGAGGTGCTCTAATTGAGCATTCAACATGGCTCATGTTCCAGATATATTTTTGTCAAAATCAGTTTCATTTTAGGGAAATTAAAAATAACAAACAGAAAAGACATTTTGAGTGAAATAAATGTACCTATTTCTAGGCACCTCACAATCACTACAGTATTTATTTTTTAATCAAAAATGTATGGCAATGTTCACATTTTAAAAAATATTCATAAATCTACAGTATTTCCCCTAGAATTTTCAGGCCAGGTTGTACACCCTTTGTACTTTAGCATATTAAGTATGAAAGGATATGATGATGATAAGGTGAAGTTCTACTGTCAGCTTTAATTCACAGGTTTTGCATATCACATGAACTGTTTATAAAATCAAAAAAAATGTATAGGCGTAATACTTGTTTGGTAACTTTCTATTATTTATTTGAATTATGGATGTAGACCCTAATAATGTAATAATTCCCCAATAATCTGACAGCCAGAATTGTAACAAATCTTTGCACTTTGGTCAAAAGTTTGGTCAAAAATGTAATAAAACCCAGTAATGTAATAACTTGCCTAGTAATGTAATACTTTGTCTTAAACTATAATATAATCATATAAAAATATGAAAATATTTTTACTGATGGTTTTAGTCATCATGCATCACCTTTTTTCTTATTAACTCCTTGTACTCTAGTCTGTCCAACATCTCTCATTACTGAATTTGGTGTCTCAAGCTGCTTCTAATCTGCTGTTTGACTGTTGTGTGACTAGAATCAAATTTCCAGACCTGATTACGTACAATTGTAAGCAAAGATTTAAACAACCCCAAACAAATGACTTGTTAATTTTTCTGCAGTGAAAAAATGTTAATACATCCTCTACAGTTCAGGCAACATTTTATGTTTATTATTTTTTATGATACGTACGGCGACGACAATCTGCAAGTGACAGCAGGAGGAGGACATTAGCCACGAGAGAGGGCACGAGAACAATGACAGCCATGAGAGGCATGAAGACGGTGTACAAGTCCTGAACCCTGCCTCCCGTGCCCTGCCTCCTGTTCTGCAGCGAGATTGCTAGACTATGTCTCACATTCGAGCCAAGCTGAGGACCTGGGGCGGTGACGGGGAGGCAGGACAACAAGCTCTCTTTCCCTCTCGGCTCAGGAGCTCACACCAGAGAGCAGAGAGGGACGAGCAGCAGCAGCATCAGAGTGATGAGCTGAAAAGCTCAAGTTTAAGAGAAGGACTGAAAGGTCAAGAATCCACGGAGAGCTAGCCAGTTTTGATTTGGTGCGATTTTGTTTGTGTTTGTGAGTGAAATTAAAAAGAAATGGCTGCTGCAACTGTCAGTCCTGCCTCCAGCATCCTTCCCCCACCCAGGGTAGAACATGGTGTGCTACACGTCATTTGACTAAACTTTTGTGTACTCTGCCCAAATCAGAATGTTGTGTTCATTCCTCTTTATCTCTTTGAAAATCTATTCCTTGTGTTAAAATTGCTAAGCTTTGATTCTGAATTTGGTTGAAGATAATATTATAACAGTGTAAAAAGACAGCACATGTGACTGTCGTTTCTTGCATGCAATGTGAGACTTTTTATAAAATATTTACAATCCTATACCAGCCTGTATCTGAAGGTGAATCTGTAACACTATTATGCATACCACATTTACCCCATTTAAAAGGGACAGAAAATTGCTTATTTTGAATCATATCACCGAACTGTAAGCAGTGTTAAGCCTATACCATTTTGTTAGCGTTTAACCCTTTAGGTAACAAAATATTGTGAGCATTTTGTGCCAGATCTTAAAGCAAGCATAACCAAGGCTTTGCTTTTTTAGTTTGGCATGTTTTTGCATATGACTAATGTATTGTAAAGTACTGCCATTTGTGTATTGCATTTCATTTTTTTGCACTGTTATGATTGCTTTAAGGTCTGACATGTAATGGTCTCCATAATATATGACTTTATTAATGGCACACAAGTTAGTTTCATGTTACAACCGAATGACTGGGAGGAGGGGATACAAAGGCTGTTGTAACTTAATAGGGGAACACCACTGAGTTTTCAAGAATGCTATGTAAAAAAATAGTTAAGATGTAAACAGTGTCATTCAGAGTGGTTTGGTGTGAAATGCTTTGTTTTAGAGAAACACACTCTATGTGAACTGTTCACAGTGATGGTGATAGGAACGTCTGAAGAGTTTAATACCTCTGAAAGCTCCCTCACAGAAAGTTATTACATGAAACAGATATATGCTGGCTGATTTATGAGACATTGCTTTAAGATAGTTTTGTGATCAAGTTTTGGCATAAAGTCTATTTTAAACTATTTATTTTAATCCATTTATGGTAGATGCAGTGCATTGTAAGGCAAAAGAGTCTCCAAAGAAAACAGTTTTTCAGATTTAGCACTTTTACGACTACTCATGAGGCATTACATATAAAAATTCCCAAGGCACGTAGGTTCTCTGGTGGTTTTGAATAGTAAATAAAATAGCTATATTTGTGTTGTAGACATGGTGGGATCCCCTGGGTCACCACCATCGCAAAGAAATCAAAGTTTGTAAATTTCTCTACAGTGAAACATTTCACATCAGACTGCTCTGAATGGCTCTGTATACATCTCAAAGGACTGAATTATTCAGAAATTTTGAAAAATTGGTGGAATTCTCCTTTAAAGGCATATGACATTGACAATACCAGCTGAATTTCAACACAAACATACACTGAGATACACTGACCAGAGAAGATCTCTCTGTAAATGGTGATATCTCTCTCTCTCTCTCTCTCTCTCTCTCTCTCTCTCTCTCTGTTTCTCTCACTTTCTTACTAGTAAGATACACTACTGTACATTTGTATAGTGGTCTTGGGAACTTACAAACCAGATTTCATCCTACAGCGTTGATGTGTCCTACAGGGATCTGGCTGCCCGGAACTGCCTAGTGGGAGAAAACAACCTATTGAAGATAAGTGACTTTGGTATGTCACGGCAGGAGGACGATGGGATTTACTCATCTTCTGGCCTCAAGCAAATTCCTATCAAGTGGACTGCACCAGAGGCTCTCAACTATGGTAAACCTTTTAGACTTAGTTTCTTAATTGCTTCCGAGAACTTAACAAGTTAGTACTAATTGAAGTTAAGAGTTTATAATTTTGAATCTAATTATCAAGTTTATCTTGAGGGACTGGATTATGCCAGGTTAGTGTCCAGAATAAATCCCTTATGGTTTTCTGACTTTACCACAGGGAGATACAGCTCAGAAAGTGATGTGTGGAGTTATGGGATCCTACTATGGGAAACCTTTAGCCTGGGAGTATGTCCTTACCCGGGAATGACTAACCAGCAAGCCCGCGAACAAGTTGAGAAAGGTACACACATCTACCAGTGTTCACATGCAGCATATCTTGGTATCAGACCAGGTGCTCATTTTTACATTTTATACTACTGCTTTTATTTCACTATGGTGTAAGCTTTGGTGTCTAAAGTAGGTAGCATTTGCTTTGTTTGAATCTCAGTGATGGTGGATGATTTTCTTGAAACAGGTTACAGAATGTCATGCCCACAAAAGTGCCCAGATGATGTCTACAAGATCATGCAGAGGTGCTGGGATTACAAGCCTGAAAATCGACCCAAATTTGCAGAAATTCATAGGGAACTGTCTTTAGTCAAGAAAAAATAGCTCTAAATTAGAACATAGCCAAGTGACCAAACTCATTTCTCATCCAGGCAATTTCTCTCTGAAACACAAACAGAAATATCTAGAATCCTTTCTTCTCGTGTTCACTATGTATTATGATTGTGTTATGTACAAGTATGTGTTGTCACGTAATGATTGTATGAAGTCTATGCAACAGCTGTTTTTGAGCCATTACCAGTGCTTGAGGTCTTGGCTTTACTCGGTTCTTTAAAATCAGTATTTCTACCAAACATATTTTTCTGAATGTTATATTTACTTTCATGGATCCATTGAAATACAGATAATTTCAGACAGATAAGTAGAGGATAAAGACTTAAATTCTCATAATTCAAAAGGGGCATTCCACACCAACTCACCTAGGGCCTGTCTAGTCACCTTATGTTTTTCTATGTTAAAATTTAACTCACGCAAAAAACTTAGGCAAAATGTTTTTTTTAGCAATTAATTTAAAAATTTGCCCCATCAGGTTATAAACTAAAATATCTTAAATATTGAAGTTATCTGCTTAAAGAATGACTGAACTGAGCTAAAATATTAGTTGGGTAATAATAACAACACCTTGTATTAAAAGCAAGCACAATTTGAAATGTGGTGTCACATTGCATTGGAACAGACAGTTTTCAAAATGATTATTGCTAAATTTAGTTTGTAGTCTTTATAGATTCAAGAAAATTTATGAATTAATTAAAATGGCATATTTAAGCACAATATAATGAAATGTATTGTTATACATTAAAAAAAACTAAATAGTAAAACACTGGATTTCCAAAATAATGTTTGTAATGCTCCTTAAAGTCTGTATCTTTTGCTTAGAGGTGATATACTGCTGTATTTCTTGTTAATAGGGATCTGTTATACAAAGAATCTCCTGTATCCTGTCATCAGAATAACCTGCCTGTCTAACAGAATGCAAAAAAAATGATAAAGACATCACCATCTAAAGTTTCCAAATTTAATCCTAGTCACCATTTCCCATCATTTCTACAATGTGCTTTTCTAGGTTACACAGCCTGTTTTTTTGTATAGAAGCGTATTTTGATCGTTTCCATTTCCTGCTGCTTGTGTCACTGATGTTTTCAGAACCTGAGAGATATCCTGCTATTCTCTGCATTTCAGTCTTTCCAGGAGCAGGAATGGAAAAAAAAAACATTTTGTCGAAATTCATTTTGGGTGATTCTGTACAATGCATAATAAATCCCCTAACAATAAAATACATCAACAGAAGAATATGTTTCAATATAAGAATATATCTCAAAAAAGAATACAGACTCTCTGGAGCAATATATATATATATCCAATCTACATGTTTTATTGCGCTTAGTCAAATATATTCAATTAAATGAATTTAAATAAATAAATAATTATTAAACTATGAAGGAGTTATAGCACATTTGTACATATTTTTATATGTTAAGACATAACTGTTCCTAGCAGTTTAGTCCTTTTTGGATAGTTGAATAAATTAAAGTGAAAATTTTGCTTTAATTTTTTCAGCGTGGCATGATCGGACAGGCCTTAGGTGCATTGGTGTAGAATAGGCCTGGACAATATCTAAAAATAATTGGCACGATATTTTCTAGTTAAAAAGTCGCGATTACCGATACCCCCCGCCCCCCCACTTCTGCCCAGAAAAAAAAAAACACGCAGCCTGCAGCAGTTTTGACCTTCTTTCTATTTTGTTTTAGTCTATATGCTTTTTTTAATATTGACGGTTATAATGAAAATCTTTAATAAAACCCACCTCGGAGACTTGCGTGCTAATAGCGATCCCTGCTGGAGAAACTTCAGACTGCAAGTGGTTTCCTAAGCCACGTGCTTTCCACATCAAAAACAAGGCGTTAGAAACAACGGTTATTGCGTGTTCATGGTTTTACACAGAACCATTTTCTTTGCTAAAGAACCATCATTTTTAACAGTGTACAAAATTAGTGGATATTAATTACTCTACCATTCTGAGTAGTTTGCTTCATGAAGATGATACATTTATGATCAATTCATTTGGTACCTCAGAATGAGTTTAATTTAGGCAGCATAAATTTTTTTTATAACGTGGTACTCCTTTCCAAGGAATTAGACTCGCAGATTTGATCAAAAACGCAAGTGTGACCTTAGGTTGAAAAAAGCCATTAAGTCATTTTGTATTATGTGTTGCACATAAGTAAATAGAAATAGCCTCTTTGCTTCAGTGATGTTTTTTGTTGTTGTTTTTTTTGTTTTGTTTTTTTTTTACATGAGGCTGTAGCAAGTCATTTACTACTTAGTGCTCTACCCTAAATGGACAAGTTTCCAGTTCAGCACAGATTGTCACAAACATGTTACTTATCTACATATTTCCACTTCTTGAAAAGCCTTTGCATATAATGTGCAACCAAAGCCAAGACTTTATTTCCTTTCCAAACCTCAACTAGGACTTATTTGGCATCCATTAAACCTTAGTAGTGTTACAAGACTGCCAGTAAATCATCATGTGATACATGCAAAAAGAGAAATGACCTTTTCTACTGTTTATTCAGGTTTGTTGTCTGTGTACTCAACTTCTATTCAGTTTCTTTACAAGTTCCTTTGAATTACAAATCACATGACTTGTCATTTGTTTGTCCAAGGAATAAATGGATTGACTTCACTATTTTATAGTTTACTCTCAAAGCATTCCTTCTGTATTTTGTAAATACTTTTGTAGATTATATAATACTTTTTGTAAGTGTTTTTTTAATACTAATCAAATTGGAATGTAAAGGTCTCTCCAGGTTTTTACGCATCTAGACAGTGTGTTGCCTCTTACAATAATCGAATCTGGCAAAGACAGAAACAATACATCTAGAACACCCCCCCCGCCTCACACACACACACAAATACGCTTTACCTGTCATGGCTTCACATATAGTGTATGCCTGAAATGTTCAACCATGCAGTGAAATGCATGTGCTGACTTATAGACACCTGTTCTAACAGTTCTAATACATACACAAAGCTACTGTAGCTCCAGGTCGTTTCATCACATGACAGATATTACCAGTGGTTTCTGGTCAGAGGTCATTGGTGACTTCTGTTGAAGCTGAGCTTGCATTGTTAAAACTACTGCTGAGTGAGCTCTCGAGCTTTTTCTTACATTCAAAGCAAGTATCTGTGTCATTTTTATTTATTTAAAGTACTGTAATATTATTCTTTGTATTTTTATCTTTATTATTTTTAAATACTATTTGCCATAACTCATACTGTCTGTATTTGCGTTTGCCAGTATTTGTTACACAATATACTGAAATTTGTTTTCCAAAGAAACTGGGCTGATTTTTTTTTTCTTTGTTAGTTTGACTTGCTCAGTGTGACCTCGTACTATTCTAGTGCTAAAATTGCAAATAACAGTGTGTCACAAGTATGTTCAAAACAAAATGTACAGTACAGTGTGACTGTGATTCGTGAACTAATTCTAAGCATTTTTGTAATGAAAACAATGAAGAGTAAATTTTATGTTCTGTATTTTCTCCCATACGAGTATTACTTGTCATTCTTCTACAACCCCATTTCAAAAAAGTTGGGACGCTACATCCGTGAAGGCACCATTAATACTGAACAATATATACATATTTTAGCAACATATGCTGCCATCAAGACAACGCCTTTTCTCGGGGAAGTCCTTGCTTATTTCAACAAGACAATGCCAAACCACATTCTGCATGTATTACAACAGCATGGCTCCGTATTAAGAGAATCTGGGTGCTAAACTGGCCTGCCTGCAGTCCAGATTTGTCACTCACTGATAATATTTGGCATGTAATGAAATGAAAAATACGACAAAGCAGACCCCGAACTGTTGAGCAGCTGAAATTCTATATCAAACAAGAATGGGAAAACATTTCACTTTCAAAACTACAGCAGTGTCTCCTCAGTTCCCAAACTCTTACAGAGTGTTATTAAAAGAAGAGGTGATGAAACACAGTGGTAAACATGCCCCTGTCCCAACTTTATGGGAATATGTTGTTGGCAGCAAATTCAAAATGGGTATATATTTTTCAAAAAACAATAACATTTCTCAGTTTCAACATTTAATATGTTGTCTTTGTAGTATTTTCCTTTAAAAATATGGTTTACATGATTTGCATATCGTTGCATCCTATTTTTCTTTACATTCTGCACAGCGTCCCAACTTTTTTAGAAATGGGGTTGTATTTTCCAATGAGGCTCCCTGCTCTGACAGACCCTATTCAACTTGGGAAGGGCTTCTTAATGAGCAGATCAGTTGGATCAGGTCTGTTAGAGCAGAAAAACACAAAAATATATAGATGACAGTGGTACCCCAGAACTAGAATTGGGAAACACTACTCTATATAAGACTGAATTTACATTTTAATTTAAATGACTTATTTTTTAATTTATTTTTTTGGCTGTGAGTATTTTAATTGCACTCTTGTCCATCCCTGTTATAAATATATGATAGGAGTGCTGTTTGAATTAGTCCTAATTTCCCAGGAAATTTTAGATGAAAGAAATATATATATATATATATATATATATATATATATATATATATATATATATATATATATCACACACTGGACACCTGACCATGAAATAAATGTGTATTAGGTTGAATGAACTAAACTCAAGAAATCAGACATGCAAATGGTAAATGGTTGTCAGTCGGTTTTATTTCATATTCATCGTTTTTCTATCATATTTTTGTACCAGACTTATCATCTGCCAATTTCTGTTTACTTGTAACACCTCTTTTGATAGATATTTTAGTATAATACCCACAGAATGTTTATATTGTACACTTGCCCTAAAATCCTTTTATTAAAAGATTTGGGTAAATGTTTAAAGTTAGTGTAGTCCATATGACATTGTTTTTGAAGAAATCATGTAAGAAATACTGTTTCGTCACCACCCTAAATTTGTTCATTCTACAAAATGTGATGATGAATGCATCCGATACTACAAAACAAAGATCCAATATTAGTCTGTGCCTTTGAAATAAAATGAAATTCAACATATGGCCAAACATTTCCTGAATTAATGGCACAAACCACCAGTCTCTTGTAGTCCTTAAGCATCATACTTGATGCATCTGGCACACAGCTCATCATTGTGACTAATATATATTTTTGTACTTAGACTGAAACCTCTACAATTAAGTCATATTAAAAAAGGAATGCACTGATCTGATAATTGGTAATTAACACCTTGTTGTGACTAATGCCAATATTAATAACCAGTAATTTTATTTCTTGTTGCATTTCCACACTATAATAAATAGATGAAGTGTGGCAAGCACAGAACATATTAAACTAAAAATATGACTTACTAGTTAATAAACATGGCTGTGACACAGCTAACTGAACAAGACCGTCGTTCCCATTATTTTTTGAAAATCCTTTACATTTAACACTCTTATCTAGAGCCATTAATAGCAGATAGCAGTAGGTGAATGTAACATTCAAGGAGTCTTGTCTTATTGGTAACATGATGGTGTTTCTATCTGGATGCAGGTGGGTGAGGCTGTGGTGATATCCACTAAAAATAAAAAATTATATATATATATATATATATATATATATATATATACACACACACGTGATCAACACCCTATATTAAGGTGTGCAGGCAGCTTCTTTTCCTCAGGCAAAATGGGCCAAAAAAGAGATTTAACTGACTCTGAAAAGTCAAAAATTGTAAAAAGAGGGATGCAGCACTCTTGAAATTGCTAAGATATTGGGGCATAATCACAGAACCATCAAACATTTTGTTGCAAATAGTCAACAGGGTCACAAGAAATGTGTTGAGAAAAAAAGACGCAAATTAACTGCCAAAGATTTGAGAAGATTCAAACGTGAAGCGACCAGGAACCCATTATCCTCTAGTGCTGTCATATTCCAGAACTGCAACCTACCTGGAGTGCCCAGAAGTACAAGGTGTTCAGTGCACAGAGACATGGCCAAGGTAAGGAAGGCTGAAACCCGACCACCACTAAACAAGATACATAAATTGAAACGTCAAGACTGGGCCAAGACATATCTGAAGACAGAGTTTTCAAAGGTTTTATGGACAGATGAGATGAGAGTGACTCTTGACAGACCAGATGGATGGGACCGTGGCCGAATCAGTAATGGGCACAGAGCTCCACTTCGACTCAGACGCCAGCAAGATGGAGGTGGGGTACTGCAATGGGCTGGCACTTTCTTAAATCAGTGGTACAGGAAAAAGTCTGCATCTTACAAGAAGACTATGATTTTTATGCAGGACAATGCTCCATCGCATGCCTTAAAGGTGAAAGAATAATGACAATGCCCCCTTCCTCACCTGACCTAAACCCTATTGAGAACTTGTGGGCCCTTCTTAAACAGGTGATTTATGGTGAAGGACAATAGTACACCTCTCTGAACAGTGTCTGGGAGGCTGTGGTTGCTGCTGCACAAAAAGTTGATCGTCAACAGATTAAGAAACTGACAGACTCTATGAATGGAAGGATTTGACTGTTATTGAAAAGAAGGGTGGCTATATTGGTCACTGATTTTTTTTTTTTTTCAAATGTCAGAAATGTTTATTTGTAAATTTTGAGTTGTTTCTTTTTTATTCTCACTTTAACAGATGAAAATAAACAAGTGAGATGGGAAAAATGTAGTTTTCATCTAGCTGCATAATAATTCTGCACACTAATAATTGCTTAATAATTATGCACACATAGATATTCTCCTAAGAAAGCCAAAACCTCACTTTTACTTTCTTAGATACTCAGGTTTGAGGTTTATTAACATTTTGGATTGACCGAGAGCACTGTAGTTGTTCAATAATAAAATTAATCCTCAAAAATACAACCTGCCTAATAATTGTGCACTGTGTGCACCCTTTATTCTCATGCTTTCTCAAGACTTAATAGGCAGATCTATATTTAGAATGCTTACAGGGCATATCTGAAGTTCAATGAAAGTCTAAAAAACAAGATGTTTCATTTTTTTCTTGATTATTACAGAATACAGAGTAAACATTCCCTTTGATTTCACCATTAAGTTTATTTACATCAAGCTACAGTTTTTGAACATTGCATTCAAACCTTTGCTGAAAGTGAAACTTGGTTAATGAAACTTTTTTTGGTTCAAATGTTAAAAAAAAAAAAACAGACCAAGCAGAACAAATACAAACTACTGTTAAATTCTTTGTTGTAACTGTATATGTAATGGAGCCTTGAAAGAATTCATATCGTCTTAGAAAATGATCTTGCACTGCCTCTTTGTGGCCATGAGCTGTAACATGAGAATGTTAATTGAGACTGAACATCCCCTTATACATCGTAAAAGCAGAAGAGGCATATTTAAAGCATAATTCATTGTTTGTGAAGACGCAAGTGATTGTTGTCCAAATGTTTCTTGAAGTATTTTGAATGGCTGCAGCTGTTCACTGGCTTTGTCCTGCTACGCTGGGACTGGATCAGGGATTCTCTGGGTTGGAGAGGAACGATGTGGGTTCGCTCAGAGCAGGGGTTAGAACATGGCGACATACTGGACACGTGCCAGACTGAAGAACACAGCAAAATGCAACATATACCAATATAAAGCACATATAGTTTGCTGCACAAAATGAATGGGGTTGTGGTAAGCCAATTGCCAGAGAACAACCAGAGAACTTGTAATTGCTTTAGGCAAAAGCTACAGATAAGTTGCAAAAGTCTGTACGGCATAAGACTAGGCACCACAATCAAACAAATCTACAAATATTATTGTTGTTGCGTTTCTTCTTTAGCATAGCCTATGTCCAATCAAGTCAAAACAATAAAACTACTCGCCTAGCTGTAAGAAACTTTAGTACCTTTAATGGGTATAAAGTTTAATGGATTTTAATTTTAAGGTAATATTCAAGGTGCCAAATATTGTTTATAACTAAACTGGGTAACTAGATTTGATTAAAAAGAACCAGCATATAAACAGTACCTTCCTGAGCCAGAGGGTGACGCAGAGTTTGTGGAACATGTGGCGACATGGCAGCTGTGTTGCTATCTCCTCATTGACATACTCGCAACAGCAAACGGCACAGCTTTGCTCCTGTCCTGCACCGGAAAAATAGTGTCCTTCAAAATCTAGAATTTTTAGTTCATACATGCTCTTTTTAAATAAAAAAAAAAATTATAATAATTTAAATTTTAAAAAAGTCTCTCTTACATGGAGTTACGACTTCAGATTCATTAAAATTGCCTGGTGTTTTATTTTTTATTTTTATCCTCTTCCCAAAATGGGAAATGGGTTAAGACACAGGAGCTCAGACAAGGGGGTAAATGGGGATGTACGGTATGAGAAAATGTGTTTATAGAACATTGAAGTGTGTATAAGGTCATATGCATAAATGTATACTGTTTACTGGTCAAATCTCTGCATTGGATGTTCATGTCTGTTCATGTTAAAATTTTGTCCTTAACCATAAGAAAATCTCTCATTTAATTTTAGTTTTGTTGCATACTTGCACATTGTGAATGTGACAAATGGGGCGTTGCTCCTGAAGCATGTTGGCTTACCCCTATGGTCGTCTAGCACTTTGATGTGGGGTAGGGAGTCAATGATCTGCTCTGATGCCGGTGGATGAGCCTGCTCCACATCTATGGCCAGTGACTCAAGATGAGCTAATGCTGCCTAGAACACACAGTGTCTAACATCACCACCAAGACAGCATTTTGCAGATAAAATTATATAAAACTGGCTTCTCATCTGGATATAAAATAATAAATATTAATAAAAAATAATTATGTACAGAGCAGCTGAAAGCTAAACCTTAAGTCAAAGATGTAACAATTCACTACTGAATTACTACTCAACTACACTGCAAATTTAAAAAAAATCTCAAATTATACAAAAAATTACTTATTACCCAGAGTTAGATTGAAAGAAAATGCATATCCTTAACCAATATTCAATTAGAGTCAGAGCCAACTAGAGGCGTAGTACTGACTGGAGGGGCCATGCGTTAGTGTGTGTTTATGAGGAAACCAGCCCAAAACCCGAAATTTTCAAACATACCCTACACAAGAACCTGATTTTATTTAAACCAAGGGGCTGACAACTATATTATGTTCATGATTATATGATCAATTCTAAAAAGTTAATGAGTGGAATATATAATGGGCTACTTAAAGTTGTATGTGCCACTCATTACTGGCCCAAGTTAAAACCAACATAAATGTCATGACGGGTGTAATGAAAACAGTTGTTGCTATCAAAAGAAGCATTAAACTTAAAATTCAGTGTACATATGACTAAACTTGCATAAAAAGTTGACACATGTATAGCAATCAGTTGTGATAGACACAACTATTTTCATTATACAGGGTTTAGCTTTGGCTCAGTGTCACCCTACATCACATCTTATTTCTAATTTTGAATACCTATGTGTAATTTCATTACATCACTGTGCATCATACTTTCCCTCTGAGAAAAACAGACGAAATAGTTGCTTGTCTCATCGATTAGGGATAGTAGCTTTTCCATATGGTACACTGTTATAATACGTACACTGTTGCTATTGTTCTTTTGAAAAGTGGTATATATTGGTATAAGCGTACAAGTGGTATAAGTGTATTTTTTTAAAAGAGCTATTCTCTAATTTACTGCATTACTTTGACCAAAAATAAAAAAGGTTAAACAATTGCTTATTTGTCGGTTAACAGTTAATCAGTTAAAAAAACAAACATACAGCCATGTAATAAGTATAGATAAACACTGGCAGTAAAGGTCGCATAGACTAGTCAACTAATAAATCCACTGGGCTCAAGAGCAATGTCTGAGGTATAGCGGTAGGAGGGACACAACTATTGCAATGGCTCATGTGTTGAAGCTGGTGGCAGCATGCTATGTAGAAGGAGAATTGTCTGATCTGACAGCTCTCTTTTCTGCTCCTTCTCTCCAACAGGCTACTCTCACCGAAAGCAAAAGTTGAAATACTTTTTATGTGCCATTTTCATTATTTCATTTTAGCATTTAGCATAGTTCCATCCAAAAACCCAGTGAAAGCATAATATCTTGTAATGTGCCATTTTAATTTATGCATTTAAACCCCCAAGGTTATTTACCTCTGTGTAAGAACAAGGTAAATTCTGCAGCTAATTTACTCAGGCTGCAGAGAGGAATTCAGATTTTAAAATTGAAGTTTGAGTGAGTTTGAGTGGGGAACCAATATTTCCCCACACAATGTAACAGTGTCTCAACAATATCTCATATGTATACTTTATGTATACAAAATACTTTTTATATAAAACTTTGTTTGTGAATAGCTCTCTTACCTCCATAGCCTGTGCAAGTCTTTCCTCTAATGCCATGTAAGTGAGAAGCTGTGGATGGTCCACATAGGAGATGGCCTGAGCAATGCCAAAGCCTTCTTCAAAGTCATCCAGCAACCTGAAGAACAATGCTGTCCACTTTAGTCTACATCATTTAAGATCACAAATTCATTGCCCCACTGATAGAAACACATTTCGATTACAGGAGCAAAGGTAAAGAAAAAATAATCCTAATACTTTTCAGGCATCAGTTACAAGAAATTACTACAAGGCAATATTTGGTTAAGAATCTGAATTTTTGCCAGACAAACAATGAACATTGTTTATACGCTCATTGTCCATTTTATCTGCTCCACTTACTATATAGGTGCACTTTGCAGTTCTACAATTACAGACTGTAATCCATCTGTTTCTCTGCATACTTTGTTAGCCCCCTTTTACCCTGTTCTTCAGTGGTCAGGACCCCCATGGACCCTCACAGGTACTATTTGGGTGGTGAATCATTCTCAGCACTGCACTGACATGGTGGTGGTGTGTTTGTGGGTGTTGTGCTGGTACAAGTTTTAAACAGACACAGCAGTGCTGCTGGAGGTTTTAAACACTGTGTCCAGTCACTGTCCACGCTAGTAGACACTCCTACCTTGTCAGTCCACCTTGTAGATGTAAAGTCAGAGACGATAGCTCATCTGCTGCTGCACAGTATGTGTTGGTCATCTTGTAGTCCTTGATCAGTGGTCACAGGACACTGCCCACAGGACTCTGTTGGCTTGATATTTTTGGTTGGTGGACTATTCTCAGTCCAGCAGTGATACTGAGGTGTTTAAAAACTCCAGCAGCACTGCTGTGTCTGATCCACTCGAACCAGCACAACACACACTAACACACCACCACCACACCACCACCACGTCAGTGTTACTGAAGTGCTGAGAATGATCCACCACCCAAATAGTACCTGCTCTGTGAGGGTCCATGGGGGTCCTGACCACTGAAGAACAGGGTAAAAGCGGGCTAACAAAGTATGCAAAGAAACAGATGGACTACAGTCTGTAACTGTAGAACTGCAAAGTGTACCTATATAGTAAGTGGAGCAGATAAAATGGACAATGAACATATAAACAAGGAGGTGGCCATAAGGTTATGCCTGATTGGTGTCTATATGTATATTAGGGGTGGGAATCTCTAGGCACCTCACGATTCAATTCGATTACGATTCTGAGGGCTGTGATGCGATTATAAATAATGACATAATGTTACGCCTGATTGGTGTACACTATACACCAGTCAGCTAAAACAAATAAAACCACTTTCTTGTTTCTACACTTATTGTCCATTTTATCAGCTCCACTTACCATATAGGTGCACTCTGTTCTATAACTACAGACAGTAGTCCACCTATTGCTTTGCATACTTATACTTTAAACACTGTGTCCACTCTATTAGACACACCTACCTTGTTGGTCCACCTTGTAGATTTAAAGTCAAAGACAGTGGCTCATCTGTTGCTGCATAGTTTGTTAGTCATTCTCTAGTCCAGGCATGTCAAACTGGGGACCTGTGGCCAAAGTGCTGTGAATATTAGTGTTTACTAGGGGTGCGGGAAAAACTTGATTCTTAGATGCATCGTGATGCGGACGTGAACGATTGTGAATCGATTCATAAATGTCAAAAATCGATTTTCTAAATATTTAATTTATAATGTAATGTTGACGGAACGCAAAAGGTGGAACTGGAAGTGGGTAAGTGCAGCGCCCGGACAGTCTCTGGCAGCACATAACAAAAACACAACTGGATGAGTGAGAATCCGACCGGCTCCCTCTGCATTAAAGCCAGGTTAGGTCAGGAGTCACAACCCAAATGTTTAGAAGAGCCATTTTGCCTTTCAACAAAGTCAAACCACATTGAGAGCCACAACATTTAATGTCTAGCATGTTTCAGTATGTGTTAATATTGTAGTGTGGGCTAAAAATATAAACCAGAGCACAGCTCTACTTTGCTCTGCTTTAAGCTTTAGCTATAACGTTAGCTGCTTTCCTTCCATCTCCGCCAGAAAACTTTTCTTCAAAACTAGAAGAGTTTCTTGTAAAATGTCTCAGCATCCGGCTGTTTTACGAGGCTGAAGTCGCTTCTCATTCGCTTCTCGTTCTAATTTTCCCGTTCCACCTTAAATTCTGCCTGAGGCGCCAGAACGTAAATACGGCACTATTTAAGGTGGAACGGGAAAATTCGAAAGAGAAGCTGACTTCATCTTGGCAACTTTTTAGTTACATGGTACGCGAAGCTGATAAAATCGACAATGAGTGTAGAAACAAGGAGGTGGTTTTAATGTCATTTCTGATTGGCGTATGTTAGAGTATCTAGAGACCACTTCTAATTTGTGAATTTAGCTTCGGTTCAAGGTGTACCCATTGATGACCCATGCATTCAATTTCACTTACAGTTTGAATACTCTCCATAGAAAAGCACTGCCACCGCCTGCTGAAAAACAGGTGTATAAGTGTAACGTCACCATTCCCAATGCCAAGCAAAGACTAGTTTAATGCTCCCCAGCACTGGGCTGAGGAGCAGTGGAACTTTGTTCTCCAGATGGATAGAGCAACATCAAAAACCTTTGGGATGAGCTGGAGTGGCATTTGTGCTCTTGTGGCTGAATGCAATTAAATCCTCACAGCAATGTTTCAGAACCTAGTGTAAAGTCTTCCCAAAAGAGTAGAGGTGAGCAAATTCACTACTAATACACTGTGCGTGTGTGTGTGTAATATATACACTGATCAGGCGTAACATTATGACCACCTCCTTGTTTATACGCTCATTGTCCATTTTATCAGCTTCACTTACGATATAGGTGCACTTTGTAGTTTTACAATTACAGACTGTAGTCCATCTGTTTCTCTGCATACTTTGTTAGCCCCCTTTTACCCTGTTCTTCAGTGGTCAGGACCCCCATGGACCCTCACAGAGCCGGTACTATTTGGGTGGTGGATCATTCTCAGCACTGCAGTAACACTGATGTTGTGCTGGTATGAGTGGATCAGACACAGCAGTGCTGCTGGAGGTTTTAAACACTGTGTCCACTCACTGTCCACTCTATTAGACACTCCTACCTTGTCAGTCCACCTTGTAGATGTAAAGTTAGAGACGATAGCTCATCTGCTGCTGCACAGTTTGTGTTGGTCATCCTCTAGTCTTTCATCAGTGGTTACAGGAGGCTGCCCACAGGACGCTGTTGGCTTGATATTTTTGGTTGGTGGACTATTCTCAGTCCAGCAGTGACATTGAGGTGTTTAAAAACTCCAGCAGCACTGCCGTGTCTGATCCACTCGTACCAGTGTCACGTCAGTGTTACTGCGGTGCTGAGAATGATCCACCACCCAAATAGTACCTGCCCTGTGAGGGTCCATGGGGGTCCTGACCACTGAAGAACAGGGTAAAAGCGGGCTAACAAAGTATGCAGAGAAACAGTCTGTAATTGTAGAACTACAAAGTGCACCTATACAGTAAGTGGAGCTGATAAAATGGACAATGAGCATAGAAGCAAGGAGGTAGCCATAAGGTTATGCCTGATTGGTGTCTAAATGTACATTAGGGGTGGGAATCTCTAGGCACCTCACGATTCAATTCGATTACGATTCTGAGGGCTGCGATGCGATTATAAAACGATTATCGATGCATCTTAATGCATCTTTTTTTTTTCTATACAGTATTTCTTTTTTCTCACTGTGTGAGGACTTGGTACTTTTAAAGCAAAGTATTTGTAATGATCCATAAGGAATTTACTTCAAATATCTTTTATTATTAAATCAAATGGAAGTGATGTGGCAAGTCAACTAAAAGGCTCTCATTCACTGCTCTTGTTTGGAGCACATGAGACGCAAGCTGCCACTCATCTGCGATAAAATGCACAGTTACGGTGAAATAAGATCCTGTGGCAAAGGATGTCCATGCATCTTATAACTTCGGTTTTGGTGTCGTTGTAGAGAGCGGGGGGGGGGTCGCTGTGTCAGTAAAATATCTTCGAGACGGGACATGTGCAACATAGCGCGAAAGCCCTGGTTCTCAATGACTGAGAACTGGCATGCAGACGGCAGGTCACATAGCAATACAGTCTCACCTAGCTAGTTGCTAATGAAAAGGCAAAGAGACAGATTTAAGACCAACATTTGGAGACGAATGGACTTATTCGCATTTATAAGCAGCGCAGTTGGTTTCCTGGTACGTTAAATCTGCAACGAGAGACTGTCAAACACTAAAAAGTTGCCAAGATGAAGTCAGCTTCTCTTTCGAATTTTCCCGTTCCACCTTAAATAGTGCCGTATTTACGTTCTGGCGCCTCAGGCAGAATTTAAGGTGGAACGGGAAAATTCGAACAAGAATAAGAAGCAACTACAGCCTCGTAAAACAGTTGAACGTTGAAAGACATTTTACAAAAAACTATTCAACTTTTGAGGAAAAGTTTCCTGGCGGAGATGGGAGGAAAGCGGCTATAGCTAACGCTTAAAGCAGAGCAAAGTAAGTCCGCGTTTTCGGTTAGATTTTTAGCCTATACTAGGACATTAGCACATCCTGAGACATATTGGACATAAAATGTTGTGGCTCTCAAAGTGGTTTGATTTTTGTTGAAAGGACAAAATGGCTCTTCCTTACATTTGGGTTGTGACTCCTGACCTAACCTGGCTTTTAATGCAGAGGGTGCTGCACTACATTATAAATGAAAATTTAGAAAATTGATTTTTGACATTTGTGAATCGATTCAGAATCACGTCCGCAATGTATCTAAGAATAGATTTTCCCCCCACCCCTAGTGTGTTTGTGTATATACACACGCACACACAATATATGTGTATATATATATATATATATATATATATATATATATCTATATATATATATATATATATATATATATATATATACACACACACACACACATACATACATACATACATACACACACACACACACACACACACACAACCCCAATTCCAAAGAAGTTGGGACAGGGGCAAAAGGCTGGAAGAGTAAGTGGTACTAGTAAAAAAAAACAGCTGGAGGAGCAATTTGCAACTAACTCACATGACTGGGTATAAAAAGAGCATTTTAGAGAGGCAGAGTCTCTCAGAAGCAAAGATGTGCAGAGGTTCACAAATCTGCGAAAAACTGTGTCTAAAAATTATTGAACAATTTCAGAAAAATGTTCCTCAACGTAAAATTGCAAAGACTCTTTGGGCCTTCAGGCGGCACTGCATTGAAAATAGGCATGATTCTGTATTGGAAATTACTGCATGGGCTCAGGAACACATCCAGACATCATTATCTGTGAACACAGTTTGCCATGCAATCCACAAATGCAATTTAAAGCTGTATCATGCAAAGAAGAAGCCATATGTCAACACGATCCAGAAACGCTGCCGTCAAATGGACTGAGGCAAAATGGAAAACTGTTCTGTGGTCAAATTAATCAAAATGTTAAATTCTTTTTGGAAACCATGGACGCCGTGTCCTGCGGACTCAAGAGGAGAGGGACCATCCAGCTTGTTATCAGTGCACAGTTCAAAAGCCTGCATCTCTGATGGTATGGTGTTGCATTAATGCCTATAGTGTGGGCATCTGGAAAGGCATTATCAATGCTGAACAGTATATAGGGGTTTTAGAACAACATATGCTCCCATCCAGACAATACGTCTTACAGGCAAGGCCTTACTTCAACAAGACAAAGCTAAACTATATACTGCATCCATCACAACAGCATGGCTTCACAAAAGAACAATCCAGATGCTGAACTGGCCTGCCTGCAGTCCAGACCTTTCACCAATTTGGTGCATCATGTAACAAAAAATCCAGCAAAGAAGACCCAGGACTGTTGAGCAGCTAGAATCCTACATCAGACAAGAATGGGACAACATTTCTTTCCCAAAACTCCAGCAATTGGTCTTCTCGCTTCCCAGATGTTTATAGACTGTTGTTAAAAAAAGAGAAGAGGGGATGCTACACAACGGTAGACATGGCCTTGTCCCAACTTTTTTAAGAGGCGCTGTGGCCATCAAGTTCTAAATAAGTTCATTTTTTTCACAAAAGGGTGAAATATCTCACTTTCAACATCTGATATGTGTTCTATGTTCTACTGTGAATAAAAAATGGGTCTTTGAATCATTGCATTGTTTTTACATTTTACACAGTGTCCCAACTTTTTTGGAACTGGGGTTGTGTATGTGTTTTTATATATATATATATATATATATATATATATATATATATATATATATATATATATATATATATATATAAAAATAAACATTGCAGATTCAGTGACCTTGTGCTATACGGTTTGAAAAACCCTGATAGCAGCTGTAAAATAACATGCTTCCAGACCTCCACTCAGTGTCCAGGTCTTCACTCATGCTTGAGTCATCCTCCAAATTGTTGCTGCTGTCCATGATGAAGAGGCCTGGGTGCACAAACTGACTCGCGTTGTCTGGGTTTTCATCACTGCTGCTGTCAGAATCCTCATTACACCTTAGCCATGGGATTTCGCCTTCTTCCAGAGCAATTTGCTCCCTATCATGCCACCACATACCATACAGAAAAGACAGAAGAAATAAAGAGTTTCACTACATAGAATTCTGTACAAGAATAAGATTTTTTTTAGTTTCATGTTGTGTTTTCCACAGAGGACAACTCCTGTTGAAATTCAGGAGGCCCAGGATGCCCAGTAATTAACTAAATATCTTATTATCTGTGAACATTTTGTTTATTACAGGAGTAGTTCATTAAAAAAAAATACACAAGTGTTTAGAATAAATATTCAGAACAATACGCTGTGTTTGGGTCTATACATTTGGCACTAAACTGAGTGAAGGCTAGTCAGTCTGCACTCACCCCTCTATGAGGCTGAGTGGGGGAATGTCCTCTAAGCTACAGCCGGAACTGGGTAGCTCATCCAGGCCAGGGAGCGTCTCCCAACTCTCCTCACTGGAGCATCGCTCCTTTTCCAACCCCGAGTCTGACGTCCATGAGGCAGACCATTCGCCTTCACTGTACTCTGAGCTGCCCCCACCGCCCCAACATAGACACACACACACACGTTAAAACATGTGAGCCTTTTACGTACCACATTAATCTTCTTAGCTGCAGAGTCTAAACTGGCAAAACAGAGCTCCCACAGAGCTCCAAATCTCATCCTTACATTCAACTGAAGAAGAAATCATGCTAGTAGGCAAATGACATAACTAACTTCATACACAGCATGCCTCATTTTTGAAGAAAAAAAGCACTGCATTAAAATCTGTGATGACTCCAGTAATTTCTGTATTTACCACTAATTAGTTTCTATGAATTAGTCCCTAAATTCTACAGACAATTATTTTTACTGTTACTTTAAAGGGCACTGCTTCTGACATCATTCTACCTCTCATTCCCTTTTTCAGGTGATGCACACTTCTCCTCAAAGTTGTCTAGGTCTTCCCAGAAGTCATCGTCATCATCATCATAGTTTGCTTTCACTTTGCTGTTTCGCTCTGCCTGTTCTGTCTTGTCCGAAGTGCATTCATCAAGAGGGAAGTTGAAGAGGGAATCTGTTTTGGTCGCATGTGAGAGGATGAAAGGAGGTGCAGAGCCACATGTGCTCTCGAAAGATTTAGCAACCGATATCCAACTCGCTTCCTCCGACTGCGAGTACTTTATTTTTTCAAGATGGCTCTCACTTGTCTGTTTTCGGATTTTTGGCCTGACCACCATTTCTGACTGAACTGCTTCCTGCATGCTGGTGCATTCTGGGTCTATACAGGAACAAGGGCCACCACTGCATGTTGATTCATTAAATGAATCTGACTGGACTTTGCCCAGGAGACTATATTTCCCATAGGTTTTCCCAGTCCTCTGGGGGTGTGTATGCTCTTGATCAGACTTAGGACGCATCTCTTTGGCTGAGCAATCTGACAATTTGCAGAATTCTGTATGCACATTTGTGTGTGAGTGGCCAAAGTCATCCACGTCTTTCCCAAGGTGACAAATCATGTCTAGTTTTTTCGGAATGGCACAAGATTGGTCTGAGTTCAAGTCCTCCTCCTCACCGCCACTGCTGTCCGGTTCATAGGAATCAATGTTCACAAAGCTCAGAATGCCCACATTAGGTGGCTTCCAGTCCACCTCATCACTGACTGCCAAAGCACCGGCACTTTTCTCAGCACTAGGGTTACAGTCAGAATTACTACTCCATTTTTCACACTCTGTCATCATGTGTGAGGATGATGGGTATCTTACATAGTCTTCTTGATTTGTTTTTGACTCCAGGTCCACTGATTTGGAGGACTGCACTTGAACGATGGCTGGAAACACTGATGAAATGTTCCCCTCTAAAAGAGCTAAAGAGAGAGTTTTCTAAATGAACACCTTTTTAATGAATATATAGTAACATATGTAATATTATTAATCAAGCAGTTTTCAGGGTAGGAATTAACCTGTTGAGAAAAAAGTGGTACTCCTCTTGCATGGGAAAGAATGCTCTCATGTCTAGTAATGCTGTACTCTTAGCATAAGCAACTTATGATAGTTATCAAAAATCAAATAGATCACAACCAGCTGTTAAAACTTTTACTACTCATTTTAATTATAGACCATAACTAATTGAAATTGTGTTTATAGCAGGGGTAAAACCACAATTTTGTCCACAATCAATATTATTATGGTCCCACAATAAAGTTCTAGTGAAATTAATGTTATTTTTTTTTCTAAACTTCATTAAATGTTTTAATACCTTGCTGATTCATACCAACGGTGTGCTCCTCATGGTCAGTGTGTGTTTCCAATTCCTGACAATCCACATTGGACATAGCTCTGTGCTTATATGGAGTGGGCCTGAAGCTAACATATGCATGTCTCCTGCCATATCTTCTCCCTGTGATCGTCTGGTAACCTCCAGTTGGTTTGGGCCAGGACGTCTTGCCTGCTTCCTGACCCATTGCTACATGCAAGGAGCAATTTAATGCACACTGCAAAAGCAGGAAAGCATCTGTCAAACATGTTTAATGAGAACAAACTGCTGCTACATGGATATGCCTCATATTCCTGAATCTGTCTTTTAAATATGTCTTTTTTTAAACTCTAAACATAACTGACTCTATAATATATACGCAGATCAAACAAAACAACTAACCATAGCGACCACGGACAGAAGAAGCTTAAAATTTATTACGTGAAGTTATGGAGGTAAGCGAATGAGCTATTCTACGGAGGAATTTTATTCTACTATTTTTCTACTACAAAGTAACATTTGAATTATGAGGTTACATTACTTTTCAAGAGGACGTTCTGTGATGAGACAACTATATAGTTAGGTATCTGAACTAAGACAGCTTGCAGTTAAGCTTGCTAACCTATGACAGATCGCATTAGTGGTAATATGCTGTAAAGGTTAAGTGGTCTGTACTAGACTATTAAGGAGACATCACTGTACTTCACGTGACAGTATCTTCTTTTCGCTATGTCATGACATGACCTCATGCTGTCCATGTTTACAAAGCGATCGAGAACCATAACCATTAACGTTATATCAGCATACATTAGCCCGCGTACTGCTAAAAGCACCACTCTTAGAAATTTAGCAGTACTATGCATGCATTGTTGACAGAGTTAAGAGGAGACATATCCTAACTAGCTAGCTAACATTTAACAAATAAATATGCAAATAGTACTCGTTTTTGACGTTGTTTTAAGATGATCCACTCATTGGCTTCACGTGCCACGTTGTAAGAAATTAACTTTTTAACAAGCTAAACTTGACACTGGGCCTCGTTCCTTGTTGTTGCAAGCTACTTAGCCTGTTTATCAAGAGTTTGGGTCTGTTGAGCCTCACAGCCTGCTGTAACTAATTGAGCAGGCTGTCGTGGCTACATATGTATTACAACATCCTCTTACAAGCTGTCTTTTAGTTATAGTTCAGTTTGCTAACGTTAACTAACTGAATCAATAGATGCTTTTACCTGTGTTCCTGTGTCCCTCTTGTTTGAGCAACTCAGCGTACGTCACAGTCAAACACCAGGGTCATATGACAGATATGCTCCAATTACGTTTCAGCGGACAACCAAAGAGACAGGCTTGTTCGAGATGAACTGCGCCTCGCCTCGGTGGTCAGCGAGAGCAGCCGGTTGCTATGATACGCCAAACATGACAAAAGACGTGCGAGGAAACGCGAGACGGAATGAACCTTTAGGACGCGAAAGAGGTTGAGATACTGCGCGAGAGAGACTGAAACCGCGCAAGAGACACTGAATACTTACTTGAATACTTACTTGAATACTTACTATTACTGTTTTGGTGCCCACAGTGTTGTCTGCTTGATGCTCTCTACATTGGCACAACGCTGAAATGTAATTCCTCAGAAAGTTATGAACGTTGTCTGTATGTACGTTGTCACAACCTCCTAGAATCCTTAATGAGTTCTATTTTAATCAATATTACAGTTTTTGATAACCGGTTCTAATCATCTTTAGCTTGGCTTTCATGAGTTTCAGTAGCCTTTTTGTTTTTTCTGCGAATAAACCCGATATTCATGTCTTATAGTCATGGTACATTTTATTTTGAAAGTTTCCATATTTAATCACCTTATTATCAGTATGGCAACATTAATATACATTCAGTTTAACTCCTGTTACCCAGCAGTATGTGGTTCGCTGTTCTTCCTCATAAAACCGTCAAAAACACTATTGTGGCAGAGCGTGCACTGATGTCATTAATAGGCTGGTGGCGCATGTCAGGTTGAGAGTGCATGTCTGCAGCCGGAGTATTAGACAAAATTTCACTTATCATCGCTCATTTTCCACTCATAATCCTATTTATTGATTTTTCCGTCCTTCCTTTCTTTAGTTATAATTTGTAAATTACTTTAGTAAATAATTTTAATCCAGTACAGTGTCAGCAACAACAGTTTCTATAACATCATTTTATACCAGGCCTAATCATTTTTTTTTCTCTTGGTTGTTTGTAAAATTTGTGTAAGTTTATTTTCTAAAATAAAAGTCTCTGTGCAATTAAAATCTGTTTGAGGAGATTAAAAACTAGCTAGCGCTTGTATGCAGGACAGTAATCTGGGTGGTCCGAGGGTGGACCAGCAGTGGCAAACAATCAGTGGGGTGTCGACCTTATTAAGTCAGTGGACTTAACGTTTGTTGTAATGTCAGTATGTTTGCTGTCTGGGACGTGCATGCTTTTTTGTGAAGAAAGTTTGCAGGCTAGAGATTTCAATAATCTAGAACACTACCACCAGTTGTTGGAAGAGCCCAGTCATATGCTATTAATGAGTGTGTATCATATTATTTTGTTTACTTATTGTTGCATTATTAAACATTATTATACACTATTCTTTGTCATATTATGTACTTTACTCACAATCACTTAGAAGGAAATTCTATTGTAATATAATCGTATTCTGCAGGATGGTCAAGGCCTTGTCATATGTTCCCTGTTGTCTGAGCTTCTTGATAGTATAACAGCAATGTTTTTGCAAGTGGAGCACATACTCCACCCTCAGCTCAATCCACTACTTCATTCATTTTTAGTTAGGACCAGTGGAAGACCAAGGTAAAATAAAAAAGCCAACAGTAATTTGTAGACGGTAGCCTGTTAGACCACAACCTACAGCCATCTGAATACTTGTGCATTGACCTAACAGTAATGTTACCCTTTTAGACATGCTAATAAAACACTTCATTATTTAGGACATTGGTGAAAGCTGATCAATCACACAGTGAGAAGCAAATGATTAATACTGGAACAATAAGGAGAGAGGGACTATTTTAGTTGTATATTTAAAAAAAAGTTAGTATTTGTTCACAAACCCATGTATGAGACTTTCCCCAACAATACAACAGTTTTCTAACCCTTTTTTTCTTATAATCTATTCTGCAACACATTTTCTCTGGCGCTGTCACCCGTAACTCTTAGTGGCAGACCAAACGCTGGGACGGCAAGCTAAAAAAGACAGAACTGTGTCAACATGATTGAGGCACACTTTCAAGTAAATAAACTTTCCATCTCTCTCACGCAGTTTCAGTGTCTCTCGAGCAGTTTCACTCTATCGCGTGCAGTCTCTCAAACTCTTTCGCGTCCTAAATGTTCATTCCGTCTCGCGTTTCCTCGCACGTCTTTTGTCATGTTTGGCGTATCATAGTTGGGGAAGGAGGGTAGAAAAGAGCCTTCAAGTCGAACAGTCGCCGCATGAAACCCACGTGAGCTAGCGGATCTCGCGGCGTTTGCGTTCTTTGTAGCGGATGAAGTGGATGCAGTAAAGAATCCCTCTGCTATTGCATGAAATCGAGTATGATGAACAACGAAGGTAAAACAGCATTTATTTAATCGTCTATAGGGTAAACAAAACATACTTGATCATTGTTGCAGCTCAAGCCCAGCGTTTGTTTTCTAAATCCACAGTTGTGACTATAGGTGACGACAAAGTGTCAAACTAAGTTTCTGTAACATCGGTAAACACAAATGCTTTTATTCATCATTCATTTATCTTGTAGATTGGTAATGCATAGCCTTAACATTTGCCAATAACAATTTAAATTAATAGACCTAAACTAAGTTTTTCAATACTGTCAACTGAATCATTTCACATGAAAACGTGTGAATAAATAATTCTAAATATATTCAGTTTGTTCAAGGTAGAATGAGTGAATATGATAAACAGTGTAAAATAATTCTAGAAATAATTAAATGGAGTTTATCAAGTGCACTCAATCAGACTTTAATCATTAAGGTTGCATATATAGTTAATAGACTCCAATTATATTGTGTTAAAGTGGCTTTAAGTCCAACCTGTCTAATTAGGTATTTTATCTAAGGACTTAATCATATTTCCCCCTTCTTTAGGCTTGTTCCAAAAATACAACATTTTACAGAAATGTCATCCCTCTCTATAGTCTCAGAATTTAGAGGTCATGTCAGATTCTCCAAAGGACAAGTATAGAGGGGTGTAGAGTATGTGGAAGCCACATAACCATCCAAAAGGTTTCAATGTTATTATGGTAACCTTTTGTCTCGCTTGCTATTTAGGATGTGATAAACACCCTTGGCCCTTTTTATATGAACCCACAACAGACAAAATTGCAACTGACAAAGAGTGTCCTAGTCTGTCTATGGACACTGTCAAACCAGGAGTCATATAGGGGTATAGGAGACCGATTCAATGTCAAAAAATCCACTCCTGTCAAACATCATGAGTTTTGTTCTCTCGTAAATAAGCACAAGGCACACCCCATTTCCTGGGCAGTAGGACAAACCCTGCATAATTAGGTTTTCAAGCAGCTGAATTTCCAAACACTATCTGTGCAGTAGATGAATGCTACATTCATCCCCTCGTGTTCTCTTTTTTTTATAATGATTATAATCAGATACTGAACCTTGTTGTGACTCTTGGCTTGCCAACAGGTTGGATGGGGACAACAGCTGCTCTGAGCCTAGTCTGGCTAGAGGTGATGGCTGGAATGTGTCCCCCATTGGAGTGGAGGACTGGGAGAAGGTTGCTGGGGATTTGACCACAACAATAGGTGTAAGGGATGGACGGGGCCTGGTTGCAGGAGTGGAGGACTGGGTGAAGGTTGCTGGGGATTTGACCACCACTATGGGTGCAAGGAATGGAGGCGGCCTGGTTGCAGGGGTGGAGCTCTGGGTGAAGGTTGCTGGGGATTTGACCACAACTGTGGGTGTAAGGAATGCAGGGGGGCTGGTTGTAGGAGTGGAGAACTGGGTGAAGAATGCTGGGGATTTGACCACAACTGAAGGTAAAAGGGATGGAGGGTGCCTGGGTGCAGGAGTGGAGCTCTTGGTGAAGATTGATTCCTGTAGTAGAGGCTGTAGAGACAGTCAACAGAGCCACTTTATAAAAATGCTACAAATAAAAAGCATTCAAAAGCTTGGATGTCAATTGTGTAGAAATCCTTTTTATCTGGAAAAGTACATCAAACTGAATAAAGTATTCCCAAAACCATTGCAGTCAAATCATGCCTTTATTATTCACTCACCATTCTTCAGCCTTTCTGCAACAGTTTTTGGTATACATAAGGTGATATTTCCTTGGCTGTTGTGATGATGCTAGCTGGTCTAGCATATCACCAACAGCTATAGACAAAGACTGAAGAGATAACAGTATGACTGAGCCTTTTATTTTAAATAATGTAGAGAGACAGTTACTTACCTGTTTCCTGGTGAGAGTGACGGCGAAGGTCATTCTGTCCCCTTGGTGGGCCTGCATACACAGGTTGGCCTGGAAAAAGAAAAACAAAAACTGTTCATGACCTAATTGCTAACATTGAACATGTGCCAAGTATACACTTGAACTAAATGCTGAATACATTTGTATTTTGAACTGGAATGTGACTATTTTGCCTTACCACTTACCTGAGTGTAATTTTGGTTTAGTCCACTTGGAGGGGTTATAGGTATTTAAGGAGAAGCCATAACTGAACTGTCTAGCTAGAACTGTCTAGCTGCTGGGAGTAAGACTGCTAGGACTAAGTCTTGCTGCCTACATGCACCCTGAGGTAGAGAGGGAAAAATAAGTGAGATTAGTCTAGGAAGGAAACTAAAGTGCCTATCAAGTATATGAGTTTTATTTTATTAAATAGTTGTGTGCAAGTGTCTGGTGAAGGATCTTTTATGGGACCGCCTGTATTTTTGCTGACGTGTGTACAATAAGGAAAAGGGCAAAGAGAACTAATTATCCAGCCTTCTGCCCAAACCTCTTCCAAACAAGCCAACAAGGTAACCTCCAGGCCACTTTGAGTCCACTCTACCACAGCTAGATGTTGTCCATGTTGTGATGTCATGGCACCTGAAACAGTGGCCTTATATACCAAAAGGTATAATAAAGAAATAGTGCACACCTGTTCCAATGTGTAGATTGTTGTTGTTCTTAATTTTTTATAATATGCCAAATTGCCACTAAAACACATCTTTCCACTGAGCAGTGAGTGCCTTTTAGATTTAGTGAGTGGTCTTTAGCCTACACAATTGAACACATTTCAGTTAGCAGTGAATGCCATTGTGTGTGCCATTGAGGTTAATTATCCAACTCCTAAGTGGTGTGTATAAAATTGCAGTTTGTGTGTATATTCTTAAATTATCAGCATCAGTGATGACTGTGATGAAGTTTTTGGGAGATAAAACTAACCTATTAAAACTAATCACATAACATGCAATATGTTATTTTATGGATGTATTGTGTAATAGTATACTTCAGTAAGCACACCAATGAAGGATGTGCCCAAAATGAGTCACTAATAAATAATGGGTTAATTTGTACAATTGTGTAGAAGTCTGTGCTTCTTCAGGCACAGACAAAGCAATTATTCAGGCATTGAAGATGAATCTCTTAACACAATCTTCCTTTAAACAACGCATTATTACTCTGACCATAAGTTTATTGAGTGTGGTCTTGGTTTACCCCCTCCTAAATCCGACAAGAAATCTACTGTTGCTTTTCGTAATCTTACCCCTATTCCTACTAATACCTTCTCTAATCTTCTCCAGACCTCTGCTCTTTCTGATCTTACTCAGCTGTCCTCTCCTGAAGATTTTGTCACATACTACAATAGCACTGTCTCTGAAATACTCAATACTCTTGCCCCTCTCAAGACTAGATGTGTACTTCACCATGGTTCACTCCCGAGCTTAGAATCATGAAAGAGGAAGTCAGACGTTTAGAGCGCCTTTATAAGAAAACAGGTCTTTCAGATCATTTCACACTTTTTACTGAGCAGATTTCCATACATAAAGTTGCGTTAAACACTGCCTGTTCCTCTTTCTATTCTGATCTTATAAACTCTGGCAGTCACAGGCCTAAAATTCTCTTTCATATTATAAACTTCTTCAACCTCCTTCACTACCCACCTTGAACTCCTCTGCCCAGTGTAAAGCATTTTTTGGATTATTTTATGAATAAAATCAATAAGATCTATCTGCATTTCCCTGTAGCAACCCGCAATTCTCTTTCTCAGGCCTCTGTCTCACTCTCACCAGATAACTGTCTCTCTGTTTTCTTCCCTGTGAACTCTTCCACTATGTCTGGGATTATTTCCAAATCCTCTTTCTGTACATCTCAACTAGATCCTGCTCCTACGGCTACTCTTAAGTCTGCTTCCTCTGTTATTTCACCTCTTATAGCTCATTTGATTAATCTATGCTTTTCATTAGGCACTGTTCCTCCATCTCTCAAAATAGCTGCTGTCACTCCTATCCTAAAGAATCCTGGGTTGGACACATCCTCACTGGTTAACTACAGACCAATCTCCAATCTTCCTTTCTTAGCTAAAGTCATGGAAAGAGTTGTAGCCTCTCAGCTGCATGACTTTCTATCCTCCAATAACCTATATGAGCCTTTTCAGTCTGGCCTTCACACCCTACACAGTACTGAGTCTGCCCTTGTAAAAGTTGTAAATGACTTGCTGCTCTCTACAGATGAACATTCTGGTTCTTTAAGACTTAACAGCAGCTTTTGATACTGTTAACCATCATCTTCTTATATCTAGACTGTCGTCTGTTGGCATTACTGGCCCTGCCCTTCAATGGTTACAGTCATACCTTGCTGATAGGCATCAATACATTTCTAAGGGCTCCCATAAATCTGGTATTGCTCCTGTAGATCGAGGTGTACCCCAAGGATCTATCCTTGGACCTCTCCTCATTATCATTTACATCTCCCCACTCGTCAGATCATGCGCAACCACAGTTTTAACTTTCACTGCTATGCTGATGACATTCAAATTTATATCAGCACTACTTCCCTCTCTGCCTCCACCTAGGCTTTAAGTTCTTGTGTCACATATTTAAAACTCTGGTTGAAAAACAATTACCTGAAACTAGACACTGATAAACTGAGGTTCTATTAGTTGGAGCTAAAACCTCACTTTCCTGAGTGTTGAACTTTTCAGTCGACATTGATGGTGTCGCTATCAAGCCAGCACAATTTGTTAAGAACTTTGGCTGTCTTCTTGATTCATCTCTCACTTTTCAGTCTCGCATTAAGCTAGTTACCAAAACTGCTTTTTATCTTCTGTGTAACTTTGCATGCTTATGCCCTATGCTGAGTGATAATGATGCTAAAATGTTGATTAATGCTTTCATCTTTTCTTGCATTGATTACTGTAACTCACTTTTCTATGGCCTTTCAGCTAAACTAATCAATCATCTTCAATACATCTAAAACTCAGCAGCCAGGGATTTTTTTACTTATTTATTTATTTACAAAGTTTACAGAGTAGAAAGAAAAGTAATTCAAAGTGCAATAGCAATGTAGTGATTTTAAAAACAGTTAAGTTATAAATCATAAAAGCAATTCAGAGGACTTCATAAAAATAAAATGAGACAAGGACCATTAGAAGTTCTAAAAATATATTAAGATAAAATAAATAAATATAAATATAAGAGTTATAGCGGAGATTTACATTTTAGAAAGAAAACAAACGTCATAGGTGTCAGTGGAGCTTATAGCCAATGAGGATTAAACTCTGTCGTCATCATGCCATCTCTCAGCTCACGCAGCTCGTGGGAAGCATAGATATACATATGTATTTTTTGTGCTTCAGTGTCTAAGCTTTTTTTTCTTTTTATTATTAATGAATTAACTATATTTGTTCTCAGACTTTCTATCAAGTTTAATAACGTTTTCAAATAAAGTAATAATTGTCGGATATTTTAATATCCACTTTGACAAACCTCAAGATGCAGTAAGGCATTTATATCTATCTTAGACTCTGTAGGTTTCACTCAAAATATAAAGGGGCCCACTCATTATTGCAGCCACACTTTAGACTTAATTCTGACCTTTGGTGTAAACATAGATAACGTAGCCATTCTCCCCCAGAGCACAGCAGTCTCAGATCATTACCTAATTTCATATGAAATTCGCTTTAGTGGTAATGTACATTCATCACCATGCTATCATGTTAAGTGGACTATAACTTCCTCCACAGCTGGTAGCGTTATCAGAAACCTTCCACAATTATCAGCTTCTGTCAGCTGTCCATCTAATCCTACCAAATTAGATATTATGACCAAGTGCTTAAAGGATATTTTTTGATCTACTCTAGATAATGTGGCTCCATTAAAAAGTAAAATAATAAGGCAGAAAAAGTTTGCCACATGGTATAATGATCATACTCAAGCTTTAAAACAGACTGTCAGACAACTAGAGCGAAAATGGTGCCTGACTAAACTAGAAGTATTCCAGTTCGCTCGGAGGGAAAGCCTTATAGAATATAGAAGAACATTTACTGCAGCGCGTTCAGCCTATCTCTCCTCTCTCATAGAAAACAATAAGAATAATCCTAGATTATTATTTAGCACAATTTTTAAATTAACTAAGAACCAAACAGTTACTGAACTCCAGATGCCATTAGCCTATAGCAGCAATGATTTTATGAATTTCTTTAGTGATAAAATTGAAAAAAATAGGCAGAAAATTCAGAATGCACAATTAAACAAACTTGCTGCCTTATAATGCCAGTCTAGATCTTGAGAATATTGTAACTACTGCAGAGGCTGGAATCGTTTACCTTACTTCAACAAAATGAATTAGTTAAAGTTGTTTCCTCCAGAAAATCTTCTACTTGTATGTTAGATCCGATTCCTACAGATTTACTTAAAGAAATTTTGCCAGAAATAACCAAGCCTATTCTGTCAATAATAAACTCCTCTCTTAGCTTTGGCTATATCCCAAAAACTCTTAAACTAGCAGTAATTAGACCTCTGATTAAGAAAGCTAACCTTGATCCCTGCAAACTATCAAATTATAGACGTATCTCGAATCTCCCCTTTATATCAAAGATTTTGGAAAAAGTTGTGGCAAAACAATTAAGTTCCTATTTGCATAGGAACCATATACATGAAAAAGTTCAGTCTGGTTTTAGGCCATATAATAGTACAGAGACAGCACTAGTGAAAATTGTAAACAATTTTTTATTATTCTCTGTCCAAGGAAATGTGTCTTTATTAGTCCTCCTTGATCTTAGTGCGGCATTTGACATGATAGACCACTCTATACTACCAGATAGACTAGAAAACCTTGTAGGGGTAACAGGAATAGCTCTTTCCTGGTTCAGAACCTACCTCACTGATCACTATCAATTTGTTAATGTAAATGGTGAATCATCTGTCCTCACAAAAGTTAAGTATGGTGTTCCACAAGGCTCTGTTTTAAGGCCTATATTATTCACATTATATATGCTACCTCTGGGCACCATTATCAGTAAACATGGCATCAATTTC